CTGGAGCTTCCTAGCAACATGGATAACAGCAATCAGGTTTATCCTGGTCCAGAAACGGCAAAATTTGCAAAGGATCCCAGAGTCGTACGTGAAAGCAGTTGTTTTCATCTGGCTGTTGACGTACCTGATACAGTGAGCGGCTGTCACGACCCAGTTGGTGGCGATGAGGGACCCACCGCATGTGTGATGCCACTTCCCACTGGAAGAAGAGTATTGAAGGGAAGCCTGGGAATGATAGGCAGGATGAGCCTGGAGGATGCTGAGCCCCCTGGACCTCCCGTCACACTATCCAAATCAGAGTCTAAATGAGTTTGCTCCTGAAAATCCTTCTCAGAATACTAAACAAAATTTAAACTACTGAAATGATCGATTACAACTGCTAATAATAAATTTTAAAATCTCTAATTGGTGTACAAAAGATAATGGGTTGCGGGAAGAGGATGTTGCTGAACCTCGGGCACCAGAGATGGAGGGAGATGTGGCCCAGCAGGAACATGAGTTTTTGGATTTGACAAATGAACTTGGAAAAAGCCAGATTTGGAAAGATAAAGTTTGGTTTGGAAATGGGGGGTTGGATAGACCCCCCTATGCAGGGGTGTTTGGACTTTTCAAGTCTGGCAATGGGCCGTGAGATGTCTGGGGTTGTGGGGGCTCTTAATTCTGGAGGGACTTTGAAACATGTACTTAAATACCACATGGGGTTTTGTGTGGAATATGGAAAAGGGACTGGTTTGTCGAGAAGGGTCAAAAACACTGTTAAGTTGGAGTTCCCACGAGTGAAAGGAGCAGGAGACAAAGTAAAGTACAGGTATAAATATGAAGAAGAGCCGCGGAAGGGACATGGAAGAGACTTAAGGGCCCCGGACATAAGATTACCAGGTTAATGCGCTTGATTGATGGGATAGAAAGGATTGACAAAACCCGGGACCAGGAGGAAGAGACGCTGGATGAAGATTGGAAGAATTTTTTTTTTTAATTAGGACTGCTTTATAAAATTGATGAATGTTAGAAAAATGTTGGAATGAAACTATTTGGCTTTAGCAAAAATGTTAAAAGAATTATGTAAGAATATGTTATGGTTATGAAATAAGATTTAAGTTTCAAGTTTTAGGGTCTTCTATAGTAAGATAAGGTTAAAATAGATTAAGGTAATGTAATGACAGAATATTATGAAAAATGGAAAGGATTTGCTGTGACAATTAATAACTAGGATACAAAAAAAGGGAGGAGTGAGGAGGTCAAAGAAAGAAGGTAATGACAGTTAAGGATTGGAGAATATTGGATTTGTTTTTAAATGTTTGTGGCTTATTTTTGCCTTTTGATTGTGTTGTGTTATGTGCTTTGTTTTTATTTTTTGATTTTGATTTTTATTAATTTGTATTGTTTGATTGTGGTTTGTTTTTTCTGTTTTTTCTGTTTTTTCTGTTTTTTCTTTTTTGTTTTTTCTGTAATTCTAAAATTCTTAATAAATATCATTTTAAAAAAACAAAACAAAAGATAATGGGTTGCATCCAATGCTAGTCTTACCCAGAGCAGATCCATTGAAATTAATGGTATGACTAACATAAACCCATTAAGACCTGTTAATCTCCTCTGAGCAGGACTTGGATACACCCCATATATAACCATCCAAGGCAATAATAAGAACCACACACACACACACACACGATAATTATCAATCATGCACAGATAAAATCAGCAAGAATACAATAAGTATGCAGAAATGAATTATAAATATGGGTAGTCATCCTTTTTTAAATCCACCCACGTTGAGGGGCATCACTGCCTCCTGTGGGAGTGAGTTCCACAGATTAACCGTGCCCTGCCTCAAGAAGGAATTTCTTACATCAGTCCTGAATCTCCCAACATTTGGCTTTATGGGATGTCTGTGGGTTCTAGCATTACGAGCAGAGCTGGCCCAAGTTATTTCGGCGCCTGTAGGGAATAAAGATCTACGGTACATTGGGGTCTGCTGGCCCCATGGATCTTGCCGCCCAAGGTTGTCGCCTTACCTTGACTCATAGGTGGGCCAGCCCTGCCTATAAGAGAGGGAGAAAAACACTTCCCGTAACAGAAAGAAAATTAGTTATACAAAAAACACTGCAAGAGAGCCTCTTACCTGCCAGGGCCAGCTGTTCGGATTGGCATCCTCTCCTCCGACAATTCGGCTTGCTTTGGGCTTGTAGCTCGGGACCCCACAACTGAAGGCTGCAAAAAGGACACAGTGCAGACACTTTAGGAAGGTTCAGTGTAACAAATGGGTGATGCTCAAGGGAGCAAAATGCTCAGGCTACAAATTAGCATGCCTATATTGTTGTAAGAACCCTCTTTGACTCTACCCAATACCATCCCTTTCAGGGAGTGGTGGTGACTAAGCTACTGGAAATCAGAGTGTGTGAGAAAAAAATGAGTTTTTGCTGAGTCTGTACAGGCTGTGTACATACTACTAGACCTTCAGAGCACGTTCTCCCCCTCAAAGAATTCTAGGCACAGCAGTTCACTCCTCAAGGAATTACAATTCCCAGCAACTCGACAGTGCCCGTAACTCTTTGAGGGAGGGAAATGTGCTCTAAACGTGCTTCAAAGCTATTTTGCATATGCAGCCTGGGTGAGTTGGAAATGCAGACTCCTCCCCATCACTGGTGGACGAAGGTGGAGGGGCGGTCCACCCCAGGTGCCACCCGGGGGGTGACATCGCTTGCCTTGCACACCCCCCACACATGTGCCACACACCCGCGGGTGGCACATCACGCCTCCTGGGATGCGTGTCACGCCCCTTGGGGTGCACACCAGCCACGCCCCTGGATGTACGCCGCTCCCGGTGCCAGAACAGGTAGCTTTGCCACTTCTCCCCATCCCACCATATCTGCACACAGAGCCCACAAAATGGCTTTCAGTGCCTGATGCATATCAGAAAAGCATCCAGAGAGGTTTTCCATATCTCCTGGCAGAATCGATTGGGCATCTTGTTTTGAGGCTTGCAGGAGCTCTGTAGAACAGCATATAAGCAGCCTGTAAAAAAATTCCTACTCTGCTGCTGTTATCAACTGGTGCTCATTCTTCATTCCTAGACTATCATCGCTCAGGGCTGGGTTTTGAGTTGCCCCCTCTCTGCGCTGCATTTGGAGAGCACCTCCCCAGCCTGCCAAGGACGGTCTAGTCTGACCTGCTCTCCAGGCTTCCCATTCAAACACACCACTTGCTTTGCAGATTCTGACCAGAGGTCCATCTGCCCAGAGATATGTCTCTAGGCCCCTAAGGAGCCTGAATGAACGAGACAAAGGCCATGGTTTGTTCCTGGTATCAGACCCTCTGAGAGAGAATGCCTCTGCATGTGGAAATTCTGTTGTTATTATTATTGCTCTCCTGGCCAGTAAACTCTTGGCTGAGTTCTCCTTCATTCATAATCTAGATACTCTTTTTCTGAAAGCCATCTAAAGGAGTGGAGGCCGGCCACCTCCATGCCCTGTGGCTATGAACCAGGCGATTCCATCCTCTTATTTATCCTGAGTTCAACCCATACCCCCAGAGGCCAACGCCAGAGCAGCGAAGAGGACTCCAATCATGGCTGAGGGCACCTCGGGTGGAGTGTCCAGCTCTTCTCAACAGATGAACTCCATCCAATCTTATATTCTGGGTGGGTCTATCAGAGGCAGATCCAGCCAAGGATGCTGTCAGCAACAGAAAGGTCCCCATTGGCTGTGTGCCACTGGGAGACGTGGCAACTGGAATGCTTCTGTCTCCTGCTTTCCAAAGGCCATGCCAAGATAGTCTCACAAGCACCTGTTTTCCAATCAAGGCCATGGCTTTGATGCCTGCTGAAGATGTGTGTGTGGTGGTGCCCTTGGCAGCCTAGTTGAGAGCAAGCTGGCAAAGCCAGGGCAGACTTTGAGTGCACCCGGTCCTGGGACCAGGTGGAGGGACCATGGGGTTTGCAGAAGGTCCCAGGTTCAGTTTTCAGCACCTTCAGGGAGGAGTGGGAGAGAACCCTGTCTGAAATCCTGGGGAGCTGCTGCCAGTCAGTGTGAACAATATTGAACTAGATGGACTTCCTATAAAGGCAACTTCTTAAAATCATCCTTCTGTTTGGAGACCATGAGAACTATAGTCTTATTTTATTTGGGAGAAAGGGCTCAAAGGTAGAGCACCTGTTCTGCATGAGGAAATGTCTCAGGTTCAATCCCTGGCATCTCCGGGCAGGGCCAAGAAAGATGCCTATCTGAAATTGTGGAGAGCTGCTGCCAGTCCTTAGAATATGTGAAATCAGTTGCCTCTGAAAAAGAGTCACAATGCTTGAAATGCATTGGGACAATAAATCATTCCCACTCGAATGCATCTTTTCCCTTTTGACTGAACTGGCATGTTTCTTTTTAATGACACCTTCATTTAAATTTCTCTCCCCTGACAATGCCCCTCACCAGCTCGGCTTCACCCCCTCCTTCATGTTTTTCTGCCCGGCTGGAAAATGCCCCATGAACTCTGATCTTCCTTGCATAGATGAGGGGTGTGCTGAATGTGTGTAGAAAGTAGCCTTCTGCAAAGAGGTTGCATCTATATTTATTGCCCCACCCACTTTTCCTTCTGGAATGTGGACCCCAGAAGATGACCCAGAAACTAATGTGGCTCTCAGGCTTCAAAACCTTCCCTACCTCTGATTTAGATAGATAGATGAAAAATTCAGGCTCATTTCCAGAGAGAACACCACCCTAGAAGCAATTTTTGTTGCTGCTTAAAAGAAAATTTGAGCTTAAAATAAAAGGGGGAGGTCTCAGGCCTGTGCAAAGGACTTGAACAACATCCCTGCTGTGAGATGTTTCAGCAACCAGAGTGTGGGATCCAGTCAGGGCCTTCGAGCAAGCTGTCCCCTTATTCTTTCTATTTGCAAAGCGATAACTTGGCAAGGTCAGATATAGCCTGTTATTTAAGCCTGGTTTAGGTCAAGGCTGGTTCCCATTATAAATACACTGACTTCACCCCTGGAACACCATCACTCGGTCACCATGTTCAAGTTGGTCTTCATCGCTTTGATCCTGGGCTACGGTAAGTGCTTTGGTGCAGTTAAGTTGGGGCTGTTTGGCATGCAATTCGTCTTTTCATTGATACAAGACTCAGCCCAGCCCAAAATAGTTCTTTGGAAATGCAATGAATTCAGTTTCTTGTCTCTGGTGAAGTAGCCTCTCTCTCCAAGATGAGCTTCGTCGTGGTACAAGAGCATACAAATTTGCACAAAATGAACATAACTTTGGAACTCCCTACCTATTGATATCAGGGAACAGCTTTCACTGTACTCTTTTCGGCGCTGGCTGAAAATGTTTTGCTTAGGCAAACCTACCGAGACATGTAGACCGTTGACACCTGCTTAATCTGGTCTTTAGCTTATCATTGGTTTTAATTATGATTTTTTGACAGTTTAAAATGGTTCTGCTTTTTAAACGGTGATTTCATTTTTATTCTTTTTGTAAGCTCCTTTGAGGTTGTTGTTGTTTACAATCAAGCAATATATAAATTCAGAAATAAATGAAATAAATAGCCTCTGGTAGCTTTTTTTTAAAGGATGCTTCTGCCAAAAAGCCATGAACAGATTCATTAAACCAATAATGGACAAAACCAGTGTGTCCAGCTCTGGCTCCCTTGTGGTACCCAAGATGCTCATCTCAGTCTCTGTCTCTCTCCTCCCTCTCCCTAATTTTCCCTTTCATCATCCCCACACCTGCTATCTTCTTCCAGCCCACGGCTGTGGCAAATCTGCTTATCCACCCAACATTTCCCGTGTTGTCGGAGGTGAGGACGCCAGACCCCATAGCTGGCCTTGGCAGGTAAATCCGCAATGTTTTTCCCCCACGTGTGGTGCAAGCGTCATGTTTGCTTTTTAGGAGGGGAGAAATGGCCCAGTGTCATCCTGCGGAACATCTCGCCACCAGAAGTGGTAGAAGCGGCTGCAGGTTCTGAAGTTCTCAGGCCCAGCCATGGACAGGAAGATTATCACGGCCTGTTAGCAGAGTGGATGATCCAGCACTGTGCTGGATCTATATACTGAAGGGGAGAAATGGTTTGTCAGCTGTTGCCACTGCCTCCCATCTCCAGCTTTGGAGGAGAGACAGTCACTACCTCTCAGCCCAACCTACCTCGCAGGGTTGGTGTGTGGATGAAATGGGGAAGGCTGCAGAACCAGGCATGCTGCCTTGAATTACTGGGGGGAAAGGTGGGGATATAAATGCAGTGAATTGATATATAAGAAATGTCAAGGTGTGGGGCCAGTATTGTGGCAAAGATACCGGGTCGACACATCAAAATATTTGTTCTTGACCCGTACAGCTAACAGCCATCTGCCTTGGGGGGGTTTGCTTTTCAGGTCTCCCTCCAGTACGACAAGAACGGCGTCTGGGCTCACACATGTGGCGGAACCCTGATTGAGTCCAACTGGGTCTTGACAGCTGCTCATTGCATCAGGTAAGCAGCACCCCACCAACAGCAAGGATACTGCAGAAACCCATCAGGCTGCAATGGTCCTGAGGTTGCAATGGAGCGGTCACCTAGCAATACTGGAACACCCACACTTAGGGTTGCCATATTCCCAAAAGTGAAAATCTGGACAAAGTTGTTGAGCATTTTTGGGGAGGGATCTCCCCCTCCCCATTTAAGTTTTTGGACTTTTTTTGGTGGGGGGGTTATAAAAGCATTTAAAAAAAAAACAAAAAAAACTGCCCTACTTGCCACATGTACAGGTTTTCCCAGACATTTTGCCGATTCAGCAAAAACCCACCTGAACAACTTTTTGCAGCCTGATTCCCGGATGTGTCCAGGAAAACACGGACATATGGCAGCTCTACCCACGCTACCATTCAAATTTCCTTGTTTCACATCAATGTGTTCCACTGAACCCTGAGCCGAACCTTTTAGACTTTAAAAAAAAAAAAATGCAAAATGGGCAAGCCAACTGCAGGAGGTCACTTTTTTGTGACATAATTTCAGAACTTGTTCAGAATGGCCACAGGATTTTTCTGGATGGAAGGAGTCTATAAGGTCCCTCTGTTCATGCTGAAAAAAATACCAAGAAAATCATGCTGCACTCTCAGGTCAAGAGCGTTTTGTTTGACATGTCCGATAGAACCAAAAGCGGTTCATTCATAGCTCATCACTGCTAATGAGAATTTTGCAAATATGGGGTTGGAGATCTGGGATAGCTCACTCGGTCAAACATGGGGCTCTTAATCTCAGAGTCATGGGTTCAAAAGGGGTGATACACACAATCAAATGTCTTTCAATAAAATGTTGGTTTTATTTATTTCATAAAAATTTATACACTCCATGATTGTAAAAAACAAACAAAAAGCCAACAACCTTCAAAGCAGTTTACAAAGGGGGAGGGGGACAATAAAATTTTGATTAAAAACAATGATTTAAAACATTCATAAAATTTAAATTAATTATAAACTAGATGCGGGTGGTGCTGTGGGTTAAACCACAGAGCCTAGGACTTGCCGATCAGAAGGTCTGTGGTTCGAATCCCCACGACGGGGTGAGCTCCCGTTGCTTGGTCCCTGCTCCTGCCAACCTAGCAGTTCAAAAGCACGTCAAAGTGCAAGTAGATAAATAGGTACCGCTCCAACGGGAAGGTAAACAGTGTTTCTGTCCGCTGCTCTGGTTTGCCAGAAGTAGCTTAGTCATGCTGGCCACATGATCCGGAAGCTGTAAGCCGGCTCCCTCAGCCAATAAAGCGAGATGAGCGCCGCAACCCCAGAGTCGGTCACGACTGGACCTGATGGTCAGGGGTCCTTTTACCTTTACCTAAAAACAGATTAAAGCACACACCAACATTCTTCATCGCTGGGTAGGCTTGTCTCAGCAAAAATGTTTTAAGCAGGTGCTGGGAAGAGTACAGCAAAGGAACATGCCTGGTGTCAATAGGCAGGGAGTTCCACAGTGTAGGTGCTGCCACACTAAAAGATTGATCAGGTGGAACAGATATTATGTGGTGCTTGTAACCGTGCCAGTTCCGTGGATCAAAGCAGTCAACTGGGTAATAAAGGCATTTTGCAGGTAAGCTAGTCCTAAGCTGCTAACACCTTGCACTTGGCCCATTAATAACACACAGACACACACCCTGCCAAAAGACCCTGCTCATTTCTAGGAAGACAAAATACTCAATGTACAAAGGAAGGAAGCTTTTGGGAAGGCATCAAAGAATCTGCATTTCATTTGATATTCATACACACACAACATCACTGCCTGTTCCTTATGTCTGTAGCTCCAGTCGGACTTACCGCGTCCTTTTGGGCAAACAAAACCTGGAAGTAGAGGAGGCCGGCTCTGTGGCTGTTGGTGTGGAAAAGTTGATCGTCCACGAGAAGTGGAACTCCTTCTTGGTCATGTAAGTTGACGTGGGATCCAGAAAGTCAGGCAACAGCTGCCCAAGTCCTGATCCTGCCAAAATAATTCCTGCTGGTATCTGGTTTTGCTAGTGAGAGAAATCACATAGGAACTTGAGTGTGTTGCTGTTGTTTTGGGGGGGTGTCTGCTTACGGGATGACCTATTAAATTGGTTTGCCATTGCTGACAGGCAAATTACCAGCACTGCCTTAAGACATACGATGATGGCTGTGTTGGGAATATTCCATTCCACCTTAAGGAGTAGACATGGAACTGTTGCGTGTCACATGTCTGTTTACATTCCAGCACAGCTTGCTGGGAACTTCTGTTGTGTGTACAGCTTTTGCTTTTCTCTGTCTCTCTGAGAAGCCGAGAGAGAGAGAGAGAGAGAGAGAGAGAGAGAGAGAGAGGACATGTTTCTTTCTTTGTCCTGGTTTATGATTAATAAATCCGTAGTTGTAGTATGCTTCCACAAGCCTCACGCCTATTTTGTGTGCGCAGTTTGCTGGGCTGATATAGTGTGCCCTGGATTTGAAGCCTGGGTCGCTGATTTACGTTGGAGCAGAGGCCGATGGGTCTTCGCAGTGGGACGGCTGGAAGGAGACGACCCAGCTGGGGCTAGCCAGCTGGCCTTGCGACCCTCTGCATGCCGACAGGCTGCTGGCTTAGAAAACTTGAAAAGTGGATTTAACAAATGCAGGCAGTGTTGCAGAAATGGCGTGCCTTTTCTCCTGATGGGATGCGGGTGGCGCTGTGGGTTAAACCACAGAGCCTAGGACTTGCCGATCAGAAGATCTGCGGTTCAAATCCCCGCAACGGAGTGAGCTCCCGTTGCTCAGTCCCAGCTCCTGCCAACCTAGCAGTTCAAAAGCACGTCAAAGTGCAAGTAAATAAATAGGGACCGCTCCGGGGGGAAGGTAAACGGCGATTCCGTGCGCTGCTCTGGTTCGCCAGAAGCGGCTTAGTCATGCTGGCCACATGATCCAGAAGCTGTACGCTGGCTCCCAAGGCCAGTAAAGCGAGATGAGTGCCGCAACCCCAGAGTCGGCCACAACTGGACCTAATGGTCAGGGGCCCTTTACCTTTCTCCTGACAAGAATTGCATTTCCTGTGGGTATTCTGCTGCAGGGGTGCATACGCTCATGTCAGGTGGTACCAGTCATTTCTCTCTTCCACCCCTTTTCTCTCTCTTTTTGCCACCCTTCCCTGTCCTTTTTCCTGACACCCCCTTCTCTCTCTCTCTTCTTCTGTCTCTCAATCTCTCGTTCTCTCTCTCTCCCCCCCCCCCCATCATTCAGCAAGCTGCCAGGGGAAGGACAGATTTCACCCTCTTGGGTTGATGGCAGTTGCAGTCCGAACATCTGGAGGGCATGAGGTTGGGGAAGGCTGGAGAATATTAAGTTTGACTCCTCTGGGTGAAAAGCTGCTTTCGAAAATGAAAACATAAACCTCTGTGCCCTCTTGGCTTCACTTTTCAGCAATGACATTGCCCTCCTCAAACTGGCTGAGCATGTGCAGTTCAGTGACACGATCCAGGCCTCTTGCCTCCCTGCCGCAGACGCTGTGCTAGCCCAGGATTACCCCTGCTACATCACTGGATGGGGACGACTCTGGAGTAAGTTGGGTGCTCCCTGTCCTGGGCATGAGCATTCTGGAAACAGCTGGACAAAAACCTTAGGGGTTGCATCCAATGCCAGTCCTACTGAGAGTAGACCTATTGAAGTTCATTCACTTCATTGGGTCTACTCTGAGTACAACTTCAGTTGGATACAAGGTACCAAAGCTCCCCCAGAACTTCTCGAAGGATTCTTCTCTGTACACTAAGAAGGAGGCTCGCTTTTTGCAGTTCAGTGTCTGTGTTGTCTGCCTTTAAGAAGATGGGAGGAATCTGTCAATTTGAGATTCTCTCAGTTTCTCATTTTTACAGTCTTAAGTTCAGTGTTCCACATTTCCGCATCAGTTTGCAAATTTCTTTTTTTAAAAATACCTATGGAAAACCATCAGCATTTTAGAGTGAATTTATCTTAAGACACACATTCTTGGATGCAATTTCCCCTTACATACACATTTATTTCTTTTACCAAACAATTTCCCCTAATAGAATATATATGTGTGCGTTGTTTTTACTAATCTATGCATTTTATGCAAACTTTCTCCTAAGATACACTTTTTTTGCACACCGCTTGTTTGGAGAACTATAATACAACTTTCAATTAAGTGTGAATACTGAAGAGTAGCTGTGTTTCAGTCTGCCTATTGATTCAGAAAAGGCAAATTAGATAAGTTTGCATTAAAATCCAAACCAAGCCAAGTTCCTCCTCATCCCTACTCTTAAGTGTCTCTCTGTTGACTGTGTGTCTGTGTGTTAAGGGGGCATGATTGTGGGCTTTCTGGTCCTGCACACAGGAAGGGGGGGGCTAGTCCCACCCACTTTTGAAATGTGGTCCCCAACAGCACCCCAAGGAGTAATGTGACCTTCTGTCCAAAAGAAGGTTCCCCAATATTCATGCAGAGTTGCCAGCTTTTGATTTCATAAATTCAGGTAGCCTGGCAAAGGCCAGATGGCAGATCAAAGTGGGATACGGGGGCAAGCAGGTTGTGTGTAAATGTGGTTTTGACTCTTTGGGGAAGACTCCTTACCACTTTCCTGTCTGTTCCACTCTGTAGCCAATGGTCCCATCTCTGACAACCTTCAGCAGGCCTTGCTTCCTGTGGTAGATCATAAGACTTGCACCAAATGGGACTGGTGGGGCTCCATGGTCAAGACCACAATGGTGTGCGCAGGAGGCGATGGTGTCGTTTCAGGTTGCAACGTAAGTCTCCCCAAACTCTTCCTTCCTCATAGAGCCTTCCCCACTTTCTCACTCTGAAGAACGTTGCTTGTGGTTTCATTAGTTTGCACATTTTCCTCCATGAAAACAAAGAGCGGTCCTTGCTTGAATCCCGACTCAGTCCAAGTGACCCTTGCCAAGCCACTTAGGAAGTTGTGTTAGCAGATCTTTGCAGCTTAGGTGAATTAGATTGGAATAATCACTTACCCTTTCTGGAGTTCAAAGGCTTTATTCATGCAGGAACTGTTTGTGGAATGTGTGAAGACGAGACAGAGAAAATAAGAGACATATTGTATGGAGAGAGCAACAAACAAAATGGCTCAGCTTTTAGGGGTGGAGTTAACATAGGCATAGAAGCTACAAGCTAGTGCTGGCTAGAATGCTACACAACCAGTTTCCTCTGGTGGTTAAAGTAAAACATGCATTATCTAGAAGTGCAGAAGGAAATGAATTTGCTTTTCTCCAGCATTTATAATGTGCTTTAAACGTATGGTGTATATGCAGGGATGGAGAAACAAGGTGTGTTGGATTCTTTTTAAGGGGATTTGGATAGTGGCAGGGGTGAATGGGGCCAAAGGACAGAGAGTATATATGGGAGAAATGTTGGGTGCAAACACCAACCCTGAAAGCCCTACCTACAAGTTGCATTGCAGGCAGAAATTCAAATAGTTTGGGAACTGCTGTAAGGCAGGGATGGGGAATCTGTGCCCCTCCATCACACACTAACACTCCAGATATTGTTGAATTGCCATCATCCCCAGCCAGCCTGGCCAATGTTCAGGGATGATGGGGGGTGGGGTTGTGGTCCAGCAACATCTGGAGAGCCACATGTTCAGCCTGCATAAAACAGACACACAGACCTATGGACCCTGTCAAGCACAAATGTGAGCTTTGCCAACCCAGGACTCCACTTCCATTTTGCCCAGCCCTTGGATCATAGTAGGGAAACAGAGGTATATGCATCCTGTTTTCTTCTGGCAGGGGGATTCTGGAGGACCCTTGAACTGCCAAGGCGGCAGCAACTGGGAAGTTCATGGCATCGTGAGCTTTGGATCAGGGTTGGGCTGCAACACCGCTAAGAAGCCGACCGTTTTCACCCGTGTATCTGCTTATGTTGGTTGGATTCGTGAGGTGAGGTTCCCGTCTTTTGCCCAGCAAAGCTGCGATGGTCTGGATGGAAGGCTTAATTCGTACTTGTGCAGCTGACTTTTCTTTTTCTTGAATGCCAGTCTGGGAAACTTTAACATCTAGCGTCTGCATAATTTCTTGTTCAGAACTCAAAAGACTTCTCAGTGTCCAAATGCTGAAATCCAGCATTTGTGTTTTGTTAGAAACTGAGAAGCATCTTTTATCATTTCATTGTGAGCAGTTTGGGAGTGGCATTCCAGCTTTAGGGCACAGTAGATGGTCCCCAGTCAAATCATCAACATTTTGGCATATTCTGGTTTTATATTTTTATTTTTTGGGGGGAGAAAGATTCAGTCCAACTGATTAATTGACACGCTTAACTGGGAGTAACCCCATTTGAGCTCAGCAGGGCTTGTTTTTCAGTAGACATAAGTAGGACTGTGCTGTAAATTCCAAACTTTGCAACTCCCTGCCTATTGACATCTGGCAGGTGCCTTCACTGTATTCTTTTCAGCACCTGCTTAAAACATTTCTGCTTAGACAAGTCTACCCAGGTATGAAGAATGTTGACATGTCTTTTAATCTGTTTTCAGTTTATTGTTGATTTTAATTAACCTTTGCATGTTTTAAATAGCTTTTTTGGGGGTTGTCCTTACTGGTGATTACCGTATATTGTTTTCTTTTTTGCAAACAGCTTTAAGGCTTAAGGGTATTTTTTTAAAAAATAAATAAACCAAGAGGGTATTTTAAAAAATATTTAATTAATTAATTGAACTTTGGTTCCATTGAACCCACTGGGATTTAAGTCAAGTCATGACTTACCGTAAGTTTTATTTTCATCAGGGGCCAAAATCCCCACACGAAAATGCAGAAGGGGCATTTGGTCAGCCGTGGTTTAGGAACAAAGACTGAGTTCAGCAAGCTGTTTGCTTCTGGCCCATCCTGGCAATTACTGTATTCTGATACCTAAATTCTAATGCCCAAATTCACATCTATATTTTTGGTCTCTTTTTCCTCCTCTAGAAACTGAATGAGAACTGAAGGCCCACACCCTGACCTTGTGGATCAATATGAGAAAATCCAGAACTGCAACCAATAAACCATCACAACTGCTCTCGTGTCAATGCATTGTATTTTTTTCCTGCTCTCACTTGAAATGCTTGGAATCACTCACACTGTTTGGGGTGCGGAGCCTTTTTTGAGTCCAAAGGCCACATTCCTTTCTGGGCATCATTCTGGAGGGCCGCATGCCAAGGCTGGGGAGGGCCAGAGGCATAAGTGGGTGGAGCAGTGGGTGCGAATTTTACCTTTGAACAGCAGGCTAGTTTCCATATGTAACGCTCTCTCCCCCGCTCCCAGAAAAGCAAGAGATATTGTCAGAGTGCATGGATACATTGCAGGCAGACAAACGCACTCAAGGAGGGCACAAAGCAGAGTGTGGCCTTGGGAGAGTTCTGAGATCCAACGATCCAGTGGGTTACATTCAGCTCCCAGGCCTGAGGCATCCCTCCCCACCTCTCCAGTTTATACCCTTTCCAGTTCACAGGTGAAAAACTGGAAGGCTCTTCTTGGGTATATACTTCAGCTGACCCTATATACAGTGGTACCTCGGGTTACATACACTTCAGGTTACATACGCTTCAGGTTACAGACTCCGCTAACCCAGAAATAGTACCTCAGGTTAAGAACTTTGCTTCAGGATGAGAACAGAAATCGTGCTCCAGCGGTGCGGCGGCGGCAGGAGGCCCCATTAGCTAAAGTGGTGCTTCAGGTTAAGAACAGTTTCAGGTTAAGAATGGACCTCCAGAACGAATTCAGTACTTAACCCGAGGTACCACTGTACCACAGTCTGTCCCTCTTTTCTCATTGACCATATATCAACGCCATAGAATCGCAGCCAGTGAAATTATGAGGCCAAATGACCCACCTCTGAATGGCGCTAATGGAAAGCATGGTGAACCCAGGGCAGTGACTCATCCAGAGACCCAATGGGCAGCCTCCTCTGTGACTAGATGGCACTGGGTTCAAAGGACCATTGCTTACTTGAACGCCTTGATTTCTTACAAGGGCAGCTTCTTTTCAGCACGGCTGTCTTGCTCCAGCAAACAGCTTGGGCATTCACTGAATTGCAGAGTTGGAAGGGACCCCAAGTCTAGCCCAACTCTCTGCAATGCAGGAATCAGACGGCTTTGGAAAGTCTAAGCAAGAGGGGATGTTACTCCATAATTGTACGTGGTTGTCGGGTACAGAATCCTACCCTTCGTCCTGAAAAAAAGAGCCAATTGAAAGAGTTTCATTTGGAAGAAAGGGGAGGGAGGGAGAGAGAGGAAGGAAGGAAGGAAGGAAGGGGAGGATAGAGTTGTGTGCACCCAAATATCTAAATGGCAAGAGACTCCTGGGATGCCTGTATTTACTCAGGGTTTAGTTTCCTTGGAATAAAGGTCAGCAGAGTGATATATCTTTAGGATATATGGGTTTATCTAGCCATACAGTGGTACCTCTAGTTATGAACTTAATTCATTCCGGAGGTCCGTTCTTAACCTGAAACTGTTCTTAACTAGAGGCGTGCTTTTGCTAATGGGGCCTCTTGCTGCTGCTGCACCGCTGGCACACAATTTCCGTTCTCATCCTGGGGCAAAGTTCTCAACTCGAGGTAACTCTTCCAGGTTAGTGGAGTTTGTAACCTGAGGCGTTTGTAACTTGAGGTACCACTGTAAATACAACCAGAGCATCAGATGGAGAAGCTCACAGCCCTAACACCCCAACAGATTAAAACTACGCTCAAGGCGGCTTACAACATGAAAAGATTTACATAATTACAATAATAATAATAATAATTTATTATTTATACCCCGCCCATCTGGCTAAGTTTCCCCAGCCACTCTGGGCGGCTCCCAATCAAGTGTTAAAAACAGTACAGCATTACATATTGTCTTCTGAATGTCAGGTAATTGTTTATCTCTTTGACATCTGATGGGAGGGTGTTCCACAGGGCGGGTGCCACTACTGAGAAGGCCCTCTGCCTGGTTCCCTGTAGCTTTGCTTCTCGCAATGAGGGAACCGCCAGAAGGCCCTCGGTGCTGGATCTCAGTGTCCGGGCTGAACGATGGGGGTGGAGACGCTCCTTCAGGTATACAGGACAAAAGCAGTCATCAGCAATAAACAAAATACATCAAAAAGTACACAACAAGACTGAAACCATTATCACATAAATCGTAAGACCTCATCATAAGGATACAAAAAAAGAATAACATCAGTAACAGCAATAAAAATACCGAACAAAACCACCCAAATAATAATACCTCAGCCCTGTCAGTCTGTCTATCTGTCCAGCTTCCAGCATCAGCCCAACTCCAGCCCTCAACTCTCTCCTTCACAGCTCCCTTGACTTATTGCTTTCCATCCAGCCAGGTGAGGCCCATCCATTTATCTCTATGGCAATAGAGCCACCTCTTTGGATATGGCAAATAGCGGTACTTAACTGGCCATTACCCTAACTGAGAAACTGGTTTGGCTGGTTTAGCAGCCTTTTCTACTGAATTCTAAGCATCTGGACTGACTCCCCAAACTCAAGAGAGGGAGGGAGGCTAGTAAAGCAAAGAAAGAGGAGGGTGAGGAGGGGAAGAAAGAGAAAGGAAAGAAAGATTCTTTCCCTGAAGAATAGCCCATGGAGTACAATGAAATATTCTCCACGACAGCCATCATCTTAAGCAAGCTCCACCTCCTGCTCTGATTTGAATTCCAGACTTTTGTACTGTGTCCATTTCCCCCTCCCTGCTGAATACCCCTTCCCTTAAAAGCTACAGCTTTTAAGACAGGCTAAGGGACATGGGTGGCGCTGTGGGTTAAACCACAGAGCCTAGGACTTGCTGGTCAAAAGGTCGGCAGTTCGAATCCCCGCGATGGGGTGAGCTCCCGTTGCTCGGTCCCTGCTCCTGCCAACCTAGCAGTTTGAAAGCACGTCGGAGTGCAAGTAGATAAATAGGTACCACTCTGGCGGGAAGATAAACGGTGTTTCTGTGCGCTGCTCTGGTTCGCCAGAAGTGGCTTAGTCGTGCTGGCCACATGACCCGGAAGCTGTACACTGGCTCCCTCGGCCTATAAAGCGAGATGAGCGCCGCAACCCCAGAGTCGGCCACGACTGGACATAATGGTCAGGGGTCCCTTTACCTTTACCTAAAGCCCCTGGACCTCTCTTTACATTAGCCACTGCAATTCAACAGGATTAGTTCCTTCTCTGGAAAGAGGACTCTATATGTTTCTTGGAGTGCTTCCAGGCAAACTGTTTTCTCCTGTGTACACTCCATAGATGTAAAGCACACACACAAACCAAGAATCCTGGGAACTTTAGTTTATCCATCACAGGGCTACAATTCCTATCACCCTTAATATGGCAGAATTTGTTCTTTTTTTTAAAAAAAAAGGACATGCTTGAAATGCACGCTGTGTATGCAGGATTCTGGCTATTTAATGAGCTTTAATTGCACTTGAATTTGCCAGTATGAGATTGAATCCCACCCAAAAAGAGGGACTGTCTGGAAAGCAGTATCAGCAGCCTGTTGCTGTTGTTGCTGTTGTATTTGTACCCCGCCCATCTGACTGGGTTGCCCCAGCCACTTTGGGCAACTCCTAACAGATATAAAAATATAACAAAATACCATACATTAAAAACTTTCTGTCTTTAGATGTCTTTTAAAAGTCGTGTATTTATCTCTTTGACATCTTTTTATTACTGTCTTTTTCTTTTTTTCTTTTGACAAAGTAATAATCAAAAATAAATAAGAATAAAAATGTGCTCCTCACCACCGAGACCATTCCATTGTAACTATCCAACCTCCCAAAATTTCAATACCTCTTCCGATGGTTTGACCCCTTTCCGTTTTAACAGTACAAATTCTATATATACCTTCCATATCTCCTCAAAATCATTTCTCCTGCCTTTCCCTGCCTTACCTTAATGACACATGCTAATTTATCATTAATAGCTATATCCCACACCTCTTTTTATCATTTTTCCATTTTATATTCTGCTTGCCCACTTCCTAGCAACAGTACTTTTTTTCCTAAATAAATGTTTAGGGCTACTCTCGTTTTCCTACTCATACTGAAACCCTGCCCCTCAGTGAGGCCAAACTTAGATTCACAAAATGTTTAGGGGTATGCGTACCCCTGTATCCTCCCAGGAAAAAAGCACTGCCTAGCTATAATAATTCGTGCAGCTGTCAATAAATTTGTGGGCAAATTCTTCATAGCCTACGAACCTTCCACCCCATCGTAAGTTGATAATAATGCTACCTCTGGAATTTCAGTCAGCTTTGACCCAGTGATTTCTGTTATCTCCATCTCCTTGACATCTGATGGGATGGTGTTCCATAAGGCGGGTGCCGCTACTGAAAGGCTGTCTGCCAAACCACCCATGCAACATCTGCATGTGTGTGTGTGTAGCCAGAGACCATGCAATACACTACAGACACCTGAGGCGGTAGGTCCCATCACTCCTTTCTGGCCAACCATCTATAGAACATTATTCCCTCCTCGCTAAACAGGTAAGTGGATGAATTAGCCAATGGAAACTGAGGCTTCCTCCAGATGTAGTAGAATGTTGCACATTGCGGAATATGTTCTTCGCAGTGTCTGAAAAACTTCGTTGTCATCAAAATCCCCTTTAGAAAATGGGCTCCAGGCCTCATGGTTCGAAACAAAGGGGCATTGCTCCATCTAACCCAGTGTTGACAGACAGTTGATCTGCAGGATTCAGGCTGGGAATCTCTCCCATCCCTATCTGGAGATACGAGAATTGAAGCTGAGACCTTTTGTGGGCAAAGGAGACCCTCTGCCACTGAGACAGCAATTCCTTGAAAGGGGCACATCTTAATTCGGCAGTGCAGTTTTCCAAGCAAACAAGGTTTACAGAAATGTATATATGGGTACCTTCCAACATTTTGAGTCCCCAAACCGGAGCTCGCATCTTCCTATTCGACCTGCACAAGATCACAGATCCCCAAACAAGTGCTTTTTTTTCCAGGCTGTGCACTCACGGTGCACAAAAATGCATGTTTTGGGGCGCTGCGCGAGATTGCGGCCCCGAAAGAGTGCTTTTTCAAGGCAAAATCTTGGGGTGAATCACACGAGATCAGAGAACTCAAAATGGAGATACAGTACAGGCATCCCACCCCCCTAATACCGGGGTTACATTCCGACCACTTGTGTGCATAAATGAAATTTCATAAAGTGGGGGGCACCCACTAAAAAGCCTCTGAATGCATATTCTTCACTGCTCTTCAGCTCTATCAACAATCCAGACCAAAATATCTAGAGTTGAATCTCTAGGGCTGGCTGGAGGCTGGAAGCCATGCGCTTGCTGCTGCTGTGCTACCCCAGGCGCCGGGTATTAGTCAGGGAGGCTGAGCAGCATAAACAAAGCCCCACTGAGCCTCTGGTCTCTTTGGGGCTTCCTCCGCCCCCAATGACATCCTCTTTGGGTTCCAGGGAGGGTCTCCATGTGAGCCATAAGGACTCTCCAGCTCTCTCCCACCATATCTTGGTATGATTCTATTTATTCATTAATTTTCAGGTGTCACGTGTATACAGTGGTACCTCGGGTTAAGAACTTAATTCATTCCGGAGGTCCATTCTTAACCTGAAACCGTTCTTAACCTGACGTACCACTTTAGCTAATGGGGCCTCCCGCTGCTGCCGCTGCACCGCAACTGCACGATTTCTGTTCTCATCCTGAAGCAAAGTTCTTAACCCGAGGTACTATTTCTGGGTTAGTGGAGTCTGTAACCTGAAGCGTCTGTAACTCGAGGTACCAGTGTACACGATCGTGCATGAATAGAACATGTGTAAGGGGTGGGGAGGTGCCTGTTCTCTAATGCAGGGATGAAAGATCATGTGTCTGTCTAGACACTGTTGGAGTCTTACTCCCCAGCCAGCATAGCCAATGCTCAGGGAAGATGTGGAGTGGCTTCCCACCTGTGGGGCCCCCGGATGGCTGCATTTCAGTTTGCTCCTTGTTCCAAAAAGTGCAGGTTAAACAGGCTTGCTTTTAGAGGTGAACTGACGTCGATTGCTGCCCCATTCCCTGCCCTTGACCCTGAGTGCTATATTTAGGCCACGTTTCAAGGCTGCAGGCCTCCTTACGAAACACCCTCACATCACTCCACCTGCAGGGTTCCCAAAAGGTGACAAGAATTCCTCGATAGTTTCTGTTTCGTTGCTGAGCTCGGCAAGGTCGCGGCACACCTCCCTTTTCTTGTAGATAGGAAAGTCCCGTCATGTGTTATGTTTCCCCTGACCCTCTACCAGTGGCGTAGCATGGGGTGCCAGCACCCAGGGAAAGACAGGAAAGGGATGGGAGCGTCACCATGGGGAAGGGGGATAGCATGTTGCCATGGGTCCTCCTCCCCCATTTTTAGTGCAACCGACGACATGCAGGCTTTCTTGGGAGGTGCAGGACATGGATTTTCAACCGTAGCCCCTCTGTTGCCAGCCTGCTCTTGCCCGGGCTCCTTAATGCACAACAGACACACACCCAATCTTCAGTACACACCAAAGCTGTGACTTGGGTGGGAGAACAAGCAGCTGTGGGGGTATTTTGGCACGGCCTTTGGGAGGAAGGCAATGGAAACTTTCTGATTGCCATGTCTCCTAGTGGCTCACAACCAATGCAGACCTTTCCATGCCACTGATAGCATTATCAGCTGGACCTGCCACTGATAAACCCGCCCAGAATATAAGACCATTTGATGGAGAGCAAGAATCTTCTCAACAGAGATGTCCTCAGCCATGATTGGAGTCCTCTTCGCTGCTCTGGCGTTGGCCTACGGGGGTATGGGTTGAACTCAGGATAAATAAGAGGGTGTAATTGCCTGGTTCCTAGCCACATAGGCATGGAGGTGGCCGGCCTCCACTCCTTTAGATGGCTTTCAGAAAAAGAGTATCTAGATTATGAATGAAGGAGAGCTCAGCCAAGTGTTTACTGGCCAGGACAGCAATAGTAATAGCAGAATTTCCACATGCAGAGGCATTCTCTCTCAGAGGGTCTGATACCAGGAGCAAACCACGGGGTTTATCTCATTTATTCAGGCTCCCTAGGGGCCTGGAGACACATCACTGGACAGATGGACCTCTGGTCAGAATCTGCAAAGCAAGTGGTGTGTTTGAATGGGAACCCTGGAGAGAAGGTCAGACTAGACCGTCCTTGGCAGGCTGGGGAGGTGCTCTCAAAATGCAGCGCAGAGAGGGGGCAACTCAAAACCCAGCCAGGAGCGATTATGGTCTAGCAATGAAGAATGAGAATTGTTAGCAGCAGCAGAGCAGGAATTTTTTTACAGGCTGCTTATATGCTGTTTGAAACTGCTCTGCACTTGTCAAGCAGATAAACAGCGATGTAGTTTTTTTAAAGACATCTGAAGGAAGCCCTGTTCAGGGAAGTTTTTAGTTTGTGAGGTTGTATTGTGCTGTTTCTACTTTTTGTTGGGAGCTGCCCAGAGTGCCTGAGGCAACACAGTCAGATGGGCTGCATATAAATTATTATTATTATTAAGCTGATGAAAGCCTCAAAACAAGATGCACAATCGATTCTACCAGGAGATGTGGAAAACCTCTCCAGATGCTTTTCTGATATGTATCAGGCACTGAAAGCCATTTTGTGGGCTCTGTGTGCAGATGTGGTGGGATGGGGAGGGGTCTGCATTTCCAACTCACCCAGGCTGCATACGCAAAATAGCTTTGAAGCACATTCAGAGCACACACACACACACACACACACACACACCTGCAAAGAGTTCTGGGCACTGTCATTTGTAAGAGTTGCTGGGAACTGTGATTCCTTGAGGAGTGAACTGCCGTGCCCAGAATTCTTCAAGGGGAGAACGTGACCTGAAGGTCTAGTGTATGTACACAGCCTGTACAGACTCAGCAAAAACTCATTTCTTTCACACACACTCTGATTTCCAGTAGCTCAGCCACCACCAACCCCTGAAAGGGGTGGTATTGTGTAGAGTCAAAGAGGGTTCTTGCAACAATATAGGCACACTAATTTGTAGCCTGAGCATTTTGCTGCCTTGAGAATCATCCATCTGTTGCACTGAACCTTCCAAGAGTGTCTGCACTGTGTCCTTTTCGCAGCCTTCAGTTGTGGGGTCCCGGCCTACAAGCCCAATGTAAGCAGAGTCGTCGGAGGGGAGAATGCCCGGCAGAACAGCTGGCCCTGGCAGGTAAGATACAGCCTTGGAGTCTTGTTGTCCAACTAATTGTCTGTCTCTCGGTATTGAAAAAGATTCCTTCCTTTGGCTTTCCATCATGGACTATTTTCCCGAGGATTGGGTGGGGGTTAGGGTTAGGGTTAGGGTTAGGGTTAGTGTCCCATCGATCCCAGCTGCCATGTTCTGCTGTGTGCTCAATTTCCAAGACTCAGAAAAACAGGATTGTCTCTGTATTTTGTGGTGTCTCCAGAGAAGGATTGGTTGTGGGGTGGGAGCTTCCATGCATGCCAGAGAAACAGGATTCCACCATAAATTTGAGCAGTTGACCCTGTAATGAGAGAGGAAACAGCTCCAGGAAGTTGCCCCATCTCCGGTTTGTCAGCTATGAAAATGTACCAGGTATCAAAGTCAACAGGTATCAAAGTCAACATGTCAAAGGCCTAGTAATGAAAGGAGAAAAAAATCAGAGTTAAAGTCATTTATTACAAAATGCACACTCAGAGCATCTGGAGAGGGTTTTTCAGGAGCAAGCTTGTTTCGGCTCTGATTTGGGTAGCATGAAGGGTGGTCCAGGGTTGGGCATCCTTCAAGCTCATCCTGAGACTTGCCTCTCATTCTCAGGCTTCCCTTCAATATTTGTCCGGTGGGAATTGGCATCACACATGTGGCGGGTCCCTCATCGCCACCAACTGGGTCATGACAGCCGCTCACTGTATCAGGTATGTCAACACCCAAATAAAACAGCTGCATTTAAGTCTCTGGGATTCTTGGCACTCTGGGAAATTTGGCCACTCCTGGCGGTCTGTGTCCAGTTATGAGCACCACAGTTGGAGAAGGATATTGACAAGGTGTGCAGAGGAGGGCGACCAAGATGTTCAAAGGCCTGGAAACCAAGCCTTCTGAAGAACAGTTGAGGGAGTTGGGTATGTTTAGCGTGGATAAGAGGAGACTGAGAGGGAATATGGCAGCCATCTTCAGATATCTGAAGAGCTGTCACATGGAAAATGTAGCAAGTTTGTATATGCTGCTGTTCCAGAGGGTGGGGCCCGAACCAGTGGTTTCAAATGACAATGGACTAAACTTTAAGAAGAACTCTCTGATGATAAGAGTTGTTCAACAGAGGAATGGACTATCTTGAAGTGTGGTGACTTTCCTTCATTGGGGTTTTTTAAGCAGAGGTTCGATGTCCATCTGTCAGGGATTCTTTATTGATCCTTGCCTTCCAGCCTGCCAGGAATACTGAGAGTACTGACCTCCCCCTTGCTTGGACCATCACATATTGGTCACTGAAAGAAGAAGATATTGGACTAGTTGGGTCTTTGCCTGATGCAACGAGGCTCTTCTTGCAATTGGCAAAATGAATGTAGCCCATGAAAGTGTTTGATATGCAAAAAATACTGGGTTGTATCCATAATACACTGGTACCTCGGGTTAAGTACTTAATTCGTTCCGGAGGTCCGTTCTTAACCTGAAGCACCACTTTAGCTAATGGGACCTCCTGCTGCTGCCGCACCGCCGGAGCACGATTTCTGTTCTCATCCTGAAGCAAAGTTCTTAACCCGAGGTATTATTTCTGGGTTAGCAGAGTCTGTAACCTGAAGCGTATGTAACCTGAAGTGTGTGTAACCCGAGGTACCACTGTAATTTAATAAGAGCTTGCGGCCCATCTAGTCCAGCATCCTGCTTTCACAGTCGCCAGCCGGATGCCGGTGAGAAGCCAGCAAGCCGGACCCTCAAGTGTTAGTCGTACTCAGAGAAAGACCCACTGAAATCAAGGCAGATGACTCATTCAGGTCCATTAATTTCAATGCGTCTACTCTAAGTAGAATGTAGTTGGATACAACCCGACTCACTTGACTTTTCTTCTTCATTATGCAAAGAAACACTCTCATCCCTCACTCTTTTTCTCCATTTCTTCAGTTCTGGTCGGACTTATCGCGTCTTCCTTGGAAAGCACAGTCTCTCATCCAGCGAGAAAGGATCAGTTGCCGTTTCCCCATCAAAAATCATTGTTCATCCCAAGTGGGACGCAAGTAGACTTACCAATGGGTAATATAATAGCTTTTCATGAAGCAAGAATAGAAAAAATTATTGTGGCCAACAGTGGTGGTGGTGGTGGTGGTGGAGCAGAGATAAAGTTAATTTTCTATATTATTATTTTTCAAATCAATTCTAGTATTTGGCATGCCATCAAAGTCATACATTTATTTTTCTGAGTAAATCTTGCGTTTTCCATGTGAAAGCCAGCAGCAGCATTAACAAACTGCGGCTGAATTACATTTTCTAACCAAGAAAAATGGAATCCCCTACTCGTCAGCTGATGCATGGTTTAATCCTGCTTTCTAGCTGCAGGATCATCCCATATCTTTACCTGTCCCATGTCTGACATCACATGCAATATCAGGTGTGGGGTGAGTGGGTGTGGTTCAAGGGGGGAACAGCCTTACCAGCAAAAGTTGTGGCGGGTCACATTTAGCCTCTGGGCCAAAAGTCCCCCACCTATTGGCCTGGAGGCTTGTCAGTTAATCCAGAGTCTTTGCATTCATTTGCCCAAACCCTGGGAAATGCGGAAAAAATATTGGGCAATTTATCTAGAATCCCCTCAGCGCGGTTTTCTAGTTTCCATGCACACCATAAGCCACATTCTCACCTTACATTTTAAACCATTATAAGACTTTACCAGTCATGGCTCCCCACCCAAAGAATCCTGGGAACTTTTGTTAGTAAACCCTTGTTCTCCTCACAGAGCCACAATTTCCAGAGTGGTTTAACAATCAGTCCCTCTTCCCAGTAAACTCTGGGAACTGTAGCTCTGTGAGGGGAATAATGGCAGCCAGCACCCTTAGCAAATTACAGCTCCCAGAATGCTTAGGCGGGAAGCCATGACTGTCTAAAGAGGTACAATAATGCTTTAAATAAACGGATGGATGCGGCCTGCTCTTCATGCCCATTTTCCCTCTTTCTCCAGGAACGATATTGCACTCATCAAACTTTCTCAGCATGTCACCTTGAGCAACAGCATCCAGACGGCTTGCCTCCCCAAAGCCAACAGTATCTTAGCTGCCAACTATCCTTGCTACGTAACTGGATGGGGAAGGCTGATAAGTAAGTGTCGTGATGGATTTTTTTAAATTGAAAAAATATTATTATTATACTTAATTGCAAGCAGTTTGCGACTCATTGCCCTTTTGAGGAGCATAATGCGCAGCAGTGCAGTGATACACTCAGAAGTGCAGGGTCCTTTCATGAGAGTCACAGCCATGCCCCCATCTAAGATTACACAGTAATCTTTATAAATATAGAATAATAATAACCATGGCTGTAATGCAATAATAAACAAAGGTCTCCATGTGTTACATTTCAGCTAGATCTACTATTTTCTGGGCACACTTCTCCTTGGTGTTTCTCGCATGTGATTTCTCCAGGCCAACCCTAAGAGCCAATCTTCAGTGGCTGACTCACCACCTGGATAGCTCAGTTGGTTAGAGTGTGGTGCTGATAACACCAAGGTTTCAGGTTTGATCCCCGTAAGGGACAGCTGCATATTCCTGCATTGCAGGGAGCTGGGCTCTACAATTCTATGAGTCGATTCCTTTCACTCTGATTGGCTCCAATCAGAAGCAAAAGTGAGAAGACTTCTTCTGAGGTGCTAAAATTCTCCCCTTTCTTGCCCTTTGGGCATCTCTAGATTACAATTTAAGCCTCTTCCTTTAGTGCTAGGGGGATGAAGACAGGGGGACTTCCAAGTAGTTTATAAATCTTCTAAATAAAAATAAAATAAATAAACACTGCATGTACCAGCTTTCTAAAGTTGCCTGAGAATGAGGCAGAAAACTGGAAGTCTCTTTCACAGGGGAAGAGCACTTTCAAAGAATGGGAGGGCATTTTTTTTTATTTTTTAAAAAACCAAAGTACTAGGATGCCTATTGTGGGATGTGGGTGGTGCTGTGGTCTAAACCACTGAGCCTCTTGGGCTTGCCGATCAGGTCAGCGGTTCGAATCTCCACGACGGGGTGAGCTACTGTTGCTCGGTTCCAGCTCCTGCCAACCTAGCAGTTCAAAAGCATGCCAGTGCAAGTAGATAAATAGGTACTGCTCTGGTGGAAAGGTAAACAGCGTTTCCGTGTGCTGCTTTGGTTTCGGTGCTCCGTTGCGCCAGAAGCGGCTTAGTCATGCTGGCCACATGACCCGGGAAAACTGTCTGCAGACAAACGCTGGCTCCCTCAGCCTGTAAAGTGAGATGAGCTCCACAACCCCAGAGTCGTCTGTGACTTAACTGTCAGGGGTCCTTTACCTTTTCCTTTTTAGGACGCCTATTACTTCCTTGCTTGACATTGCTCCATCTCATAACCCTCTTGCTTTGGTCTCTTCTAGCAAATGGTCCGTTGCCAGATATCCTGCAGCAGGGGCGCTTGCTTGTGGTGAATCACGCCACCTGCTCCCAGGCCAGCTGGTGGGGCAGCTCGGTGAAAACCAACATGGTCTGTGCAGGCGGCGATGGTGTGATCTCCAGCTGCAACGTGAGTGTGTTCGTGCATGCAGGTGTCAGGGTAGGGGCAGCCCAATCCAGTGGCCAGAAACAACACGCCTTGCAATCGGAAGGAGATGTACCAAAGAACCAGATTTGCAATACATAACTCATTCTGGCATTCGCAAGGGATGGAGGCGAAATTCAGCTGGGTTTGCATTTGAGTCACACTCCTTGAAACAATAATATGAACCACCCTTCCAGCTCAAGATAGCCTGCACTGCCTGGCAGCAGCTTCCCAAGCCAGACGGGCAGGGCCGAATTTAGGTTTGATGAGGCCCTAAGCTACTGAAGGTAATGGGGCCCTTTATATGTCCAGCTGTCCTTTGTCAACAACAAATTGTTGCTGTTTTTTGTGTTGAATATGTGCTATGTGGTAATTTATGGACCTAATAGGTATCTAAAGCCACTTGCACATAACATGACATGTATTTTTTCAAAGTAATTGTTGAACTGAAATACAATTAAGAAGTATATTAATAGTGAAATACAATTAAGAAGTACCGGTATATTAATAGTGAAATAATTATTGAGCCCTAACTTAAAATGATTTTTTTATTTATAACAAACTTGATAATGCAAACACATTGGCATTTGTCAATAACAAAAGTTCCTTTAGAAACACAATTTACAAAGACTCATAATCTAGTCTCTAGAAACTTGCTATCACATGAAATAATAATTGTAGGTTTTATTTTATTTGTTTTTTATCTTATATTTTGGAAATGTACATCCAGGTTTTTTTCCTTTAAATTTTTTTGGGGGGCCCAAGAGAGTGGAGCCCTAAGCTATAGCCTGCTTAGCTTATACATGGACTTATGTATAAGCTAAGCAGGCACTTCTGGAGCAGCCAAAGGTTGAAACTTCTGCATTCAAAGCAGGTGCTCTAAGCACTGAGCCCCAGCCCTTCCCCAATCAATTATGCCCCTGTACTTTCCCATTCCCCATTCCTCAACGCAGAGCATTCGTGGTGACCCAGAGCATCTCCTTCCCCAAAAGCTCCATCAAATTCTGCTTGGCTTGTTTACAGGGGGACTCCGGTGGCCCACTCAACTGCCAAAACTCTAGTGGGAAATGGGAGGTGCACGGAGTGGTCAGCTTCGGTTCCTCTCTTGGCTGCAACTACTACCGCAAGCCGTCTGTCTTCACGCGGGTCTCCGCCTTCAACGACTGGATCGCGCAGGTGAGCAGCACACCTTGAGGCCGGTCCGCCATCCTTGCTGCTTAATATGGATGCTGCGCCAAGAGTGGGCTTCAGTAGAGACAGAACACATTTGGGATGAAAGGCGGCAGGGGAAGATCTGCCTTTCGACTGAGGCTACACCCACATTTTCCTCTGGATTTCTGAAGCGTCCAATTCCCTGGCTCTGTTTCCGATGTGGATTTGGTGCATTAGGAACACACGCACCTTTCCCCCCCCTTTTTCATTTCTGCATTTGATTTCTGCAGAGTGCAGCCATAGGCATGCAATTCAAATTCATTCCACTCGAAATCATTTACAAAATATTTTGCCCCTTTGAGCCCTCCCCAAAGTAAGCACTCCCCATTCAGTCTGGAAACGGCCCTCAGATTCAGCTGCCAGTCTGGGCAGGTTTTGTACATGGAATTGGAAGTGTGTGGTTTCTGCAGAGGAGGGAGGAGATCACCTTTGCCTCAGGTAACCAAAGGTCTCTGGGAACCTAGCAGACATCTCTAATGCCTCTAATCTGCCCATCCTGCTTTTAGAACTCAAAGCAAGGGTGGATATGGGCGAAAGATGGCTGGAGAGATTTTGGTTTTGAAAGGGAGGGTCTTTGGCAGCCAATCCAGGTCCCCACTCATAGCCATTATATGCATCTCAAGCCCCTATCCCACCATTGCCATCTGCGAAACCAGTTCATGTGAGACAAATGGGATGAGGGGGGGGGGGGACATGCCACAAAAAAAGCAATTTACAAGTTTTATACAAGGCTTGTTTTTTTTCCCAAACAACAAAAACCACCCTCTAAGCGGCTTATGTAAGAGAAGGTAAAATATGCATACGATATGAAATCAGCAATCATCATAAAATGATCAAAATACAGATGAAACCTTTTAAAAAAATGAATACTGTATATACAAAGGCAAATAAGCCAATGATTCTTGCTTTTTGAGACAAATACTCACACTTCCTCTTTCTTTTGCATTGTCTGTAGGTGATGGCGCAGTATTAAGGTGAGGAGTGTTGAAACCCAGAGAGAATCGGCCAGGAACGCTGTCTTAAGAATAACATCAGTTGCACAATAAAACAAAAGCAAACATTGCAATAATCCAAGCAAGAGTGTTCAGTCCCAGATGCTGGGAGCACTTTTTTTTTTGTATCTACGATCTCCTCTTTTCAATTCTCTGCCACTTTGCCCAATCCAACATGTTAAATAGCAGTTTCCAGTTGTTCTGATGAGGGGTTACAAAATTCAACATGTGCTGCTCAGGTACATAGTGGAATCTCCTGGCTGGCTGATTTATGGTGTTTTATTCAGTTCTTATTAACACTGATTTATTATTGGCCTTCTCAACCACTGTCCCAAGGTGATTTAATAGATGAGAGAATTAAAAACAATCAGAAACACAAAAATAGCAAAACTAAAACCTTTGGCAGAACCAAAGGTTACTTTCACACTGCATGCATCTGCTTCACCCACACACCAACAGAAATTTCTCCAATACATGCAAAGGCAATGACCACGTTGTCTCAACAGAGACAACCAAGGTAACTTGTCAGGAAGGGATGCATTTGCCAAAATGCAAGAACACTCCAAGCAGCTGTAAGTCAGAAACATCATGTTTTTTATTTATATAAATTTATATACATTCTGATTGTAATTTTTTTTTAAAAAAAGCAACCCTCAATGCAATTTACAAAAGAATAATGCCATAACACCATCAGTAAAAACAGTTGAAAATTGAAAACATTAAAAAAAAAAAATTAAAAACAGATTAAAACACCTGTCCACATTCTACATATCTGGGTAAGTAAAGGTAAAGGGACCCCTGACCATTAGGTCCAGTCGTGACCGACTCTGGGGTTGCGGCGCTCATCTCGCTTTATTGGCCGAGGGAGCCGGCGTACAGCTTCCGGGTCATGTGGCCAGCATGACTAAGCTGCTTCTGGTGAACTAGAGCAGCACACGGACATGCCGTTTACCTTCCTGCCGGAGCGGTACCTATTTATCTACTTGCACTTTGACATGCTTTAGAACTGCTAGGTTGGCAGGAGCAGGGACTGAGCAATGGGAGCTCACCCCGTCGCAGGGATTCAAACCGCCAACCTTCTGATCGGCAAGTCCTAGGCTCTGTGGTTTAACCCACAGCGCCAGACTTGCCTAAATAAAAGTTTTTTAGCATGCATCGAAAAGAGTGCAGTGAACACACCAGCCCCATGTCAATAGGCAGGAAGTTCCAAAGTTGTGAGCGCAGCCACACTAAAAGATTGATTTCTTACAAATGCAGAATGAGTATTATGTGGCACCTGTATCAGTACTAGTTCCACAGAACTAAGCAGTTGAGTGGGCATATTTGGTAAATTTGTCAGACAAGCACCCTAAAGATGGCTCAAGTTTCATGTAAAGCAAATTCTTAAAAGTTTCAGCAGACCTTCCAAAAATAAACTGAAACGGGCATGAACAGACACCACAAGGGCATGGAATTATCAAAATTATCAGGATTTGGGATGCTCTTCAGATCATGTTCTGTCCTTGCTCCTGCCACTGAGCAGTTTCACAGACAACAGAGTCTAAATAAGGAACAAGACAGACTGCAGAGAAATATAGATTTAATTGTGCACATACAACGTGCACATCCTCTTCCCCCAACTAAGTGCTTTTTAAACTATTGGGTTGTAGCTGACCAAGTCCTACTCAGAGTAGACCCGCTGAAAACAATGGATCTAAGCGAGTCATTTCCATGGATCCACTCTGAGTAGGGCTAACTTTGGAGACAGCCCTCTATTATTCATCTGCGGCCTGTTTACACCTCCAACATGAGCTGGCTTAACAGCCGCAGCTTCCCCTCAATCACTTTTGCAAAGGAAGACAGGCAATTGGAAAAAGTAATTTGGAATGCCTTCAATACAGACACAGAAAAAGGTAATAGAGGGGGATCTTAAATTGCTGGAGGACACCTTGGAAGGAGGCAGGCTTTTGGTGCAAACTGGTTTCCCTGGCCATTTTCTCAGGGATCAATGGGTGATTCGGAAACCAGAAAGAGAAGAGAAGAATCTTTGTAGAGTGGTGAAATTTGCTCTCCTGATGGCTTCAAGACGAAACAAATCCGTAAGATCTGGAGATATCGCAGCTCTCTAGATATTGTTGGGACTGCAATTCCAATCATTCCAGACGATTGGCCATGCTGGCTGGGCATGATGGGAACTGTAGTCCGACAACATCTGGAGAGACACAGGCTCCCCTTCCCAGCCATAAGACAGCTGCTTCACCAGCATCTGCCTTCTTGACATCTTCTGCGAGAGGGCTGGTCTCTTCCCCTGGGTTTGTTAAAGGCAAAGTTTCGCCAAGGCGTCTTCATTTGGCTGTGAAGAAGAATCGCTTCCGGAGGAAGTTAAAACAGCCAGGCATCTGCTTATATTCCCCTTTTGCAGAAACGGCATTTGCTACCTGGGCGAGAGAAGGGAGAAACCATTTGCTCCACCTGTTCTTACACACAAGCATCAGACAACAAAAGGGATGTTTCAAGCATCAGACAACAGAAAGATGGCTAGGTGGAGTAAGAGACTGGAAATTTGGTGGAAGGACCACAGCTCAGCTTTGGTCCGACTTTGTCTGAATTTATTTAGAATAATAGAATTGTAGAGAAGGAAGAGACCCCAAGGTTCATCTAGTCCAACCCTCTGCAAGGCAGGAATCTCAGCTAAAGCATCCATGACAGATGGCCAAACAACCTCTGCTTAAAAACCTCCAAGGAAGGAGATTCCACAACCTCCCAAGGGAGACCGTTCCACTGGCGAATAGCTCTTCCTGTCAGAAAGTTCTTCCTGATGTTTAGCCGCAATCTCCTTTCTTGTAACTCAAAGCCATTGCCTCAAGTCCTACCCTCCAGAGCAAGAGAAAACAAGTTTGCTCCATGTTCCGTGTGACAGCCCTTGAGATATTTGAAGTTGGCTATTATACCTCTTCTCAGTCTCCTCTTTTCCAGGCTAAACGTACCCAGTTTATTCAACCATTCCTCAAAAGGCTTGGCTTCTAGACCTTAAATTAATTCTGACGTTAAGCCACAATATTTTGGGTTTTTTTTGCTTCACAGCACACGTAGAATTCCACAGTTTAGAAGACTTCTGAGCCCACACACAACCAAGTTCTTACTTTTTTCAACATAATTAGTAAACAAGCTTTGAACCCACTACACAGATAGTGAGAAGCCTCATTTCCATAGGGATTAAGTTATCCAGTTATGAATCCCAAGGAACCTGCTCTGACATTGTACTTGAGCCAACTGTGAGGAACGCTGAGGTTGCATCCTGCACTGCAGATCCTGTACTGAGAAGGAGGCTAGGGGAGATTGTAGAGTTCTTTCCAACTCTATGATCCTAAGCCAGGCCTCACAGCTCAAACATGCAGAGCTTACCCTCAGGAGCATGTTGAGAAGGTCTTCGGAATGGGCATATTGTTCCAACACGTGATCCAGGGTTTCAACATACCAGGAGCCTGTGCACTTATTCCTCCAGGACACAAAACCTGCAAGAAAGGAATTGGGGGGGGGGGACCCATGAGAAGTTGTGCGGATCCCGCAATCTCACAGAAACAGAGAGAAAACTTGCAGAAATCGGAACTGGGTGCAGAAAGCCAGCTTCCTAAGAATCTCAGCAATATTTTGTTTTTAAAAAAATCAAGTGTCTAGTCCTTATTGAGAATACAGTGGTACCTCGGGTTACATACGCTTCAGGTTACAGACTCCGCTAACCCAGAAATAGTGCTTCAGGTTAAGAACTTTACTTCAGGATAAGAACAGAAATTGGGCTCCGGCGGCGGGGCGGCAGCAGGAGGCCCCATTAGCTAAAGTGGTGCTTCCGGTTAAGAACAGTTTCAGGTTAAGAACGGACCTCCGGAACGAATTAAGTACTTAACCCAAGGTACCACTGTACATGCTTGAAAGCAGGGCCAATCCATGGTGGTGAGGAACAGCAGAGCTGTTTGGCCTCAGGTCTCAACATTAAAGGTAAAGGGAGCCCTGACCATTAGGTCTAGTCGTGGACGACTCTGGGGTTGCGGCGCTCATCTCGCTCACCTGGAAAAGTAGAGTAAGACACCAGGATGTCACTAGGGGTGGGCAAGCTTGCAACTGCATCCGTCTGATCAGAGCCTCCTGCAGGCACCTGGATGGGAGATGCATCCGACTCGACCGCAGAAGGGTCAGAATCCACTTCAAACCCTCGGTCCTTCTTCTCTAGAAAACCCAAGTGCACAGACCTCTCAAAAAACATCTACAATACACGAACCACACAATAGCGTGTGTAAATATTTTTTTAAAAGTTAGTATGGAAAATAATGTCCATGAGGAAATAGGACTGGAAGATACAGAACTGGATGTGAATTAACTATTCTACAATAAGCAAATAAATATGGAGTGTTGTTTTAATATATGACTACGGGGTAGACACTGTTAACAAAGACAAAGGGATTTTTTTTGCTTTTCTTTCTTTCTTTTTTATTATAGCTCTTACAGTGCAGCAATACTACGATGATGTGTTTGAAAACAAACAAATCATCCTTTAGCAATTTAACATGACATTCAACATACATATATCCAAATATTATTATTTATTTTCACCCTCTTTTCCCCCTGTGACTTCCCTCCACCCATGTTTGGCATTATAAGCTTTATTAGGTATCTTTTAAATGGTGTTTAATCAGTATATTAGTGCTATCGACCATGAAATCTTGTCCGTTTTTCCTCTTAACTTTATGGGTTTCAGTCTAAACATTATCAATAAATCACTTTTGGAACTTCGTTTTACCATATTTTAAACTACGCACACCCATTCTTTCTTTAAATTTTGTTTAGATTGTAATCTGATTGCTGCCGTCAAGACGAAAGGATTTGTTGTTTTCCAACGTGGAGGAACAGTTGTTGATGTTATTGGAGGTAAAGTTGCTATGTCGGAGTGGAGGAAGAAGACTGCTGACATTTGTACTTTTTGTGCGGAAGGGGAAATGAATGAATTTGAGACATTTGGGTCTGTAGATTGGGAAAATATCACTTAGCAGAAGCAGGAATAGCTGGACGTCACCCTAGAGAGAATACTTTGAATAATATTTTTATCTGTAATTGACGGGCGGAGAATCAGAAGCCCTTTTTATTTCTCAACCCCTCCCCATTCTTCTATTATTTCTGGTGTCCTCTACTCTGGGTCACTGTGGGGATTTTACACACCTGAAGGTGGTGCATACTTGACAAAGGAAGAAGACGAAGAGTTTGGATTTGATATCCCATTTATCACTACCCTAAGGAGTCTCAAAGCGGCTAACATTCTCCTTTCCCTTCCTCCCCCACAACAAACACTGTGCGAGGTGAGTGGGGCTGAGAGACTTCAAAGAAGTGTGACTGGCCCAAGGTCACCCAGCAGCTGCATGTGGAGGAGCAGGGAATCGAACCCGGTTCACCAGATTACGAGTCCACCGCTCTTAACCACTACACCACACTGGCTCTCAAAGGACCCTGTGTGGAGAGGCAGGGAAGGGAAGACCTCCCAGGGTGGGAGGCTGGGAGAAGATATAGAAGCTCCCAGGTGAGAGCTCAGAGGGTCCACCCTTTTCTATGGAGACAAGGGTTAAGATCTACCTTAGAGAGAGGACTTTGTTTTTCCTACCTGCCCTCTTTCTTTTTTGGGTTTTCCTTTAGATCAGTTAGTTTTTTATTGTACGGCATGATGAAAAATTTCCATTAAAAAAAATTGGGGGCAGGGGGAGAGGGTTAGACAAATTCATGGAAAGGAGGGCTATCAGTGACTACTAGACATGATGGCTATGCCCTGCCTCCATGGCTGGAGTCAGAATAACTTCTAAACAGCAGTTAATGGAAACCACAGGAGGGGAGAAGGTTCTTGTGCTTGGGTCCTGCTTGAGTTTTTCCCATTGGCCTCTGTGAGAAAAGGATGCTGGACTAGATGGGCCACTGGCCTAATCCAACAGACTCCTCTTAAGTTATTAACTCCCTCCTCATTCTGAAAACGCCTTCAATCTTGAACGCTACCTAGTTTCAGTGACACACTAGCCCCTTCCAGTGATTGTTTTCTGCTCTGGAAACTAGCCCTTTGTTTCCTTTGGCCTCCACACCTGGTTCTGGTCCTCTTGGAACAGCCTTTCTCAACCTGTGGGTCCCCAGATGTTGTTGAACTACAACTCCCATCACCCCTAGCTAGCAAGCCCAGAGCTCAGGGATGATGGGAGTTGTAGCCCAACAACATCTGGGGACCCACAGGTTGAGAACCGCCGTCTTAGATCAACGGCCAACTCCCTCCAGGTCCTGGACTCTGAGTTCCCAGAGGCCTATCAACACACTCACCTCCTCCACAAGCTTGAATGAAGAAGAGCTTTGGTTTCCCCCTCAGGCTAGGGCAATGGGTCCCATTGAAGTAGCTGACAATCTTTTCCACAGCAATGGACCGCCCATCTGTGCCATAGATTCCACCGGGAAACTGAATGTGGCTTGCCTGCAAGGAGAGAACGCTGGCAACGGTATCCAAAGAAATTCATGCCAACTTCCAGGTACCAAGCCTTCTCTGATGTCTCTTTCCTTGCAGGTGGCCTTAAAAGATGCCATATATTCAAAGGGCTAGCAATTCCTAGACCTTCCACAATGGCCACTGCCATGCACCCGACATGGGGATGCCCTTGAAGATGGTCCGGAGGCTACAGCTAGTGCAGAAACATTGTGCTGCCACCAATGTTTCTCCTACTCAGAGTAGACCTATTGAAATTGATGGACGTGGCTCACTTGGGTCTATAATTTTCAACAGGTCTATTCTGAGTAGAATTAAGTACTTAACCCGAGGTACAACTGTATATAAAAATGTGGTGGTTATGTAAGAAAATACAGGTATTCTGGGAGAATATTCATTCAGAATTGCAAAAAATGCTAAAGATCTCTTTATTAAAAAAAACAGAGGCCTATCTCGTGGGAGTTACAGATTTGGATATTCCACAAAAAATGAAGGGTATCTCTTTATATGCCACGGCAGCAGCAAGAGCTCTCATCATGGCAAAATGGAAGAGTATTGAAATTCCCTCTATACATGAATGGATCCAAATGCTGACAGAATATGCCGAATTAGATGGTCTATCAGAAAAAATAAAGAATAAATCAAAGCAGGAATTTGTCTCAAAATGGGAGGTTTTCAAAGAATATTTAAAATATAAATATAGTAGTTTAAACTCTGTTGCAGCATTCGAGGAACTTCAGTAATAGTTGCAAGTTTGACATAAGAGTTATGATATATGAAGAAAAAGTGAAATTATGATAAAAATGTGTATTGGCAATAAGTAATATGAAATTGAAATAAGGAATAGACAGGAGGTCAGGTCTATAGTGAAGACCAACTTCTGTTTTATTGTTTGTTAGGAAAATTTTGTGTTTATTGTTATTCCTGTGTGTAATTCTGTATCTGTGTTTTCTCTTTTTTATTTTCTTCCTGTATGAATAATAATAATAATAAGAAGAAGAAGAAGAAGAAGAAGAAAATGGATCAACTAGAAGCCAGGTGATTTGAGATTTCTTTTAAAAAGAATTTTGAAGAGCTCCATTATACAAAGAGAGACAGCTCTCTGCCCCAAGGGTCTTACAATCCTAGGATGTGAATGGAGCACCAACCTCTCCTACCTGACAGCCGTGGGAAAGGAGGACGACCAGGCAACAATCGAGAGAGCTGTGGTCTCGCGTGGCCAAGCTCTGGAGCTCCGTGACAATCTCCTGCAGATATTTCCAAAGGTCTCACGTTAAAGACACCCACATCAACACAGCTGGTAACCTCAGCTCTGCCCCCTCTAGAAACCCCACCCTGGTGTCAAAACTGCTGAAAGAAAGCATCAGGTCAAAGCCTATGGGAAGGGACACACTCCTTAATCATTCAGGTTCCCACACTGTAGGCTGGAGATGATGGATGAGGGGGGAAGTGCCATCATCCCCTTTCCAGCTCCTGTTCCTTATTTGGGTTCCCTATTTGGCTGTGGGGCTGGAATTCCCACTGCAAGGAAACATTCCTTGGGGGCTTGTGATTGTCAAGACTAATGATTGCTAGGGAAATAAAGCAGAAGAAGAGACATACTAGATCAGGCCAAAGGGATCCTACCTAGTCCAGGGGCCAATGTTTTTTTAAAAAATCTGAATCATGAAATCATTGTAACCAGCCCTGAGACATCCTGGTGAAGGGCAGGTAAATAATAATAATACAGTGGAACCTCCGAAGTCGAACAGATTCCATTCCAGAAGTCTGTTCAACTTCCAAAATGTTCGTAAACCAAAGCGTGGCTTCTGATTGGCTGCAGGAAGCTCCTGCAGCCAATCAGAAGCCGTGGAAGCCCCATCAGACTTTCATGTTCTAAAGAATGTTCACAAACCAGAACAGTCACTTCCGGGTTTGTGTCGTTTGGGAGCCAAAATGTTCGACTCGCAAGGCATTTGGGATCCAAGGTACAACTGTAACAACAATAATAACATAACAACAACAACAACAACAACAACAATAATGAGACCTGAATGTGAGAAACAGCAGCCCATACAGTACTGCTCAAGGCTGTGTTGCTTTCTGCGTTGGTTCTGAAATTCTCACCTGAGCTTTAAGATCCCGTCGGGTCAAGACCTCAAAGCGTAAGGATCTGAAGCGTTTCTCCAGCTTCTCACAGTCCACATCGGACCCAGCCCGGGAGGATAAGCCAGAGGTGCTGCTGAAGTTCACATTGTTGATGATAAGGCAGTAGCCACATGGGTCCGTTCTCAGGACGTAAACCTGTCAAGCAACATTGGAGGTGGGAGATAGAACCAGCTTGTTTGCCATCAAAAGCGTCCAGGAGAGAAAGGTGAACACAAATGGGCTGTCAATCGATGGGCCTGCCCATCAAATGTGGTCTGCGAAGCTGATCCTGGTAACAATCTGGCTCATGGAGCCAAAAAGGATCCCCACCCCTGAGCCTATGGAGAGCGCTGCAAGGGCCAGTGAGAGAGGCCAGGAGACATGTATTTGGGCCCTGCGCCTGAGGTTGCCCACTGCTGGTTTAGCCGGAGGTGGGAGGAGACCAAGTTTCCATATATTAAACAACCCACAGGAGCAAGGCCCAAGGGTATGTCTCAGAAGGAGAGGTCAACAGCTCAGGCTCTGTGAGTGGGAGGCCCCAGAAGGCAGAGGGCCTTCTTGGTAGTGGCACCCGTGCCCTGTGGAACACCCTCCCACCAGATGTCAAGGAAATAAACAATTATCTGACTTTTAGAAGACATCTGAAGGCAGCCCTGTTTAGTGAAGTTTTTAATATTTGATGTTTTATTGTGTTTTTAATATGCCCGGAGTGGCTGGGGAGGCCCAGCTAGATGGGCGGGATATCATAAAATCATCATTATTATTATTATTAATCCCAAGCATCCCCATTAGAAAGAGTTTCAAGGAGCAGTGCATTGCAAGGGGTTGAATTAGATGAGCCGGGGGGGGGTGTCCCTTCCAACTCTACAATTTTTTGGTTTTAGGAAAGGCCTCTTCTTGAGGTATGTTAGGCAGTACTGTGCCATCATGGGACAAAGGCAGCCTTGTTCATATGTTTGCAAAGGTTTTTATAAGTGTGTTCTAACAGACAAATGGGATACCAATAAAGAATAATAATTTTCACCCAGTTCATCATCATCATTTATATCTAACCCGCCTAAATGGCTGGGTTTCCCCAGCCACTCTGGGCGGCTTAACAACAGAAGGTTAAAAATACATTAAAACATCAGTCATAAAAAACTTCCCTAAACATGGTCACTGGTGATTCTGGCCAACGTACCACACTAGCCTAAGTACTGTATGTGGGATGCCTATGAGCTGCCACAGAAAAAATTAAGGTGCACAAAAATTAAGGGGGCTACTCATCCCCACCCACCCGCAAGCAAACCCTAAATATGCTGATTGCAGAAATGGTAATAAGCTAACCGTTTCAGCGTTCCTTCTGGTATTTTCTTCTACAGAGCCTAGAGAATGAGACAAAGATCAACATATAAATATTTAGAAATATATTTTATATAAAGCAGTTTTTCAAAAGCCAAGCCATGGACACCCTACTTTTGAAAATTCTGATATCTCCATGGTAGTTTTTGTTATGTGAATGGTGCCGCAGACCCACTGGGTGAGTTACACACCATCAACTGGGAAATCTTTGTAAGAAATCAAAATCTAAAACTTTAAAGAATGGCAAAAGGTGATCTCTAGATACGTCTGGGATGGAAAGAAGCCTAGAATTAAGTTTAAGTTATTAACAGATGTAACAGAAAGAGGGGCTTCGCCCTACCAGACATGAGACTGTATTACGAAGCAGCATGTCTGTGTTGGATAAAAGAATGGGTAAAGCTGGAGAATAAAGAACTACTAGATCTGGAAGGGCACAATAATAGATTTGGGTGGCATGCATATCTATGGAGGGATAAAAAGAGAGTGCATAAAGAATTTTGTAGCCACATCTTTAAAGGTTCACTAATAGAGGTCTGGGACAGATATAAAAATATACTAGAACCGAAAACCCCACATTGGCTATCCCCGTTGGAGATAATAAGTGTAAAGAAAGTTAACATGAGAGAAAAGTGGGGAAAGTATGGAGAAATGGTTACTAATGAAGGAGGGAAGTGGAAAGTAAAATCATACGATCAGGTTAAAGTATTTACATATGACTGGCTGCACTATTTTCAGATAAATGAAATGTTTAAAGAAGAGGTGAAGGAAAGGGGTTACGAGGAAAAGGAATCGGAATTTCAAAAAGAGATAATAAACAACGAATATAAAAATCTGTCAAAAATGTATAAAATATTGTTAGAGTGGAACACGAAGGATGAGGAAGTAAAATCTGTCATGGTACAATGGGCAAGGGATTTCGGTTATAACATTCAACTAGAGGATTGGGAAAAGGTATGGAGAGTGAACATAAAATTTACGGCATGCACGTTACTGAGAGAAAATGTGATGAAGATGTTCTACAGGTGGTATATGACACCTGTAAAACTGGCTAAGATGTATAAGGCAGATAACAAATGCTGGAAATGTAAACAAAAGGAAGGGACTTTCTATCATCAATGGTGGGAGTGTAAGAAAGTTAAAAGCTTCTGGGATGAAATTTACAACGAAATGAAAAGATGTTAAGTTACACTTTTGTAAAAAGCCAGAAGCCTTTTTATTAGGCATTGTGGGAAAGGAGCAAAATCTAACGTAAGAAATCTGATTTCTCCTTACCCCGAGTGGCCGTGATGTCACGGGATGGTTTCTGGCGTCTCTCATTTAGTTCTTGAACAGGAAAAGGCAAATTTCCAGAAGTCGTAATACCTGCAAGGATAGGGTCTGCTGTGTTTCTGCACAAGTTTCACGTGGTGCCAAGATTTGGGATGTGCACGCATGTACTCCAAGTAATTGCTCTGTCATTATGGGTTCGATGCATTTGGGATGCATTCAGACTGCAACAATTATAGGCCAACCACAGTACAATTAAACCTGACCATTAATGATGAAACTGGTATAAAGTTTCCTATGAGCAATGCAATACAAGAAGCCAAATTCTTCACTTGTAAACACTGCACAGATGCTGCTTAGCAGCAAGAATTATCTACGGCACGGGGTGGGAAACCTGGTGCCCTGCAAACGTTGATCAACTACAACTCTCATCTTCCATGACCGTTGGCCGTGGGAGCTGGAGCTGATGGGAGCTGGAGTCACAGGTGAGCCACCCCTGCTTTAGAACAACCCCCGGGTCCCAGTACCATAGTGTAACTGAGCAAAAATTTGCTTAATGGAAATAACAGGATTTTCTCCTCCTCTCTAGTCCCATCCTCTTTCTCCTTCTGACATGTCCATGCATCTGTTTTAAACTGCAATCCCTCTTGCATAGGAAGCCTGTTCTTCATAAAGCATACTGATTTATGTTCTACAATAGACCCCCTGACCATTAGGTCCAGTCGTGGCCGACTCTGGGATTGTGGCGCTCATCTTGCTTTATTGGCCGAGGGAGCCGGCGTACAGCTTCCGGGTCATGTGGCCAGCATGACTAAGCCGCTTCTGGCGAACCAGAGCAGCGCATGGAAACGCCGTTTACCTTCCCACTGGAGTGGTACCTATTTATCTACTTGCACTTTGACGTGCTTTCAAACTGTTAGGTTGACAGGAGCAGGGACTGAGCAATGGGAGCTCACCCCGTCACAGGCATTCGAATCACCGACCTTCTGATCGGCAAGTCCTAGCTCTGTGGTGTAACCCACACCGCCACCCGTGTCCCTTTTATGTTCTACAATAGCCTTCCTCTAACAGCTTCCCATCCTAACCAAATAAGAGGGATGTATCAAGCATGCTCAAAATAATCTCACTGTTTGTAGAAGTTTAAAAAAAGAATAATACTGAAATATAACAACAAAAACATGCAAGCAAGGTGCCAGCCATGTCCTTTCCCCAAAAAATCCATTCCATTTACCCTGCCTCTCCTGGTTCCCTGCCCCCATGCTATATCTGCATTGACTGTTTTAAGTGTGTGGAGAGTATAAGAAAAGGAGGGTATATGGCATGGAGTGTCTTGGGAAAAGGTATGGCTGGTTGTTAGCTTGAACAGGAATGCTCTACACCGCAACACTGGGTTGCAATATTAACAACAAATGGCCTCTGTTTGTTTTTCACCCTGATTTCTATAGATACAGTTTCAGGACCACGGAGGCATGCTAAAATGAGGTTATAAAATCCCCAACTGAAACAAGATCAGAGAAGAAATCATACGTGGATCCCTTGGTTCAGAACGTGGACGGATTTCAACTGGCTTTAGATCAGCTGGGTGCAACTGTGGCTGGTCACCTCCTGTGCTCAGCAAAGCGGCCAGGTCATTCTGTCCAGTTTCTTGGAGACACCAGATGAAAGCAGGGAATGCTCGCTTCCCACGAGTCTGCAGGTCAATGACCAGTTGCCTGGCCTGGTCTCGGCGTGTACCTGCTTTCTGAAGACAAACGAAAGTTATTCCTCCTGGCATTTGTAAACAAAAAACTTCACAAACAGTGCATGCATACTGGAGAAGAAAACAGAGGACAAAGGGCTAGGCAGCAATATTGAAATCTAGAGCAGCCTTGCAGACAGCAAGCAGTCAGCAAGTCAGGCCTTTGTTGGGGGCGGTGTTGTTCAATAACGTATATATAAAGATTTGGATGAAGGAATTGAGGGACGGCTCATCAAATTTGAAAATGACACCAAACTGGGAGGGGTAGATAGTCCCGCAGAAGGTAGAATCAGGATTCAGTATGACCTTAGCAGATTAGAGAACTGAGCCAAATCTAACACAACAAATTGCAATAGGGACAAGTGTATGGTTTTACAATTCGGCAGGAATAATCAAATGCACAAATATAAGATGGGGGACACCTGGCCTGACACATGAAATGGATTGAGAGATCTTAGTAGACCACAAGCTTGACATGAATCAACAGTGTGATGCAGCAGCACCTTCACCCAACCCCCACCCCGTCTTGCCGGACTACATATCCCATTATCCCTGGAGTCAGAGTCCAACAACACCTGGAGAGCCACAACTTCCTCATCCCTGGCTTAAGGCACACTTTCAAAATGATGTCCATTTTCTGGGTGATAGTCTCAGTAATGTTCTCTCAGTTCTGCTGAAAACAGAGTTATGTTTTCAACATTTTAAATTCTGGACTATTTGTAACTTCTGCATTTTTTACTGAATGCCATTCTGGACAGGCACTGCCCCAGAAAAGCAGCCTAAAATATTTAAGGCACCCCTGAAACTTCTCCCAGCAGCACAATCCTATCTGTGTTTACTCAGAAGTAAATACTGTAACAATGGATGGCGCTCCCACCAGATAAATGAAAGCAGTCCAAGAGCCAAAGTAGACACAAGGCAGAGTTCAACGGGGCTTACTCTCCTGTAAATGCACATACAGGATCACAGCCTCAAATACTCCTAAGCACTTGAGGTAGGATCAGCCTTTTAGGAAGTGAAACTTGGGGAAGGCTGGAAGAGAACAAAGGGGCCGCTTGTGCGGGGGAAGGGAGCAAAAGACACACCTGGATCTCCTCGATCATATCCGGGGTGAAGATCTCTTGGTGCAGCAGCAGATCCCAGAGGGGTTCCACTTGCAACTCCTTCACTAGGCGCAGCCGAGCCCGCCGCAGCGACTGCCTATGATCCTCCTCCATGGCACCTGCTGCGCCGCTTCTTCCGGGAAGGGAGATCCTCCCTTCGACACGTCAGGGGGCTCCGCCCCCTCTGACGTCTCAATTCATATAAGGACACCAGAGGGTGACTTGCTATCGCTTGCTTGGCATCCTGGGCGACGCCCCTTTAACCCTCTCACTCCCGGAGCCTTAACGAGGTTTAGGACAGGGGAGGGGGCTGCGGCTTCCTGCGCATGCGCAAGAGTTCCCACGCCGGGTCCCGAGCGTGCAACCTCTTTTCCCACCATGCACCGCGACGGCACTACCAGCGCCCCACCTCCCGTCGTTTACCTCCTTCTCTCCCGCCCGTCTGTCAAGGGAGGCGGGCCTTCGCCGCGCCGGAAGTGAGGGCTCGCTGCGCCATCTCTATGGTAACGGCGGCCAGAGGCGGGGCCGCCGAGCCGGAAGTTGGGACCGGGGAGACAGGAGCCTAGGGTGGGTATTTGCGAGCGCCCTTCCTGCCCACTCCGCCCCACAGAGGCGCCCCCTTCTCTCCTCCCACCCGGCGGCGGCGGCTGTCCTAAGTAGCCACGTGACTTGGGGGTTGAGAGGGAGGGATGACTCTCTAGCCCTCCCAGGCCCTTCTCTCTGGTATGGAGGACTAAAGATGTGGGGATAATGGGGGGGGGAGAGAGACGAAACCGTGGGGAGGGTCCTATCTGGGGGGGGCAGAGTCGAGTGCCGTGGCGGGGGACTGCGGGAAGCGCATAATGGGGGGCAGGAGAGAAGGGGCTTAGCCCTGGTGCGATATTGCGTGGTGACAGTTGCAGGGCGGGGGGGGGGAGGGTCCCCTCTTGGAGGGCAGAGGCCTGTGGAGGGGGGGGCACATACCTGTCTTGCATATGTCCTTTTCGAAACCGCCTCCTGCTGAATTCCCGTCCAGGCTTTTCTCGGAGGAGCTTAAGCTAAGGCGGCATTCATGGTTGTAGTGGTTAAGAGCTGTAGGCTTGTAATCTGGTGAACAGGGTTCGCGTCTCCGCTCCTCCACATGCAGCTGCTGAGTGACCTTGAGCTAGTCACACTTCTCTGAAGTCTCTCAGCCTCACTCACCTCACAAAGTGTTTGTTGTGGGGGAGGAAGGGAAAGGAGAATGTTAGCTGCTTTGAGACTCCTTTGGGTAATGATAAAGCGGGATATTAAATCCAAACTCTTCTTCTACTTCTTCTCCCTGACTTGAGTGGGGATTTGGACCTGGGTTGTCCCAGGTCTCCCCTCAACACTCTTTAACCATTTAAGTGTGATGGGGGTGCATCTGTCTTATGTGGAGGTGGGGGCTTGCTGTGTTTAGATCCTTGGTGAGGACTGTCACACCATGATCGTTAACGGAAACCTCCGCTCTCACCCTAATTTTATTATTTCTGTTGATGTGCTTTGGGGAGGCTAACAGCCTAGTTGACGAAGCGCGCACACAGTTATAAAACCCAATACAAATGTTTTATGCAATTATTTCAGTTTTACAGAGCTATGAGTTATAGCCATTGAATACAATATGCCGTTATGAAGTGGGCGAAAATACAAATGGTCATGGGTAGCAGGAGTTCTGCAAGTCGGGATTCTCATTGAGGGGATGGGACTCTCTCTTCCGCGTCCTGCTTGTGTGTGGGAAGCTGTCTTGTTCCCAGTCTGCATTGGTTTGTGTAACTCAGTCTTGCCTATGCCAGTGTTTTTCAACCTTAGGTTGCCTGATGTTGTTGGACTGCATCACCCCTGACTATTGGCTAAGCTGGCCTAGGATAATGGGAGTTGTTGTCCAACCTAGCCTAGCCTGGTGAATAAACCTGAACCTTTCTCCACACAAAACATGTGCAACAGATGCTCCTAACACATGTAAGAAGTTTCCTTTCAATGTACCAGATCACTGGGACATCTCACTCAGTGTTGTCTACATGCTGATGGGGAGTTGCTTTGCAAAGCTTCAGACAGGGGTCTTCCCCATGCTCCCATCACACACTCACACACACATCCCTATTGATTGAATCTGGGATCTTTTGCATGCAAAGATGATTCTCCTGAGCTACAGCTCTTATGTATTTTGTTATTAACCATGATCAGGAGGGGACCTTCTCTGAGTATTAGATGCTGTTAGTGACAGCAACAAAGGAAGGGTCTGCTTGTGAGCTTTCCAGAGGTAACTGGCTGGCCTGGAAATGGAAGTTTGGAAGAGTATCTACCATGATAGTTTAATGGAATGGAGCAGGGATGCTTCTTAGGACTGGGTGCTGAGGGCTGTTTGCACAAGAAAACAGTTGCCTTCATGGGCTTTTTTGTGAGACTTGTAGAACCTGCTGGAAGTCAGAATGCAGGATTACATTGGTTTCTGCATGAAAAGAATGTTCTACTGATACTCGTACCGTTTTCTGTTTCCAGTTTATTCTGTAGCATAAAGTACCAAAACTGTATCCGGACTTTTGAAACCTGTTTTGGTGGTGAGGATGTTCCAAGGAAAAAAAACTGGAAATGTTTCCTATCTAGATTAGAGTATTTTCTGATGCCCTACAGAGTAATTTAGTTTAGCATGTTTATTTTTAGGGATTTTTTTTGGTGGAAAAATGAAGGCCAGTGTTTATTGCTGACATCTCAAAATGTGAAAACCCCTGCCCCAATTTGAAAAGATTATTTTCTCATACATCTATATATTTCAGTAGGAATAATAACTTCAATGCAATTGCTCGTATTTGATGACTAGTCCATAATATCTTATGCTGTATAAAATTTGTTAGTCTATGCCACAAGATTCTTTGCTATTTTTGCTGCAACATAGCTGCCACTCTATAAATCTCTTCTATGTAACACTAGCCAAACATCAATCTTCTTTGGGTTTGGGATGAATGTTTTGCCATTTCGTCTCCTGCCTGTAGTCCCTGGCTTTATGTATATTTTTGGAGTGAAATCTGTTTTAGGATCATTCTTAGAGGCAAGTCTCATTGAGTTCAGTAGGAATCATTCTGGGTAAATGTGCATAGGATTGATACTTTAGCCTTCAGGTGAAATAAGTTTTTTTTCAGTGTTGTCATTTTCCTATAAAGTTTTGAACTGAAACATTTTCCAGTGTCCTGAATTAATTAGGATAAGTTTTGGCATATTTTACTTACATTAAGTAAACAAAAATAATACACATGCCATATTCATTTTTCACACCATTTAAGTATTTCAAAAGTTTTTTCAATGCCTCAAATCAGCTGTCCTCAAATATTTGTGTTTTCTTGGTGGGGAGGAGAAATCAGCAAAGCACATTTTTAATGTGGTTTTATATGTTCAAACAAATTCAGAGCTTGGGTTGGATGTTATTATTAGTGGACTGTTTGTCACCATTTTAAGGCATGGCAACTCCTAACTTCATTAGTTACATTTTAAGGAGACATTGGAAATGGTTAATGCACTCCTTTTAGCAAAAGAGGTGAGAGGCTATTTATGTATGCTTCCTAGGAATAGTCACCTGAAAAATGTTAATTACAACGTTTGAAAGTGCCTGGTTTGATTGGTGTTGGCTGAGTTCACAAGCAGCCTTAAAATTATGGCTTACCAATCATGGATTTGTTCAGCCTAAATAAATCACAACCCTAGCTTTAGATATAATGCAAAGCTACTCCTTTCTTGGTTTATTGATCTGCTCTTGCCAAGGGAGAAGCAAAGGGGAAGCAGTTGGGCTGAGTGTGCTGGCACATAGTATGAACGCATTATGGTTTATTCAGCTAAAAATCTTGGCTTACTGTTATGTGCAAATGCAGTCATTGTGTCCATTCATGTATCATTCATTATAACTGGTTTGATGAAGATGCATTTCCAGAAATGGAAGTTCATCCATAGTGAAATAAAATGGTGGGAAATATTCTGATTTCTGATGCCACCAATTGCTCTCCTTAGTTACTGTTAGGTATTCACCCCCTTCCCCCTCAGTTTCCTTGACTGAGGACCATTTAAGATCCATCCAGGTGTCTGTTTGGCAGTCCAGTCTTGCAGCTCACATGGAGCTTTGGGAAAGGGATGACCCCTGTGCTCAAAGTGAGAGAAGAAAGGGATTTGGGTGGTTAGGCCAGACTCAGGTATGCCCCCTTGAAAAGAAGCAGGATGGTAATCATCATCATCATAAATCATCATCATCATAAATTATTTATACCCCGGGCAGGTGGCTAACATCAAAATATGAAATACGTTAAAAACATAAAGTCAACCAATCAATTAAAATACAGCTTAAAATCAGATTAAGATCAAAATAAAATCTGATGGCAACCCACGAATTATAACTATAGGGGTTGGGGACATTAAGTGCTCACCAGGCCCAACTGTTTGTGCTGGTCTTATATGGGCCGGTCGGAGGAGTTAGGGAGGCCGCTTACATGCAGGGTCTTATAAAAGGATCTTATGAAAGGAGGATCTTATAAAAGGTGGGGGGTCAGACTGGGCCCTGACCAAAAGCATGGTGGAACAGCTCTGTCTTGCAGGCCCTGCGGAAAGATGTCAAATCCCGCAGGGCTCTGATCTCTTGCGGCAGAGCATTCCACCAGGCCAGGGCCTGGTACCCAGCCCCGCCCCACTTCAGTGGCTGGGATGGCCTCAGTCCCTCCAAATCTATCTGTGTGGAGGGTCAAAATGAGTTTTAAAAGAGGAAGTGGCAGTGTTGTCATCAGAGTTCTCTGAAAGGCTGTGGGAATTGTAGGAGACTAGAATGGAATCAAAGTTTCAGGGCCGCAACGGAGGTGAAAGGGAAGGTGGTGGCCATTGCAGAAAGAAGCAGCCAGGCCTAAGACTTGGGACCTTGAAACACCTGTATTGCAACTTTCCAATGTCTCATCCTAGATTTTCTCCCTTTGAAATCTCTCCTGTACAGGTTACCTGCAGGGGGGAAAATGGAAATGAAACGGCTAAGCGTCTCCCTGGTTGTGGTTTTGTTCCTCGTCCTGGTCCTGCAGATCTTGTCTGCTGTCGATTTTGATCCATATCGGATCCTTGGAATCAGCAGGACAGCTAGTCAGGCGGACATTAAAAAGGCCTATAAGAAGCTTGCCCGGGAATGGTGAGTGATTCATGAAATGGAGCTGGAATCACAGTGTATCATGCTTAGCTGCTGTGCTGAAAAACTGCCTGCCTCCTTCTTAAAGGCCTGCTAGCCTTTCTTATGTTGTGCACAGCTGTAGACAGCAGCTACAGTGTTAGTTGGTGTAAAGAACCCAACCAGAGCCCAGAGGTCCATAGATGTTGACTTACTAGCGAGCCATTATTTTGGGTTGCTGCCAATCCTCCACCTTCTGGCATGCACAGAGGGCTTGGAAGAACATCAGGGTTATCCCTCATTTGTGCGGGGTATGGAGGAGTTAAGAAACAGTAGGAGTCCTGCTGTTTCTTCCCTGTTGAAGAGCTTCAGCTGAAATTAGACCTTCTGGGTTTCCTGCTTGCCAGATAGCTGGATGCACTTGCTCCTGTTGAGCTGCTATATTTGTGGTTGCCTGCACAAGCCCTAAGGATAGAAAGGGCTCTGTGCTGTTGGTAAAAAGAGAGCCAGCAAAACAAGGTGCCTCAAGGAGGAATATTAGGGAAAGTACTAGGGACGCGGGTGGCGCTGTGGTCTAAACCACAGCATCTTGGGCTTGCTGATTGGAAGGTCCGCATGATGGGGTGAGCTCCTGCTGCTCTGTCCCAGCTTCTGCCAACCTAGCCGTTCAAAAACATACCAGTGCAAGCAGATAAATAGGTACCACTGTGGCGGGAAGGTAAATGGCATTTCTGTGCGCTCTGGCACTCGTCACAGTGTCCCATTGCGCTACAAATGGTTTAGTCATGTTGGCCACATGACCTGGAAAAGCTGTCTGTGGACAACACCAGCACCCTCGGCCTGAAGCGAGATGAGCATCGCACCTCATAGTCGCCTTTGACTGGACTTAATTGCCCAGGGGTTCTTTAACTTTACCTACCTTACTAGGAAAAGTATGTGCTGGAGGTCAAATACAGGGAGACCTAGGTAGCAGAGTCTGTTGACTTTGTCTTTGCATATGAAATGTTTGTGCCTTAATTAGTGCCAATTCTCTCTTCGCATCAGGAATCGACCCCCTGTAGTAAACCTGTTCAAACATCAAACAGATTAAGCCTTAGTGACATATTCTTTAATTAGTGTCAGTTCTGCCTGCACAGTGCCAGGGTTGAACTAAATCCAACAGCCTTGTGATCAAACTGCTCATGGTCTTGTTTTCTTTCCATTCCAGGCATCCTGACAAAAATAAGGACCCAGGAGCAGAAGATAAGTTCATACAAATTAGCAAGGCTTATGAGGTATTGGGCACACTTTTCTAACTTCATGTTTTCATATTTAAGTATTTAAGGCTTCTGTTTTAAATGCAGCCTTTACTGTAAGGATGGGCAGTCCTGCCTCTTCCCTTCCCTGGTTCTGGTGTTCTAATTTAATACCTGCTACAGTTTTACCCTGGCATGCCACACATGTAAATCCATAAATGTTACCGTGCCCAAAGTGATCACACTTGAGAGTAAAATCTTACTGAGTTTCAATCAATCGTTTTATTTTTGTACATAATTACAAAAGATACATAATTAGCAAAAGTAGTCATACGCATTAAATAAAACACCAAAAAGTCCACATTGAGCAATTTCCACTTAAATCGTAAAAAGATAGAAAGTAAAGATACAAAAAAGTAATATCAGTAACAGCAGCAACCCCTGCCTCCAACAAAACTCCCTAAACAATACCCCAGCCCAAGAGTCTGTTCAGCAGCCTCGGCTTTCGTAGCTGGAGTCAGTCAGGGCCCCGCCCTCTCAGGCCAGGTCGAAAAAAGCCTGCAGGACAGGGAGCAGGTCTTCCAGGACTCACAGGCAAGGTGGTTTAACAGGACTTGCTTCTTAGTTAACTGGGTATAATCATGGTCTAAGGGGCAAATTAGATGACTTGACAAGAGATAAGAACAAAGGAAGATAGCTACCATGGCAATATCCATTGATAGTCCCATCTTCCTCGGGTTTGTCTTGCCTAGGGGTAGCCAACATGGTGCCCTCCATATGTTGGACTACACCTGCCAACATCCCTGGCTGGGGTTGATAAGAATCGAACTTCAACAACTGAACTATAGTCTAATCCCCTTTTAAAGCCATCATCTTGTGGCAATGAGTTCCATGAGTTAGTTACATCTTGTGTGAAGAACTGCTTTCTCTTGTCTGTCTTGAATCAGCTGACAATCAACTTCTTGGGTGATACTTAAGTTTTAGTATTATGAGGGGGTGTTCTAGCCCAGCTTTCCCAACCTCAGTGAATTCTGGATGTTTTGTACTACAACTTCCATAATCCTGACCAGTGGCCATGCTAGCTGGGCCTGATGGAAGTTGTAGTCCAAAATATCAGGAGAGCACCATTTAGATAATGGGCCTTTTTTAGTGGTGGTGGAATTTAGCCATCTGGATAAAGTTCACCACCACCAAAACAGATGTACTTTTGCAGATTGAAAAAACCCCCACGAAACTAGGATTAATATGGAAATATAGTAACTAGGATTAATATGGAGATCCTGGCATGGAATTTTCATCTTGTAATGTCTTTTGAAAAGTAGTGTTTAAAATGTTATTATCACAGCAATGATATTCCTCCAAGGAACTCAAGTTGGCCTATATGGTTTTCCCTCACCCCATATTATCCTCACAACAACCCTGTGAGGTAGATTAGGCTGAGAGTGAGTGACTGACCCATGGTCACCCAGTGAGCTTCATGGCCAAGTGTGGATTTGAACCCTGGTCTCTCTCAGGTCCTAGTCCAAACACTAACCACTATACAACACTACCTGTTCTATTTACATAAGGCCATCCAAATACATTGGGTTGGATCCAGGCTGATTTGGTTGAATTTAGACCCTGTCAAAATAGGCAGGATGCAGTCATGACTTGTTGCAGAAGTTTCATTGGGACGCTGATTCAGCTCACTTAACCTGGACCCAGCCCATCGCTCCTTAGTGTTTCACAAAGCATAAACTGGTAACATACACTTAAGAGGGTTGGTGTTTGTCCCAAACAGATCCTGTCCAATGAGGAAAAGAGATTAAATTTTGACCGCTATGGCGATGTGGGGGAGAACCAGGGCTACCCCCATCAGCAACAGTCCCAGCACCGCCCGTTCCACCACTTCCACGAGAGCTTTTATTTCGACGAATCCTTTTTCCACTTCCCGTTCAACTCGGACCGCCGCGACTCCTCCGACGAGAAGTACTTGCTGCACTTCTCACACTACATCAACGAGATTCTGCCCGACAGTTTCAGAAAACCCTACCTCATCAAGATCACGTCGGACTGGTGCTTTAGCTGCATCCACATTGAGCCCGTGTGGAAGGAGGTGGTCCAGGAACTTGAAGGGCTGGGTAAGAAGAGAAGCGTGTTTGGATTTGCATCACCTGCATCCAAAGCGTTTGGGGCAGAAAAATGCATGATTCTACCCTCTCCCTGGCCAGTTTGAAGCCAGTTTGCTCACTAGAAGATGCACGGATGTAGGGTTTAGCTAATCTCCAAAGGGCAAGCCCTTGCACCCTCTTGAGACACATAAACCAAGTTTACACCATACATTTAAAGCACTATGATGCTCATTTAAACAGCCACCCCACCCCCCCAAAAATCCTGGTAGCTCTAATTTGTTAACAATGCTGAGAGTTATTAGGAGGCCCCAATTCTGCTCTTGAGAGATACCATTCCTAAAATTCCCTGAAATCAATGGACCTGATTTTGTCATGTCCATGAATTTCAGTGGGTCTTTCTACTGGATTCAACCCAGGGTTCTTGGTTTACTTGTAAGGTTGTGGTGGAACAGAGGTGGCCTCATAGGGTGCTGAGTCAGGCAATTGAGGGCTTTGCAGGACATCACCATCCATTTGTATTTGGCCTGAGTTTTTCTTTCAGAGTCTGGCTGCATCTTCCCTAGGCTGCAGCTGCAGTAATTCAAAAGCAGTGTGCTCTGAGAGGGCCACTCCAATGTGCCTTGTGAAAAAAATGAATTGAGCTACAAAAGGCTATTGTGGAGCTAGTGTGCTCACTCACGGAAGAGGTTTCCCGCTGCATGGCTGCATGACTCCCTGTTCTGGCTTTGCCTGCTTCCAGTCATCCTGTACTGAGGATTGTTAGTTCCTCTCTCTCTCTCTCTCTCTCTCTCTCTCTCTCTCTCTCTGCATTGGTGGTGACTGGATCTTTCCATCACTCCCAATTCAGTGATGAAACAAAACAAATCCTGCCCAGAGAAGAGGGTTTTTGAAACATCACTACTCTGGGGCATGCATCTAACTTCCTTGCATTACATATTCCATTAATATAAACAGTGTGGGTTGTATTTGGCTAAGTCCTACTCAGATTAGACCTGCTGAAATTAATAAAACCTAACTTGGTCACGTCCATTTCATATCACCTGCACAACTGACTTCCTTCTTGTTTCTGGAATTCTTACTGTAAAAGCAAAACTTTTCAGGGCCAAAAGTGTGCCTTGGCTCATGGAAGATTGAGTAAACGCTGCCCTGGTTGCTGCATCAAGCCTCTGCATCAAGTCCAGTTCTGTTGGAGCCTGAGGCTTGCCAAGGAAGGAGGGAGTGCCTAGTCACTGGTCCTAGCCAAGCAGAGAGTATGCAGGACCTTGGACAGCTCCAGGGAGCCTTGCTATGGTAGCTATGGTGTTAGAGCAGTGTTTCCCAAAGAGGGTGACATCACACAATTTTTGTTCTTTTTGAAGAAGTTCTTTTGGAACCCATTTGGGCCATAAGCCACCATTTCTTCTCCTTCGAGGTCTCCTCTTCATATTCTTACATGTGAACAGGAATACCTACCTGTTTTGAACCTGTATAATGTGGTTACCGGGAGCCTCTTTGAAGGTGCGCTTCCAGCACCAGTCAGCAGGTTGGCACAGAAAGCACATCTTCAGAGGAAGTTGATTTGACTGCCAGCCACCTTGCCTGCCAGACCTCCTTTGAACTTTGACACGTGTCAATCGCCTGCTGTCCTCAGGTGACTGATAGGTGGGTGGTCCTTCCTACCTGTCAAATGGCCCACAGGGGGACTTGGACCCAGTCCCCCACCTCTGCTTTCACACAGAGCTCAGTCTTATTCATAGGAAGCTGCCTTCCATTGAGATTGGCTATTGGTTCATCTAGTTTGGTGCGTTGACTGGCAGCAGTTCAGCAGAGTTGAAGATGTTAGGAACTGGACCTTTTTTATGCAGTACTTATGCTCTACCACTGATCTACAACCCTTCCGTTTCTGTTTCTGCTGCTGCAGAGAATGCACTAGCAGTTAATCCCTGTCCCTTGAGGCTCCTAGATGCTATAGTAAACATGTGATCACAGACTTCCGATGTTTTAGATTCCCTGAAGTTGTTAGAGACCATAGGAGAGAAGATTAATTCTTCTTTATGTTATCCTTCCTTCCCTCATTCAGGAGTGGGGATTGGCGTTGTTCATGCTGGCTATGAGAGGCGCTTGGCACATCACCTAGGAGCACACAGTACACCATCCATCCTGGGACTTATCAATGGGAAAATTACCTTTTTCCACAATGCAGTTGTTCGGGAGAATCTGCGGCAGTTTGTGGAAAGCCTACTTCCGGGTAACCTTGTTGAGAAGGTGATTATTGCCTCCTGATTTATTTTAAGCTCCTCTTTGCTATTTTCTGTTTTTGTTTTCCTTAGCATTTTATTAGAGACTTTGTAATCCCCCCCCCAAGACATGTGCCACCTAACCTCTTTCCCAATGCTCTCAGATCTTCTGTGGATATTTGGGGGTCTCTTGTGGATTTCGGAATTACTCTGTTCTCTATACAGTGGGGGGCTACATAATAGCCAGAACAGGGAAATGGGTATTGATGATTCAGTCTCATGGGATCCTGGGTTTAAAGTGAATTGTCGCCAAGTCTAGAAATCCTTTGGTTAACAAAGCTCCAGTAGCAACTCATTGGTCAGGTTTGTACAGAATGCGAAAGCCAGGATCAGTTCAGGATCAGCCTCACAGATAAGCAGAGCTACTGTGGCTTGTTTTGCCTAAGGTTGGCTTTGTTTTTCTAGCCACTCTTGCATGGCACCTCTGTAGCTGAACAACCATCTGGATCAGGGTGCTGGAGCAAACCAGTATAAAGTCAAAGTCGTGGGTTTTGAGGTAACAAGGAACCATGTTTGATGCAAGCCAAGTTTCTTAAGCCAGCTTCAATCCATGATTTTATATTGTGGTTTGCTGGTCACAGGCAAACCATAGTTAACTGGCTGAATAGGTTTGGATGTATAAACAAACCACAGTTGAGCTCAATAAACCATGGCTTTACAATACTGTTGTGTCTTTCTGTGCTGCATTTAGTTGGCATTAACATCAGGAGGTCCATGTATCTCCTGCCACAGTATTCCCCAAATGGTGGCCTCCAGATATTTTGGACTACTTAGCCCCAGCCAATACAGCCATTGGGAGCTCCAGTCCAAAACATGAGGAGGACACCAGGTGGGGAGAGGCTGTCCTAGCATACCATGTCATTTGGCCCTTAGATGCAAGTTTGCAACTTACCCTTTTAAAAAAATCTGAATCTGAAACAGCATTCCGTGTTTGATGACTGAGACTGATCATTTCTGTTTTACATTGAAGATTACAGATAAAAACTACGTCAAATTCCTGTCGAACTGGAAGAAAGAGAACAAACCCCATGTGCTTCTCTTTGATCACATGCCCCTCGTCCCTCTGTTATACAAGGTAAAGGCTCTGCTCTGTACCTGGTTTTTGCCGCTTAGTAAGAAATGGGACGGGGGAGGGGAGGTCCTCTGGCTTCCTTTGTAGGTGCGTAGCTGTATTAAGATGTTGTACCAAAAAGAACAGAGTCATATGGCACCGTAAAGACAAAAAGCTTACTTTGGCATAAGCCATCCTTTCCCAACTTGGTGCCCTCCAGGTGTCTTGGATTACAACTCCCATCAGCCCCAGCCAGCACAGCTGGGGAAGACTGGCAAAAGCTCTGTGGAACATTTTATCAGATGCCTCCTTTCTGCAGGCCTGGAAGTGCCTGGATCCTTTGAAACAGCCTTCCAGGGGCTCAGTATTCTGCAGTGGTGTGCAGCAGTGGCATAACATGGGTTGCTGGCGACCAGAGTGGGGCAAGTGTTGCACCCCCTGGTGGACTGGGCAGCTGGAGTGGAGGCGCGTTCTGGGGGCATGTGCAGAGCCCGCAAGGCACGTGGCTTCTGGCGCTGATGGTGGCGGTCGTTGCATGCCTTCTTGGCTTGGCAGCTCCATCACCATCCGGCATGGCCACCTTCACCAACCACAAGGAGAAAGAGGCGCCACCCCAGCCCTGAAGGCCTGGCCTGGGCATGGCTTTGCTCCGAAAAGCGACAGAAGCTCAGCCATGCAGCCTCGATGAAGGAGCCTGTCATGGGGGCTCCTGGTTGTACCCCTCAGAATTACACCCAGGGCCACTGCCCCCCCCCGCCACCTCCACGCTACACCACTGGAGTAAGGGACCACAGAACAGAGGTAGAGCACATTATATGGATTCCAGAGGCCACCGGGCTCAATCTCCAGCTGTCAAAGTAGACAGTACTGGACTAGACGGACAGTAGAAGGCAGCTGATTATGTTTGGTTATTGCCGCTGTCAAAGAGACCCTGCCCTAGTGTCACTGGGGGCTAAGACGTCCAGAGGAGGAAATTGTGAAAGCTTTGGAATGAACATAAGACAAGGCTACTGAATGACTGACCCATCCAGTCCAGCATCCTGTTCTCACCCTGGCCAACCAGATGCCTGTGGGAAACCCACAAGCAGGACCTGATCACAAGAGCACTCTTAAACCCTCACCCCACCCCACCCTGTGGTTCCAGCAGGGCTTGGCAAATCCCTTCCTCTGCCTTCAACCCCTGGTCTGTATTCTTTTCTGTACAGAACTGCATGCACACAACTAACAGGCACATCTCCTTGTCATTCACTTCCTTGAATGTGGGTATGGCTGTAGCTCAATGGTGAAGGCCCATAGCTGTCAACTTTCAGATTTGGAAATAAGGGATTAGCAGCCTCACCTGTCCTGGGGACAGTCTACGGGATATCTGACAATCCAGGATAGCAGCGGGAAATGGCACTGGAATAAGGGAATTTCTCGCAAAAAAAGGGAAGGTTGACAGCTATGTGAAGGCCCCAACATCAATCCCTGGCATCTCCAGATAGAACTAAGAAAAAGACACTGGAGAGCCGCTGCCAGTCAGTGTAGACAGTACTGAGCTAGATAGACCAATGGCCTTGACTCAGTAGAAGGCAGCTTTCTATATTCCTGTCTATGCGTTGCATGTAATGTACTGTGTAGCCCAACTGCATCCACCTCCCCTTTCTTCCAGCTGACGGCGTTTGCTTACAGAGATTACCTGTCCTTTGGGTATGTGTACGTTGGGCTCCGAGGTACAGAAGAGCTGTCCAGCCAGTATAACATCAACGTCTACACGCCCACCATGATGGTGTTCAAAGAGCACGTCGATAAGCCTGCTGATGTCATCCAGGTACGGTATGGCAGCCGCCATGCACGGCTGCTTATGTGAGAACTCTGGCCCTAACAGGCAGGTGGTCAATGCTCAGCCTAACTTGTTTCTATGGTGTTGATAAGGATGCTTCAGATAGCTCCATCAGTCTCCATGACAACTTACAACGTCTTGTAAGCAAAGCACAGAGCCTTACCTTAAAGAAGTTGCAATTCATATCTAGACTGTTGGGGACCTGCAACAAAAGTTTGCAGTGCAGATGGATCCAGTGTTAGTCCTACTCATAGTAGACCCACTGAAATTAATGAACATGACTGACTTAGGTTCTTCAATTTCAGTGGGTATACTGTTGTGTAGGACAAAGGCTAGATACAACCCACTCTGTTTAGGACTGCAGACCTTACTTAACTAGGGCTGCAATCCTTACCCGGTTACATGGGAGGAAGCACCATTGAATTCAGTAGTACCTCTGAGCAGACTTGATTAGGGTTACACTGTTTAGTCCTTAAACAATTTGAAATAAAATTAATCAGGAAGTTCCTATTTAAGGGCATTCTGGCTCCCCCACCCCACCCCCCTGCCAGTTTGGCCAGTTTGGTTTGTATAATGGGTATGGGGTTGCTTGTGCGTAAGTTGCCGCGTCTCCTGGCTATGTTGCCTTGTTAAACCTTTCTGTCTGGACAGCCCTTCAATTCGTGGCTGCCTCAGTCGCTAGCAGAATCTGTCAGTGGGCGTTTCTTAAACCTCTTCCAACATAAAAGTTGCTTGACGCCAAGTCTCCTCCTACTCTCCCTGCGTGGAAGTCTTCTGCGCAGGGAGGGCGTGGGTAGCAGAGGACCAGTGCTCTCCCCGCTGGTGTCCAGTGAAGAGTCCTGGAGCCCTCTCGCCGATTCCCCATCTGCCCCCCTTTATCCCTGGTGTAACGTTGATTTGCTTCCCCCTCTGCTGAACTGCCTCTCTCCCTGCTTGGCCCTTCTCCAGCATCATTTGAGAGCCTTCCCTCCGCCTCAGGCTCCGATGTCAGTTCCCTGACAGTTTGGGAGTGTTTTTGTGTGACAAAGAATGATGGGGCTTGCCTTTTAAATATATATATATTCTTTCTAGCAACACATAAGTAGTTTTTGTGTTATTAAATTGTGAGTTTATCAGGCAGTTCCTTCCACATCTCAAAAGGGTGTATACCTTGATGGTGGTATGTAATCTGCTGATGTATTTTGGTAACCTGCAAATGTATTTAAAAGGCACATGAATCATCATCTGAAAATTCTGTGGTTGGTTGACAACTTGTTGGGTGTGTTGTTTTCCAGGCCAGAGGCATGAAGAAGCAGCTTATTGATGACTTCCTGTCTCAGAACAAGTTCCTCATGGCATCTAGGCTCACCAGCCAGAAACTTTTTCAGGAGTTGTGTCCTGCAAAAAAGTCTCACAGGCAGCGCAAGTAAGGCTCGTGGTGGTAGTGATGCTCCTCCATAGTGTGTTTGGTTTTGTAGGGGTTATTTGGGGACTTTCAAGTCCCTTCTCAGAATGGGATAGCGAGAGCTGCTGGAGAATCTAGGCCTAAAAGAATTTGCAGCTGGAAAAGCAGAAGTCTGCATCTGTAGATGCATTTCCTTAACCAGTTTCAAGTATTTTTGGGGTTACACAGTAAAATTTTTGGGCAGGTTTTGTAAGGTAAGGTGAGTTCAGAGTGACTTGACTTCCCTACCTGTTTTATGGAATCCTCCCCCCGCCCTTTTGATCGTTCTGCAGAGAAGGTATTTGGGGGGTTTTTTGCGGGGTGGTGTGGTAGGAATTTAATAAGAGAGATTAGCTTTCATTCTCTTTCTTCCGTAAACAATTCTTTATATGAGCAGAGTCCAGATTGTCCCAGTAACGTGCAGGAACTAAGAACTGCAGTTTGCAAATCCCTGTCCTCACGTGACCTCCAACAAAGCAAGCCTTGCTCATGCTGAATGCTGAAAGAGAGCAGAGTGCTGATGCTGTTTCAGCAACTGTCAAACTTGGACTGAGGCTTATATAGAAGCAACAGGGTCTGTTCTGATTGCACCTCTTCAGTCAAAGCGTTCAGCCCATTCCAGCAGTCTTACTCAAGCTGCCCAGGGAAGAATCTGGTTGTACTGGGTCTTCTGTGATGGAGTTCTTATAAGTCAGAGGATGGCAATGTGACATCCTTAGGCCAGAGGGGCACAGCTACCATGGGCTCACTTTGCGGACTTGATTCTGGGTGTGGCCATGTGTTCAAATTCCCTTCTGACTCAGGAGTCCTCGACTTCAGCACCTGAAGAAAGACGATCTGACTCAAGGGTCATGATAATGTTGCCATTCCTCTACCAAGCCAGTAAAGCCTACAGAGGAACCCCCACCTCTTTTCCATAGTGCGTTCCTGTGCAGCCTTTCTGCAGCTCTGAGCAGCTCACAAAAATAAAAATACTCCAATAGTTAGCAGCAAAGGTGTGTGAAAACAGCATCTGTCGAACAACTACAAAAAGCACACAACCTTAAGCTTAACGTGCCAGGCGGTGCCTGATCAGAAGAACACAGCTAGCGCAGGGGTTGATAAAAGGGGAGAGGTGATCTCAAAAGAGAGAGGGGTCCCCAGGGCTTTAGAAACCAGGTTGGGCTCAGAAACATATTTGCCAGGGTGATGGCTACAGCCTGGGCTGAACATATGCAGGCCAGGTTCTACACTAGCGCAGGCTTCTGAGTTGTCTTCAGACCAGCATCCTGCAGAGGGCAGTGCAGTCCTCAAACCTCAAGGTTAGCATGGCTCAGCTGCGTGCAGAGTGTTTACAGAAAAAGAAGTCCCACTGCAGAGTCCCATCACACGGAGCATCCCCACAGGCAATCTACAAGATTCATTGCTCCCCAAGGCCATGGGCTGCCTGAATCCACCCAGTGCCCCCCCCCACATTGCTCCAAGGCCTTCTCTTCTCTGAAGAGTTCTTGGACTTTACCATAGTAGCTAGCCTTGGACAGAGGGGCTTGTCCTGGCCTCCTCCAGCATGGGCAAAGTAAAATTGCCTTGCAGATTCTCTTTGCTGAAGCCAGGAGCTTGCTTGAAATCTCAGGGGGAGGGGAATGAGGGCCACATTCCCTTGGCGGGTAATCTGACAGGGGCCACTGGCTGGCAGTAGCTGGAAGCAGAACTAAAAGTGGCTTCTATTCTTTCTCTCTGACCCTTTTCCTATCTCTGTATTGCCTGGGAAAGGACAGGTTTCTCTTGCCAGAGGCCTGAACTGATGGCTTGCAGAGAACTTTCAAAATTAGGCTGAGGGCTGCAGACTGCCCGCCCCTAAAGCAGAAAGGGTTGGAGTCCAAGTTCTCTTGATTCTGGCTGCATAGTGTTCTGGTTCCAGCCAAGTGACTTGGGAAGGAGTTTGAGCCAGCATGGTGTAGTGGTTAAGAGCGGTAGACTCATAATCTGGTGAAACGGGTTCGTGTCCCCGCTCCTCCACATGCAGCTGCTGGGTGACCTAGGGCTAGTCACACTTCTGTGAAGTCTCTCAGCTCCACTCACCTCACAGAGTGCTTGTTGTGGGGGAGGAAGGGAAAGGAGAATGTGAGCCGCTTTGAGACTCCTTCAGGTAGTGATAAAGCAGGATATCAAATCCAAACCTTCTTCTTCTTCCTTGTGAACAATTGCTGTCTCTTTGGGTGTGTGGGTTTGTGGGTGTTTGCCTTCAGTATTGTCAACTAGTCCTATTATGTTTCTGAGAGGGCAGTAATTATCTCTTCCCTCGTGATGTTCTAGGTACTGTGTGGTCTTGATTACCGGCGAGGGCGATAAATACACTGTGAGCTATGAAGCCTTTCTGGCTTTTGCTCTGGCCAACACGAAGGACACCCTGAGGTTTGTGCACATCTACAGCAACTACCAGCCGCAGTTTGGGCACACTTTGCTAACGGACGACGAAAGATTCCACGGGAAGTCAGCCGTGAGTGTCCTGCCTGTGTCCTCCAGCCCAGCTGCGTCTTGCTGTCTCTGTCTAATTCATTGCAAAACATTCATTTAGTTCCATGTTTCTTGGGTCAGTTAGCAGCACTTCAGAGAAACATTGTAAGAGAGCTTTATAAAAAAAGAAAATGATTTGATATGTAAAAAAATTGAACTGAAAACATAAAAAAATGGGTTGAGATGAATCATAAAGCCCTAATTTCACTGCCTTGTCTGCAGGCTGGATCCGCCCAATGTGACAGTTCTTTTTGGCCTAGCCAAAATGGCCTCGCAAGCCAAACGGGGAGACTTGGCAGGCCTAAGTAGGCCAGTGGCCTAGAGATTCTCCTCCTCCCCACCACCACCATTTTCTTGTGGAAGCATTTTCTTGTAGAAGGCCAGGATGGGAACATAAAGTGTGTGGGGGTGGGGGTGGTTACAGGGCTGTGAAAAATAGGGATTAAGTCCATGCATCATTTTGCCACTGCCCGTTCAGGCAAAGGAACTGAGTGGGTGAGGCAATGAATCTCCAACTGCAGGTGATGGCAGAAGGCCAGGTAACTCCCACCTGGATGTAATGGGCCAAAGACACCACTTCTTTATCTGTGCTGTGGGGCAAAGATATTGGTGTTTCGCAACTTTGACCTGTTGCAGGATCTTAGCCAGACCCAGTTGAATGTAGCAGAGCATACACAGACTTCCAGGAGCGATCAGTTGCAGGAAGGAAGGAGGAAGCAGGGACAAGACGCTGCTACTAGTAACTTGGTTACTTAGAGGTGTTTATTATTTACAGCAGACTCACAAGTTACTATATACAAGAACAGAAACGGATCTTAAACTAGCTCTCTTAACAAACTCCAAACGACTCTCAGAACACCACACTGACCAACACACTACCCAGTCAGGGAAGGTCATGCGTCACCATGCCTGTGTGGAGACCTTAACCAATAGTAGAGCTATATCCAAGGTCCCATATCTCTAGGCAGAATAACTCCCTCTGCTCAGTCTTCTTGGCCTTCAGCCAACTCTTAATTGCTTTGTGTGAAGCTGCACATAGGCAAAATCCCAACAAAAGATTTCCTGTTGCCTGGAGCTTCAGGCTTGGGGCACTGGGCTCAAGTGAAGCCCTAAACCTGCTCCTTCGCTCCTGGCTAGGCACACTCTTGGAAGCCACGGCTGGTTTTTCTAAAGCTGTATTGAAAACTCCCCCACACCAACTTGTGGTTTAACCCTCTGCTTCTCGCCCAGGTGGTCATCTTGGAGAGGCGCAACAATGCCGGGCGAGTAGTCTACAAAGCCCTCGACGAACCCTGGAGCGGCAGTGAAGAGGACAACTTCATTCTTCTGGACCTCCTGGATCAGCTGAGGACAGACCCAGGCATTCTCTCTTCTGATACCGTCCTGCCAGACTTAAACGATGAACTTGCTCCTGTAAGCATTGTGGGCGTTTAACAGGATACAAGCGTGTGTGTGTGTGTGTGTGTGTGTGTGTGTGTATGTGTGTGTGTTTGAGGGTGATGGGATCTCGATGCAAAAAGCCTTCAATTCTCTACATCGAGATGAGTAAATAGACTCACAGCCCGGTGCTAATACATTTCCTTGGACATAGCTGCGCATGCTTTAGGCTGCTATCCTCTGCACTTACCTGGGAGTAAATCCCATTGGATGCATTGGGGGTTACATCTAAGTAGACCTGCATAGGTTTGCTGCATTCATTTAAATGCCAGAATAATGAACAGAAGCTGTAGCTGATGGATCGGAATCACCCTTTCCCCTCTGCTCTTTCGGTGTGATCACAGGTTTTCTTCCTCCGATGGATCTATTCCGCCATCGACTATATATCAGACACCTGGGACAGCCTCTTTCACAGCAACTGGTATGGATTCTGCATTAATAGCAGCCTTTCCTTGATTCGCATTTTTGGAGTGTCAGAAACCGGAGGTGGCCTTCTAACGTTTAGGCATGTTGTGCTGATTCCTATGAAGATGGCTCAGTGGCTACTAACCCAAATGGCTGTGTTCCGCCTCCACATTCAGAGATAATAATGCTTCAGAGTAGCAGTTTCTGAAAACCACAGGAGGGGAAGAATTGCTCCTGTGCTTGGGTCCTGCTTGCCAGTTTCCTACCAGTATCTGGGTGGGAACAGGATGCTGGACTCGATGGGGCAGTGGCCTGATCTGGCAGGGCAGGTAGAGCAGGTACTTGTTTAGAGAGGAAGGGAGCAGGTCTGAGAGCCAGCCGGGAGCCTAGGCAGCTGGCGGGGGGAGGGACAGGGAATATCAGGATCCAGTGGCTCTTCAGGGTCACTGGCAGTGAGGAGATCTGCTGCAGGGAGAGGGGACTTCCAGGTTGAACCCGGACAGGTTCTCTTCTGATTCCTTCCGTTTGCACATTCTGGATCTTCATGCATTTACCACGATCCCCTATGATAAAGTGTAAAATTTGCATGGAATTAGAAGTGCTCAAGGCAAAAGTTAAGACTGTCAAAGCGGTTTGAGCCAGTTTTGGGTGGGCCGCTAGTCAGCGCTTTGGGTGGAGACATTCTGCTTCTTGACCACCAGGAGTTGCTCTCCCTCTCCTGAGCCATTAGTAGACCATTGTGTTGTTGTTGTTATTATTATTATTATTATTATTGCTGCTGCTGCTGCTGCCACCTAATATTAATAGTGATTTTCCCCCCTGCAAATATATTTGATGCAGGCTATAAAGCATGCCTGAATGTGCAAAACAGTGTAATAACAATTCGAACCTTTGTAACAAAATTCCTCTCAGACCTTGGGCCGTTGAGGGAGCACAGTACTTCCTAAAGGGCACAAGGGTGAGGGAACTGGAGAGGACAGCAAAGATGGACAGAAGGGAGCCAATTCTCGTATTGGTTCCATTTTCACCTCTCCCGGGAGGCAGCCCATTCAGAGGTGGGGGAAGAAGGCACAGGCTGCGGATTTGGTTTGACACCGGCCCTCATTGGCGATCCTCTTTTGCAGGAGAGAAATGATGCCCCTCTTATCGCTGATATTCTCAGCCCTCTTCATCCTTTTTGGGACTGTTATTGTTCAGGCTTTCAGGTAAGCAGCCGTATGTAGTAGGTAGGTAGGTATTTTTTGACCTTTGTATCCCTTCACGGCCTAGGACCCTCGTACCTACGGGACCGCCTCTCCCGATATTCCCCACGGAGGACCTTAAGGTCCATAAACAGCAACACTCTAGAGGTCCCGGGCCCTAAGGAAGTTAGATTAACCTCAACCAGAGCCAGGGCCTTCTCAACACTGGCTCCGGCCTGGTGGAACGCTCTGTCTCATGAGACCAGGGCCCTCCGGGATCTGATTTCTTTCCACAGGGCCTGTAAGACAGAGTTGTTCCACCTGGCCTTTGGCTTAGAATCAGTTTGATTCCCTCCTCCTCTTTCTTTTTCCTTTCTCCTCCTGTGAAGAGGCTGCATCCTAATGTTTTAATGTTGTATTTTAATATTGTTTTTTAAGTTGTATTTTAATCAACATGTTTTTATTATTGGTTGTTAGCCGCCCTGAGCCCAGTCTTGGCTGGGGAGGGCGGGGTATAAATAAAAATTATTATTATTATTACTTAACCACATCAAGGGCTGGCTGGCCGGCCCGCTCATGAGGCAGGCTGAGGCAGCCACCTCAGGTGGCAGAACCCCAAGAGGCGGCACCCCTGCGGGCATCCCGGCACCTCTGCCAATGGCAGAGAAGTGGCAGTGGCTTCTAGCGAGATCTTGCTGGAATCTGTTGCCGCTTCACGGGTGCCACCTGCAACCCATGTAAGGGAGACTTTGGCAACAGGGGAACACCTTCCCATTTTGTCTCAGGCGGCAAAACGGGATGGGCTGCCCCTCACCACATCTTTCAGGCAGTTCACAAACTGAAGACGATAAAATACAATCATTCAACCGATGGAGGCACCAAGTGAGCTTCTCTAGGGAGAGCTTTTCAAAACCAGGGCGCCAACATTGGAAAGACCCCATTCTCTTCTCTGTTTTCCCCTTCGTTTTGTAATCTCACCACCCCCACCTCCCCCATTCCTAGCTTTATTGATTTTTAATGTTTATTAACTTCATTGGGTCTCCTCTTAGTAGTACCAGCATTGGATAAAACCCAAGCTCTGTAGGTGGCTTACATAAAATAATAGGAAATCTTTAATAAAAACTATTTTTTTAAAAATAGTATAAACAGAAGACCTAATAAAATTATCAGGATATAGATAAAATCAAGGGGTTTTAAAGCAAATACTCACAGTAAATGGAAAATGGGAATAACGGCGTTTCCGTGCACTGCTCTGGTTTGCCAGAATCGGCTTAGTCATGCTGGCCACATGACCCGGAAGCTGTACGGTGGCTCCCTCAGCCAGTAAAGCGAGATGAGCGCCGCAACCCCAGAGTCGGCCACGACTGGACCTAATGGTCAGGGGTCCCTATACCTTTTTAGACACACAATAGTCACACTGCAGATGAATTGATCTGACCCTGTCCGTGATCCCCCAGCCTCTTCCCCGCCTGAAAGCACAACTTGCTGTTTTTCAGCGACTCGAGCGACGAGAGAGATTCGCCTCCCGCCAAGAAGGACGAAAACCCTCCGAAGGGCGAGAAGAACGACACAAGTTTCACCAAAGATAACAGGTTTCTCCTTAGTTCAGCCTTCACCGGCCTGGAGTCCTCCAGGTGTACAGGACAACAACTCCCGTCAACCCCAGCCAAGACAGCCAGTGGCCAGGGATGGTGGGATCTGTAGTCCAGATCTATCCGCAGGGCACCAGGTTGGCAAGTGCTTCCGTAGCTTAGCACTCTGCTTTCCTGGGGTTGGCCTTTGCGTCTCCTGGGCCAGCAGCAGTGGCCAGGGGTCTAGAAGCGTAGCCTTCACTAGAGGTGATGGAGATGGTCTCTTGGGCCTTGTTTGCCCCTTGCCGGCAGCCAATTTCTGACCTGGGCTGCCTGTTCGACTGGGGCAACGACTCTGTCCCAGGACCTGCTGAAACGCAAACCTTTGCATGCCTTCCACCGCAGCGTGAGTGGGCTTTGGCTCAGTGACGGAGCATCTGTTCTGCCTGCAGCAGCTCTCCAGCTCAGTTCCTAGCAAGCTCCTCTCTGAAACCCTGGAGAACTGCAGCCAGCCAGTGTGACGTGATCTGCAGCAGCTTCCTCAGGCCTCCGTTGTCTCAGAGGAGACATCTGAAGGGGGTTTGGGAGGCTTGTTGGGCTGAGAAGGTTGGGCAGATATGATGAGAGAGAACAAGGATGGAAGAAAGCAGAGAACCTTCTACCTGGCTTGTCCAGGGGAAAGTGGCTGAAAGTGCATGTGCAGCTGAAACTGGGGAAAGGCTGCAAGTTCTCTGGGCTGGAGCATCTGCTTTGCATAGAATTGTAGAGATAGAAGGGGGCCTAGGGGTCATCTAGTCCAACCTCCTGCAGTGCTGGAATCTTTTTGCCCAATGTGGGGCTCGAACTCACAACCCCGAGAATAGGAGTCTCATGCTCTACTGACTGAGCCATCCCAGCATGCAGAAGGTTCGGTCAGACAGCTCCAATCAGAGATGACAGTAGCAAACTACATGGACCCAAAAGGTCCACCTTCATGGAAGGCAGCTTCCTCCAAGACAGCCTTTTTCACAGTGGCTTTTCTTGAGGCCGTAGAGCTCTTTGGACATATAGATGCTAAAGTTCTGCTGCTTCCCCTTGCTCCCATGCAGGTGGCTCTCCTTGCTTCTTGCTGAGCCTCTTCTCTCTCCCCTTCCCCCACAGGATCCCCAAGAAGGGCTTCGTCGAAGTGACCGAGCTGACAGATATCACCTACACAAGCAACCTGGTGCGCCTGAGGCCTGGGCACATGAACGTGGTCCTGATCCTTTCCAACCCCACCAAGACGCCTCTCCTGCAGAAGTTTGCCTTGGAGGTCTACACTTTCACTGGGTGAGTGTGGGGCACCGTCACTGGCCAGAGTTATTTTGCAGGTGTGTCATGCCGTGGGAGAAAAAAAAGGGCATTTGCAGCCTTCCAGAGTCTAAACGGAAGAGCAGGACGCTTATTGCGTCTGTGATGATTACCCCGTTTACAGTCTTGTGTCACTCTTGCAACAGCACGGTGAAGTTGGTCACCTTTTGTGCCCATTCTGTAGATGGGAAGCTTGAGGCTGCAAAACGGTAGTTGGGCTGTGCTGAAATGGGGCTTAAAATCACCTCCTCATCCCGGTCCTCTCCATTTTTATCCCTTGGGTCTTTCCTCTGGCTTTGGGAAGGCTAGGGGAGGCTATTTTTTGAAACCCTGAAGAGCTGCTGTTGGTTAGTGTCAACAGTACTGTGCTAGATGGACCAGTGGTCTGACTCTGTTTCAAGGCAGCTTTCCTATGTATCTTCCTCGCTTCAGATATGTGGGGAGGACTTGACCCTATATCCACCTCTGACTTGGATAGGAACCCCTCGCAGTTGTGTGGTTGCGGCGCCAATTTCAAATGGGAGGATGTCTCATTCCCCTGTGCCAGACATGCTGCTGGCTTGCAGGTCATAAGTAGATCCAGGAAATGGGTATTTCTCAAGGGGCTACTGGGTGATGGGCTAAGTCCCATTGTGGCCTTGATTGGGGTTCAGCAGGGTCTGAACAAAATTGAATTGCTTGTGGCGGTGGGGTGGGGTAGAGGACAGATCAATTTAATCTGCTTTGAGTCCTGAGGAGCTCTCCCTTCCCTGGCTGGAGGCATGCAGGAACCAGTGAGCCTACCCTGGCAGGCAGGGTCACATAACCAGCTCTTGAGTCTCCAGCCCAGGCCCTTCCCTCCCCGACTTTGATCAAGGCAGTTGCTTTAGCTCAAGGACGTGGCTAACCATTTTTGGCCCAAATGCCATATTCACCCCAGCCAGCCTCAAGCAGTGTGTGTGGCCACTCCACACTAGGGGCATCCCAACCTCTTCACTTTAATTTTTCTCTTTTTTTCCACCACCAAAATTATGGGGTCTTAGAGGGCCGGAAAGCTTGGTTTGGAGGGCCAGAGACGGGATTAGACGCTCCCCCCCCAAGCTCTTCTGTTGTTTTTCAGCTTCTAAGCTTACAGTGGTACCTCGGGTTACATACGCTTCAGGTTACATACGCTTCAGGTTACAGACTCCACTAACCCAGAAATATTACCTCAGGTTAAGAACTTTGCTTCAGGATGAGAACAGAAATCGTGCTCCGGCGGCGCAGCGGCAGCGGGAGGCCCCATTAGCTAAAGTGGTACCTCAAGTTAAGAACAGTTTCAGTTTAAGGACGGACCTCTGGAACAAATTAAGTTCTTAACCCGAGGTACCACTGTACTGGGTTCTGATCGGGATGCTAGAAGTAACCCCTTTTATCTATCTGCCACGAATGCTTCAGCTGAGATTCCTGCATTGCGGTGGGTTGGGCTTGGGGGGTCGCTTCCAACTCTACAATGCTATAACCCCCTCCCGCCTCCCTTTCCCAGGAGCAACTGCCTCCACTTCTCCTTCCTGAACCTGGACAAGCATCGGGAGTGGCTGGAGTACGTCCTGGAGTTTGCGCAAGACGCCGCCCCCATCCCCAACCAGTACGACAAGCACTTCCTGGAGCGCGACTACACGGGCTACGTCCTGGCCCTGAACGGGCACAAGAAATACTTCTGCCTCTTCAAGCCTCGCAAGTCGGAGGAGGACGGGGATGCCCCGGGGATGCCCTGTGATGAATCTGACCTGGGGGAGGTCCGTGGGAAGTCTTCCTCTTGCAGCCCGGGGGCGAGGTTGGTGAAAAACAAACTCAACAAGCTCTCCCTGTGGATGGAGCGTCTGTTGGAAGGGTCCCTGCAAAGGTTTTATATTCCCTTGTGGCCTGCGCTAGACTGAAAAAACAACAGCAGCGGCATAAAATTTTGAAAAAGGAAAAAAAGAGTTTTTTCGAAAGAGAAACTCTATCTCAGCAGAGACGTTGAAAGAGGACAACTGCAAGCATCTCTCTTTCTGAAGTGTCGGAATAGACGGTAGCTTTTTAGATGAATCCTCCTAGGCCCAGTGAGTTAGAAACATCCTTCCCGCGCCTTTGACCTAGGAGCGATCATGGCGGTGAATGCACTGATGCCTGCTCTTCGTACCAAATGGTTTGAATGCTTGGAAGCCGTACAATCGAAACTGGTTCACAGTTGGTGCCCCTGTCCCCCACCCCACCCCACCCCCCGCTGTCCCAGCCTGCTCCAGTTCCGCCTCTGGGTTTTTCTCCAAAGTCGATGAAAGCCTTGCTGCTGTGGGAAAACTCTTCTTTGCCTATGGATGGTTTAAATGTTTTTGGTTTTCTTTTGCTGCCACTCTCCCCCCACGCAGTCTACAGAGAGCTGTAATCATCCCTACCTGTTGGTTTCCCACACATGCCCCGTTATCCTTTGTATGTACCAAATAGCTGACAGGGCAGGATGTGTATAAGGGCGGGGAGGGGGGGGAAGGTACTAGCAACCCATTTGCATGCCCCCCTCCAGCCCTGGGTGCAATATAATCCAACAGGTAGAGTTGACTAGCTCAGCCTTCAGCAGGGCAGGGAGTGGCCAGCTGAGCCGCAAACACTGTACGAGAAGCAATGAGCCATTTTAAAATGTATGTCCCTTTCGATGCCTTCCTGCTTGCTGTCTGGTTTGTCCTCTTCTCCGAAAGACTTGTAGTTTTACAGCCATACTCTCAGAACCACATCCATAGAGCTACGGACTGCTGCTAGCCAATAGCTGTGTGTGTATGTGTGTATGTTTGTGGAAGGCACCAACTCCTGCTTGTGAGTCGTTCCCTGGACGTCCCTTCCCCTCCCGCCCTGAAACAGCAACAATACATCTGTAGGACAGTAACTGAGCGACATTTCTCTGTATCAAGGAGCTGAAATTGCCTCTCTCAACATGGCCTCTCCCAGGATAAGGTTAGGATTCAAATGCCAAACTACTGAACTTCCCGGGTGTCTGTTCCATGGCAATGTGATTTCTTTCTTTCTTGCCTTCCTCTTAGGGCAGGGCACCCTTGCCACCCTTTTCTGAAGCAGGTTTCCAGGGGCCTGTTTGTTTACAAAGGGGCACGGCTGCCCAGCTGCTTCCCCTCCTGCCGCCTCTCAGAATGTGCCGCTCACCTTGATCTGGTTGACTTTTTCCTTGGAGACATAGGAGTGGTCACATTTTTAAACTGCGGATTGCTTTCTAATTTAAATTTAAGCCCAAGGGTTGCATCTAATTCCAGTCCTACTCAGGGGACGCAGGCGCATCAAAGTTGATGCACATAATTATAACTTAGGTCCATTGACTCTAGGGGGTCTGCTCCGAGTAGCACTTAGTTGGATGCAACCCTACAACACGACGCACTGTGGGCCATGCGTCTTGGGTGGGTTCGTGGGGCGTATATTTGGAAGCTTCCCGTGCAAAAACAAAAAGAAATGAGCCACTCCTCTGCGTAGCACATCCTAGAGAGAGAGAGAGAGAGATGTAGCAGAGCTTTCTCCCTGATGTGCTTGCTCTCTACTTTTTCATTCAAAAATAGGACAGCCGAACCTCACAAGAGTGGCCCAGAACTTTGCAGTGTGTAGAACAGCTCTTGGAAATAGAATGTCTTGCTGACTTGCTAGTGGTGCCTTGCAATGGGGAATTGGGGATGGGATGTGCTTGGTGTGTTCTTTCTTTAAAAGAAAAATGAAAAACAGAGCAAGCAGTCTGCCTCTCGCAAGAGCTCTCTGAAGTGCCGGTTTGTTTGTACTGGGGCTTTCCTCATCACAGGAGTGACTCTGGGTGGATCCTTCCTCCCCACCCCCAAGAAATAGTGGTGCACCTGCTACCTGCCTATCAAGGCAAGCGAAAAGCCTGTCCTTTAATAGAGGAGGGTGATGTAGTTCCTGTACCGCAGTCACCCATCTGTCGAATAGGACGGCCTCTGCAAGAGTGTCGGGTTTCCACGGAAGTAGGTCAGAGAGATCCTACTGACAACCGTCAGGGGTTTCGGTACAAGGTGCCTTTAAGCGGAGCTTCTGGGGGACATTTTGAACTGTCGTCAGCTCCTCCGTAAGGATCCCCTCCAGGAATGTCCGGAAACGAATGAGAGAGAAGAGAATTAAGCAGCTGCCGCCGAGCAGATAATCGGAAGCTGCCTTGTCCCTTTGAGGGCAAATGAACTTGTGTGCCTCAGCGAGCGATTTAAGAAATACGTAGGGTGTGCTGGCAAAGAAATCAGCACTGTTTTAATGATGTGTTCTTTGTAACAAATAGCACTGGGATAAGAATTAATATACTGCCAGGTTCCAATGACAGGGAAAGCTTTGCCCGTTCTCGGGTTTCACAGGAAGACCTTCGCATGCAGTCGGTGGAGCTTTCTAGGTAGAAGAAGGTCCAGGGGAAAAGTAGAGGGTGGAGCCCTCAAAATGAGCTCTGCATCCTCAGTGGGAGTTCAGGATGCTGTGGGGTTTAGAAGCTGGGGTGGGGAGGACGCCCTAGCTTTTTCCTGCCATCTATCGTTCTGCAGTCGGCCTTGGACAACAAGTGTCCCAGCAACTACCGCTGGTGAATCAGTGGTCAACGGTAGCTCTCGTAGCCCAGTTTTAAAGCATGACTGGGTATATCACTCCTTCCTCTCCCACGCAGCTTGGCTCTTGTATGAAGGGAGCAATCCTCAACTCAGTGCAATTGCATGGGTGCCAAATTCATGCAAGGCTCCCCTCTCTTTCGTTGATGCTGAATTTAGCATCTGCGTGCGATTGTCATCGGCTCTGAGGACCACGCAGAGAACTTCACCACCTGTAACGCTAAGCCCAGGCCTCTCCTTTGCCAAAAGACCCAGGTACCTTCTGCTAACTAAATTTAATCCATTAATCCCGTTAACAGAAATTGCTATAGAATTGACAACCTTCTCTCGGAGCTTTTGGGAGAAGAATGCTTCCACTGCCTGCTTGTTGGTTCTCAAACGTGACGGTGAGCCGCAAACCGTGTCTTGGCGGCACACGAGCAAAATTGCGCCCGTTTTGCCCCTCCCAACTCGCAGCAGGGGAAGGCAGACCACAATTCGCAGCCGAGATCTGTTCTTGCCCTGCTTCTTGTGGTTTGATGGAGCCAAGCAAGCCACGATCCAACGCTAAATCAAGGGTCGCAGTTTGTTTCCTCCAAGGCATAAGCGGGAAGGGTGTGATTTGCTCGTGCACCGTAAACCGTGGTTGAGGACTCCCCATGATGCACAGACACAACCATACAAAGCCTTTCTTATTCAAACTTCCTAGAACCTGAAGCTTAATGCCTTTAGCAGGGAAGTGATAGCATATTGTCCGATCCTCCTGTGCGTTGTCGACTTTTCCTTTGACGTTCAGTGTGTTTGGTTCCCCCCACCCCAGCCTCCCTGTGACGGCCATTTTGTCTTCTGTGTTCTGTAGAAATGTTTGTCAGAAACTGATACGAATAATCCAGCCCAGGTGGAGGGATTGGTTTGAAAAGAAAGCTGAACATTTTGCACTTTTGATACTCTTGGGTTGGGTGGGTGGGGAATAAATAATTTATTGGGCAAATTGTCTTCTTCTTTTTTTGTATTTGTGAACAGGCCCTAATTTTATTTTGGTTTTGCTTTAAGACTCTTACAGAATCTGCAACTGAAATAAAACTATTTTAATGTGTGTTCAGAATACGGTTTGGTGCTTCCAAGTGACTCTTGATGATAAATTAATGGTGGCGGCACAGTGCAATTTGGAGCCAACTCTCACACTGTTAAATTTCCATGGCATTGGATTGAGTTCGGTGCCTTTTGTGGGAGACCTTCCTGGGGTTTTCTCTCTTCCCTTTCTCTCTACCCTCCCCTGCCCCCCTCCCCTGCCCTTCACACAATGTAGAACTGAATTTGTGGAACTCACAGACACAAGATGTGGCCGCTCAGATGGCTTTAACAGGAGATTACGATGGAGAGGTATAAATAGAGCCTCCAAGTTCAAAGGCAGTATACCTGCGAATACCAGTTAACTTTGGGACAAAGAACAGAGGAGGCTGTTGCCTTCATGCCCTGCTCGTGGACTCACTGAATGTGTCTGGATGGCTGCCAAAGGAGAGAGGACTATGGATTACATGGACCTCTGTTTTGATGTAGCAGAGCAGGAGAAGCATGGTGACCTTGCGATGTGGTTGGACTCCCATCAGGGATGTTGGGAGCTGCAGTTTAGAAACATACAGAGGACACCCCATTGGCTATCCCATCTTGGCTCTGAGGCTCCCAGGGATATGTTCTCATCCGGCACTCTTTATACATTCATTTATTTGCATGTGCCTTTTATGCAAACTACTACGCTCTTGGTGAAAGGCTGGGACTTGGCTGACATTGCCAGGTGCTCTTAGGTATTGGGTGGCTATGTCCTGTGCTTCATTTTTTGGTTTTTCTTCCAGCAGCAATGAGGACTAACAACTTAATTTCCCCACAAAACCAAAGATTCCCAGAACTTGCGTTTGCTGGTTAGTATCTCCCATTATGTCAACCCTGCACATTTTCAGCTGTCCTGGTTATTGCAGTAGATGTCAGGAAAGGGTGCTGGTAGCAGGCAGAGAGTTGCATAGACGCAGCAAAGTTAAAAATGCAACGTTCTGATTCTTTGCAGGTCTGCAGGGAGGTCCTTGTGCATTACGAGCACCTTTAGCGTGAATCGGAAGCTTCCCTGGAACGGTTTATGTCCTCTTGACTTGTGGGAGGGCGCACAGCATTTCAAAGAGCAGATTTGCTCCCAGGAGTGCTGTGTTACCTGTGTAAGCAAAAGGAGCAGAAAGCCAAATTAAGGAACTTGCTGCCTCTCCCAACCCTTGGCTGCTATGGAGAGAGCAATCGGCTGACTGACTATGCTTCAGGGTAGCCAGAGAAGGGAGCTGCTGTGGTGTCCCCCCCCCAAAGGCTCAGTTCTCCAGTCCATAAAATGGGGCTTGTAGTGTCTTACTTTCTTGGATGTGCTGCGAGAGGGTCTTCACAGAGCTTAGACATTGCTCTTGTCAAGATGACCCAAGCAGGATCCTTACATTTTTGGGGGGGATCAAGTATCCCCATTCAGGTTGTCGCTAAAGCGGCAGATGCCAAGATACACCACTTACCGGAAGCATCATACATCGGCGCCACTTCAACAAGGTCACCCCCAACGATATTCAGGCCTTGGCAGCCGCGAATAATCTCCAGAGCCTGTTTGAAAATCAAGAGAAGGCAAGTGGGTCAAGGGCAGGGAGAGGCTCTAGAATTAAGTGACTTAAATGAGTGGAGGGAAAACGCATTTTGTAGTCTGGCCCAGGAGCTGAATGCGGCCCTTCAGACTCTTCTCTCCGGCCCTCGGGAGTCTCTTCAGTCTATGCCACACCCCCTATAGTCAGGCCACACCCCTCTACCCCTGTTTTGCACACTCCAGGAATGTTTAGCCTATGCCGCTAACCCTTGATAATGCCTCTTCCTTGCCTACAAAGGTAAGATTTATATTTGTTGTTTGCTCCATCCCCTTCTGACTGGTGCCGTCCGCCACCAGCACATAGCCTCTAAAAGATTATCCGGGAGGCCCTTTTGCTGGAAAAGATTCCTCGCCCCTTCTACAGAAGGAGGTCTTTGAACAGACTGATGCAACTGGTAACCTCCGAGTCAGAAGAAGGTAAAGCAAAGTCTGCAGTTACTAAGGCCCTACTATGTCGCTGGACTCAGCTCCAAGCAGCACAGCCAAGGATCAGGGATGATGGGAATTTTCAGCCCAGCAACATCTGGAGGGCCACAAGTTCCCCACTTTTGTTTCAGACAAAGCTCGACCCCCTAGAAGCCAAAGCAACGCAGCAAACGTCTTGCTTAGACCTGTACTGCTTGTGTTTCTGCACACTTATTTTACCTGCGAAGGAGTCAGGCCGGCAATCTCGGGTGTCCCAGTGCCAGGGGCGTAGGCAGGGTCTATTCCATCGATGTCAAAGCTGATATAAACGGGCTTGTCTCCCATCTGCTTCCTCACCTCTGCCATCAAAGGGACTAGCGACTTCATCCAACAGTCTTCTGCTAGCACCACCCGGAAACCCTGTTAAAACACCGGCGAAAGCTTTGGAATGGAGAACCCCAGGGTCATCATACCGATAAGGTATCTAACTTTGCAGCTGTGCAGGTGTAAATTTGCTCTCTGGCCCCACAGCTGACACCTGACAAGTGTTCTCCCATGAAAAGGAACAGAGGAAGGTGCCTCTCCTTATTTTCTTGTCCTTTCAAGACTGCAAACAAGGCTGTGTAGATGCAGAGAACTGATACAGAAGAAACCAGCTTCCTTAAAATCCTAGAATGATCAAGTTTCTAGTCCTTATCGAGATAGGCTTAAAAGTGTGTGAGCAATGCCTGGTGAACTTTAGAAAGCGGAAAGGGAGAATCCAAGTGAGACTCTCCATGCCTGAAGGTGGGGTTGTATTGTCTAGCGACTAGTGATATCCGGGAGGCAGGATAGAAAATGTGCATGTTCTCCCACAATTTATCCAAGTTGCAGAATCTGGCTTCCTGGGTACAGAATATGGGTAGCCTGCAATTTAAATATTTCAGCATGCAGGCCTGGTTTTCTTTTTTACTGTATTTATTGTATTTCACACAGAGAACCAGTGTATGTTAAGGGTTAGTGTGTTGGATTAAGACTTGGGAGACAAGGGTTCAAACCACTACTCAGCCATGAAGCTCACTGGGTGACCTTGAGCCGGTCACTCTTTCTCAGCTTTACCTACCTTGCAAGGTTGTTGTGAGGCCAAATGGGGAGCTGAAAGCCTGTGAGCACTTGAAGCTCTTTGGAGGAAAGGTGGGTTATAAATAAGCACTATATATTCGTGATTTATTTTTAGGTGCGTAATAACAAATGAGTAACGCTAGGCATGAGTAGTACAGTGGTACCTCTGGATGCGAATGGGATCCGTTCCGGACCCCGTTCGCATCCTGAAGCGAATGCAACCCACATCTGCACATGCACGGGTCACGATTTGCTGCTTCTGTGCATGTGCATGACATCATTTTGAGCGTCTGCGCATGTGCAAGCGGCGAAACCCGGAAGTAACATGCTCCATTACTTCCAGGTCGCCGCAGAGCAGAACCCGAAAATGCTTAACCCAAAGCTACTTCAACCCAAGGTATGACTGTATTGGGCGGGCATAATATTAGAAGTTTGACATGGTCTGATGTCATGATTGGTTAGACGAAGAGGAACGGTGGGAGGAACCAGCTGGGGGACCACTAAGAGGAGGCGGCTCAGAGCCCGGGGATTGGTGATGGGACAAGGGAAGGTGGTCAGAGGGAAAAGAGGAAGATGACAGGGAAGAGAAGGTGTTGGAAGTTGAAGAGGTAACATGACTCAGTGAACAGGGAGATCTGTGGCAGAGAGAAGTCCAGAATAAGAGGCAGAAACCGAAGCAGGAGAGGCCAAGAGGCAGAGATGGGTCAGGCTTGTGTAGAGCCACAGGCATCTCTCTCACTGGCCACAGCAAGCTCCCCTCCTTGCTGGTCTCCCAGGACCAGAAGAGGCATGAAAAGGGCAGAGGAGAGCATGCAGGCACAGTCTCTAATTGCTTGAGGAAAACCCTGGAGAGGAGGAGACATAAACTGCTGGGGGGGGGGGAGGCAGGGACCTTTAGTCTTGGCAACTGCTTCATGGGGGCAAGACCTACTGGAGATGAGCTGCTGTGCTAATTAGGCCTGTGCAGATCCTGTTTTGCTAATAAAGAGCTAATTCCCAACTTGTTCACTGTGATCTACTGCTGGCTGGCTCCTGCCATCTTACCTGGTCTCGGCAATACTTGTAAGGGTCCTGAGTGTAGGAGGAGCCCCTGATTCCAATCTGAACGACCCGTTTGCAGTCCAGGAGTCCCTCGTCCACACAGCGCCGGAATGGCGTCCCGTGGTAGATCTTCTCCCCCAACGCTTTGTCTCCGGTGTCCGTGTGGGCGTCTACATGTACCAGCCCCACAGGGCCGTGCCTGCAGAAGGAAGGAGAGATGCTAAGGGAACAAGATGGCATGACTTGACCACTACAGGGAAGGCAGGAAAGCTTTTTTTCTACCCTTAGGACCACATGCCCATCTGCCGGGGGCTGCATGCTGGTGATGGGCGGGGCCAGAGACAAAGGCGGGCGGAGCAGCGGATGCAAATCACACCTTTTGTACAGGAGGCTAGTTTGTACACGCACACCCTATGCCCCTCCCTACCCTCTGCCCACAGGGTTGGCAGAAGCTGCCTGACACTGTTGGTGCCGTTTCTCACTTTAGACTCACTTTTCTGCCACGGCTTGCAAGATGGGATATGTGATCGTGTGGTCTCCACCTGCAAGGACAGATAATGTGGTTGATGGTGAGATTGAGCCCCCTCCCTCTTCTTTCTATACATTCACTAATGTTACTTTAACTACTAGGACTTGCTGATCAGAAGGTCAGCAGTTCGAATCCCCGCAACGGGGTGAGCTCCCGTTGCTCAGTCCCTGCTCCTGCCAACCTAGCAGTTAGAAAGCACGTCAAAGTGCAAGTAGATAAATAGGTACCGCTCTGGTGGGAAGGTAAACGGCGTTTCCGTGTGCTGCTCTGGTTTGCCAGAAGCGGCTTAGTCATGCTGGCCACGTGACCCGGAAACTGTATGCCACCTCCCTCGGCCAATAAAGCGAGATGAGCGCCGCAACCCCAGAGTCGGCCACGACTGGACCTAATGGTCAGGGGTACCTAGCCGGTACATATATTAAGACTGCATGTGTTTGGGAAGCTCTGTCCTTGGTGTTGCCAGGATAAGATCTAGTTCTTTAGGCAGAATGAGACAGCTGGCTCAAGCGGCAGATTCTACTTTTGGGGGGGTTTCTGATCTCCTTTTTTTGCTTTGGGATCTTTGGGATACCTTGCCACATCAACACATGGTGATTAGATTTCTGGAATACTACTGGCCAGGAAATTGCCAAGGGGTACCACAGCACCCCCAATTTAGCTGCCTCTTTGCGATCAGCGCTATCGCAGCCCCAGGCTGCTTGGCAACATCCTTACCCAGCGTGAGGGGCACGCAGCCCTGTGCCACTATCTTTTGAAAGGCCTCTCGGATTTGCCGGCAGCTATCCTTCAGGTTATACAGGTTGACATTCACATCACCGATGTCGGCTGCTACAAGAGAATGGTACGGATCTGCCCTGGTGCTTGGATTGAACAATCTCACCAATGACGACTCGGCCCGGATGTGGCGAGGACCAAACCTGAGGTGGGGAAAAAGCAACATCTGTGATTGTAGTGCTCAGCCTCCCTGTAGGGAGCCTTTGGCAGCCTGAGAGCTGCATTACTTCCTAGCATTCCTTCTGAGGGCCGCATACTGCTGGTGGGAGGGGCCAGAGACAAATGTAGGCGGGGCAATGAATGTGCTTTTTACCTAGCCTAGTTTTTTCACACACACTGTGCCAGAAAATAGGGGGGATGCCTTTAACAGCCTAACTCCCCTTTTAAGGGACCCAGAGTCCCCCAAGTTTTTAATCGATCAGAGATGAGTGAGTTGAGGCAGGATCCCATGAAAGCAAGGCAGATCTTTATTATTCTGTCCCCCTACCCTGCTTCATAGGAGGTGAGGACCTAGAAACAAGGGTGTACAAGAACTTGCAAAGACTTTAGGAATTGCCTGGTGCCTTAACCAAAGACCACTGAAAAAATGTCATACACATGTCACAGAAAGAGGCGGTCTACAACAGAAATTTGAGCATGTGGCTTAGAATTAGAGGGGGTGGTGGTATACACAATGGCCAGTTCTCTGGTAACAATACCCACACCCACCCACACACCGCGCTCTGTCCTCCATCCAGGTAAGGCAGAGGGTTTTCTCAGAGGGAAAGGACACATCTCAGCTGGGCCCAAACACTCAAGGAGGGTGCAAAGCAAGGCTTGTGAGGTGTGTGGCCAGGGAGGGTCCTGAAGACCAGATAGGCCTGGGAAACAGGTCTCTCACCCTTGCCTAAAGCCCCTGATAAGCTCGCAGCCTTGATGCCCTGGAACTGGGCTTCTGGGTCATTTCCTTCACAAGACAGGGCGATGGTGCCCCAGTGAAAAAGCCACACTGAGGGGCCCCTTTTAGGCTTTCACGTGAGGCCTAGCACTGCCAGTGGCCCCACTCCACACTCAAGCTTGGAGCCTGGATGAGTTTTGTGAATGTCTGAGAACTGATTCTGGCTGTTCTGCCTTATTTCCTGATCAAATGACACAAGCATTTGAACATCCCAAAGATGGACATGGACAACAAGGCCAACAATGGGAGGAAGAGAACTTTCCCAGCTCACTTAAGTTTTCTTGGCACACACCGAGGGAAACGAAGCAAATTGGTGCTGCAGGATGAGATCTCTGAGGAGGCCTGGGCAGGTGGAGGTATCCCAAGGCAGCTGAAAGGGATTCAAGACACCAGCTGGGAAACTGATCTAAAAGCACATGTCCAGTTGGAAAGGCTGAGGGGATGGATCTCTCCCCTGGGCTGAAATGGCCTGTGATTGTCAGAGGGGCCCCAAGGTGGCCTGGAAACATTTCAGATCATGCCCAGGAGACTTGGATATGTTATATAGAATCATAGACAACCCCTTTTGCTGAAGGGAAATTTAGCTATGCTGGAACACACTATTATATAGAATAATAGAATTGTAGAGTTGGAAGGGACGCTAAGGATCATCCAAGTCCAACCCCCTGCAATACAAGAATATGAGGGGTTTGAACCTGCAACCTTGGCGTTTTCAGCACCACATGCTAACCAGCTGAGCTATGCAGGTCAAAGAACCATTGTTTCTCTGTGTAAAATGTTCCTCATTTGTCACAGCTGCAGAGAAATGTTGAACATATGACTTCCCCGTGGTCTGAGCCTGACAGAAGGTCCGCCAAGGGCGCATCCTGCTTGCTGGGTTTCTCCTGTCTTGTCATGGGGCTCCACTTCAGGAGATGGTCCTTGCCATTGAGAGCCAATTCACGCAACTTGCCCCTTTGAACTTGCAGGATGTCAAACAGGATTTTCCAAACTAAGGAACTTGCAGGATTTTCCAAACTAAGGAACTTCTTCCTGCTTGCAGTGGGAACTTAACTTGGCCCAGAAATGGAAGACACTACAGGATTAATTGTAGGACAAAAGCATGTGGACTGACTCTGGCAACTGCAGAGATAATAGCTCACAAATTACACATTTCTAAGGGTAAGGAATAATCAGAACATTTCTGCGCTGTTTGGTGAGATTTTATTTATGTGTCCAATCTATATAAACAAAATTCTCTTCCCCCACCAAACTGGATAATTCGGCTTTCACAATGTGTTTTGCTGCTTTTATTTTTCTACATTATCTGCTCCGTATTTATTTGGAAAATACAACGTCTGTACTGCTCCTATGTTTTATAACTTCGTTTTGTTGTTGATTTGTTGTAATTCTGATTTTACATTAGGAAAACACTAAGAAAATTAGAAGAAAGCCAGTTTGATTCCATTTCAAGCATAAGTTTCAAATAGGCTTGAGGATCAGAATTTGATATTGAAGGGTGGGGTTTGGTCTGCTCAAAATACCTCTGGGTCAAACTCTTTTAACAGTTGAGTTCCGATTTCACTTTTGAGGCCCATCATTGGGCACCTAACACACACTGCTGTATGTGTAGTCTCTGTGCAAATGTCTTCCTGTTTTCAGAAAAACCCACACATAACAGTAGATTTCCCAATGCATCACATCACTTTTGTTTCCAAAGCACGGAGACCAGGTTGCTCAAACTCCAAGGAGAATTTTGGAGATACAGCCCCAAGGTTGTTTCATTTCACTGCTAAGACTCTCAGCCAGGCCTGGACTTTGAACTTTGATTGTTGACGCAGTTAGGTAATTTATGGTTTTAAATGAAACCTCGCCCCTTTCGATGGTCATGCAAATGCGTCAAAATGTGTGATAGTTCTGCTACTTTGGGGGACCCTCCTGCTCATTCTGCAGATTAGGGGAACCCTGGGTGACTGCCCCCCAAAGTCCTACCCTGGCAGCACCGCTGTGTGGCCTCCCTCCACCCAAGCCTAGTTTGTAACGCAGCATTCAATCCCTTCCCAAAGCAAACCCACTCACCTGGCCCCAGGACGGTTGGAGGTCCCCGTGTCAAGAGGGACCCCCACAAACGCCACATCCAGACCCTCTGCTGAATTCTGGATGGGCAGCTTGAACATGGAGCAGACCCCCACGGGTCTGGCCACGAACTCCGCACTGGGTGGCACATTGGAGCGGGCATCGGAGAGAAGGCGACGAGGGAGAAAACTCCCGGTGTAGAAACTTTCAAAGAAGGAACCGCAGGGAGTTCTGGGCAGGGAGCCAGGCCAGCCTGGGTTAGCCCTGCTGTTGCTGCTGAGCTGCTGAGCACGACATGTGCTTGTCGGGAATGTTCTGCAGGACACCTGCTTGCCAACGGCAAGTCTGGTTTGACATGCCTTCCCCTGCAACAGGGCTTTGCGCCCCAAGGAACAGATGATTTCCATGCTGAACCCCCCAAGACAGGATATACAGCTGGTAGCTTTAAAGATTTCCAGGAGAGACACTCCCCCCGTAACATGCACAGCCAGTGGGCCTGCCTCTCTGCCTCCTCCCTTGACGGGTTCAAAGGGCACAAATGAGAAACAGAAGCCTCTGCAGTCAGTGAGACTTTTTTCTCACTAGGTGGCACTGTCTCATTTCCAGCTGGGATTTCAAGATTATTTTTTCCAGGGTGGAGAGGAGAGACAGTGATTTTTACCATGCCCAGTATGTGTGTTTTAGAGTTGGTGACTTATTTCTACCAGAAAGCCTTAGTTGCTTAAGAGCTGTTTAAGTTCAGCAACACAACCACCTTTTTTAAGAGGAGGGTGAGGTTATGCCAGCTTCTACTGATCTTTTATTTCTTTCTAGCCAATTCCCTCCTGCTCAAAAAAAAAATCCCTTGTTCTTTAGAGAGAAGCTATCAGGCCATAGATCAGAAAGCCTTTTTAAACCTGTTTTTTAGGGGGGGGGGCAAACGAAGTGGTCCACAAAGGGCAATCACACCCACTGGCCCCCATCCTGCCTGCAGCTTCCCAACCCTGACTTGATGTTGAACCGTCCCTTGTTAAGAGGGATTTGCACTTCAAACTGGCAGCGGACAACAGGCAAAAGGGTCAGACAGCAGGTGATGGGAATGATGGGAGGTGGAAGACATTGGCACAGAACCCAAAATCTCCTGCTCCTGTCCTTTTAAGCATTCTGCTGCCAGGCACTGTTCTGGGTTTTGACCCTTAAAACATTAACAAATCGTTCAGTAGGGAAAGAGAAAGAGAAGGCTTTTGCTACAAAGGATTAAAATGTATGCTTGTGCAGCTTTTGTTGTGGAATGTATACAGGTGCGCAATTAGTATCTGAAAGAATCCATCCAAACTTTTTGAGACCCTCATTCTTTCAGGACGGCTGTTCAGAATGGGGATGCCTGTCACAGACTCCCTGGAATCTGCCCTCCCTTAGTGCCACAATGGTATTCGGTCCCTGGTGCAGAACAAAAAACAGAATGTCCAAATACTCTTTTAGTGTTCAAGTAACACACACTTTATTTCACCAATAGGTAACCTAATTCACTCTCCCAACTAGCAACCAACACCTCAACAGCTACCAAGTCTAACTAAAGTAATTAAGAATGCTCAACACAGGCTAACTATTAACAACCCAAAGTGATTCCGTAGAACATCAACGTTTATTCATTCTGCCAAATGAGAGGTGGCTCAGTTAGCCTACTGTGATGCCAAAGCTTAGGTAGATAATTCTCTCCCTCACCCCAGCCCTTTCACCTCTCCTCTTGTTGTTCATATAAAGAGGGAATAATCCAGGGACTCTTGCACCCTCCAGCTGGGGTTTGCAAAATTCATGGGAATTGTTCTAAAGTTGCAGATGTCATGTGAACCAACACCCCCCACCGCCGTTTTTAAGTCTTAAAATAGTCTCCAAAAGTATATGTGACTGATCACTGTGATAGTTGGTTTCTAGAAATCAACTGCATGGAGTGGTCTGGGATTTCATCAACTTCCTTTCTAGTACTGAAATATATATATATATTTAGAAGTCCTGTGCCACTAAAGCATCCTTTAAACTGCTTGGCCTGGTCGCTATGAATGATCAGGAATTCCATGCAGGCAAACATGTGAAATCCTTGATAGGCAAGTGATTGGGATGGCAAAGCAAGGACAGAATTTTTTGTTGCCAGCTGGATCATCAAAGTGGTGTGATGCTTCTCTTTTTTAATTTAAAGAAAAGAATCAAACTTGGAATATTTGGATGTCTTAAATGCAAATGACCCTTCACTGCTCCTATCCCAATTAGCAACAAAATATATGGAAGTACTCCAGTCCAAATGGAAGGTGCTTTCTCCTCCTGATTCAAAGTCCTCCTTTCACTTTGCTTCCCTATCACATTCTTGTCCTTCACACAGACTCCCCACCCCCACTTATCTATAACAAGGATTAGGCATCTCTCGGCCCCCAGCTGTTGCTGGACTGCAGCTCCCAACACCCCCTGATCACTGGCCAAATGTTGCAGCCTCCAACATCCTTGGGGGCGGCGGCGGGCAAAGGTGAGCCATTATTTAGAAGATTACATCCTGCCTTTCAATCCCAAGTTGATTTACAATAGACTATAATATACACCAACATATATACTCAAACCCAAAATCCATGCCACCAGTGGCTCTTAGGCAGGGACCGGTATGTGCTTCCCTTCAGCTCTGCATTCACAAAATATACAGCTGTTTTTTCCAGCAGGTGTCTTATCTAAATGAGTTTGCTTTGTGCTCATTACAGTTCAAGTAACTGTGTCTCTTTGTTTAAGGACCCTTGCAAGATTTTATTGGTGCCCTGTTTAGATTAAACGTATTTATCTTTTTGGCTCTAGAATAGTTTCCTTACTTTCCTTGTTGTGCTCATTCACAGATTAATTAACAATTGAACAATTAACATGCATTTTGCCTGGGGAAGTCTAGAAGGACTAAGTAAGAAAGATCAACAGAGCAATTCTATAGAGGTTTTGTTTCAGCTGGGGTGCATGGAACTGGTAGAGGAGCCATCCCCTCCTAAGGCCCCTGCTAGGCTCACAGGACACAAGGGGGGCGCTTTTTCCTTTACCCCACTCTCTATTGCCCTGCTCCCAATCCTGCGTTCTTCATTTCTGTAGGAAGGAACTCCAACTCCAGAAGTGATGTATCACTTTTTCTGTCAGGGGAACAGATCTTTGGATGGGTCACATACAAAAGAATCCAAAGACGGGTAAGAATTCCTTGATGCTGGGAGTGAGCTGCTTCCCTCCCTACCACCAGTTGAAGCAGTGTCATGGTAACGCTCCTCCAGAAGGCTCCCCCAGCAACTACCAGGCAGCAACTATTATCATTCCTAACCCTTGCTGGCCCTGCTGGCTACTGGGGCCAGTGGGAGTTGGGAGACATCTGGAGGGTGAAAGCCTGACACGCAACAAGAGGACTAAGGGGCAGTGTGAAAATTATTTTGTGAAATAAGAGAAATAAAATCTCCTCCCCATTTTCCTAAGGCTCTGCATGAACAAGGAGCTGCCTGGGCAATACTCTAGTCAAAAGGGGCAGGAGAAGCTATTTCAGACCCAGTCCCTCCCCCTTCTGTCTGATGTGTTTTCCCTGGTAAAGTAGAGATGGAGGCAACTGAATTCGTAAATCCAAGGGCATCCCCCCCCCCCCCGGAAAAATACTGGCATGAAACCACCCTCAGATATCTAAGCAGAGGGGGAAAAGAATGTAGTTTCATCACGTTTTTTAAATGGCAAAAAATTAACAGCTTTGAGAGAGAGAAAAAGCACACATTTTGTATCAGCCTTCCCCAATCTGCTGCCCTTTGGATGTTTTAAACTACAACTCCCATCATCCCCCTCTGAAACATCTGGAGGGCACTAAGTTGAGGAAATCTATTTTGCATCAATGCTACCTCCCCTCTCAACAGAGACTGTTAAGATGTTTGAAGCAGAGACCCAATTCTTGAAAAGGAACTATTGCAGCCAGTTACTCTGTTTTCAAAGCAACACAATCAACCTGAATTTCTTTGCTGGCCAAATGCAATGACCGCATCAGGTTTGTTTGGGTTTTTTTTCATCAGTACCAAACCCAATCTACCTTTACAATGAGAACACTCCAATCCCTAGAAAGTGCTTCTTACCTACAGTATTTTTTTTCGGCCTGCAAGGAAGAGGTAGCTTAGCCAGTTTAAATGCTTTTAGTGGAACATCAGAGGAAATGTCAACAACAGCTGTGAGCAGATCTGAGCCCATCACGACACTATGCTCCTCCAAGAGTGGAGCAGGGCGGCTGCCTCAAAGAGATCTTCATACTCCAGGTTTGCCAGAAAGCACCTCTTCAGCGTTGTTTCGACTTTGCTCCCATCTCCAAAGCGATCTGTCAATAAGGTGGCGAGTGATTGGTGAAGAAGCCAGCCAACCAACTTGGCAGGTCTCAGGTCCTCCAGGCTGAGAGTATCACCACCCCAGAGACTCAGGTGGAGGACGTTGGCTGCAACACGTGCAGAGAGCCTCTGAAATAGGAAAGGAGGTGGGGAAAGTCAAAGGAATGGCGGAGTTTGCTTTCAGGCGAGCACCTCTGGTGTGCCTTTCTCTGGTTTCTGTTTGCAGACTTCCCCACTGGAATGAGGTACATTCTCTGGGGGAAGGGGGAGAATTGTAGAAAGCACTCAAACACAGGCAAGGTGCTAGTGTATGCCGTTTGAGCCCAATCAACCATGGTAAACCAGCAAATCCTGGCTTATCAGGATGTGTGAACACAGGCCATGCTGGGCTAGCTAGACAAACAGTCTGACCTGGCCTCAGGCAGCTTCCTACGTTTCCAGTTGTTTAAAATAAAATTAAAAAGTGTACAATTCAGAAGATTTGGGAAAGGTTTGTATAGTCAGCTTTGCACTCATTGATACCATTACTAAATCAAGCCTTCAGTGTCCTAGGCCCAGTCTTGTACGATGTTCTTCCAAAAGAGACTCAGTGGGTGTTCTCAGTGTTAACTTTTGGACATTTGCTGAAAACCTTCTATGCTGCCTTTTCTACATCTTTTCTACTCTTAGGTGGTGATCTTTCATTCTGGTGTGTGTGTGTGAGAGAGAGAGTGAGTGAGTGAGTGAGTGAGGGGTATATATATATTTATTTATTTCTGTCTGCCCCCCCCCCCGGCCATTTATTGTCATACACCACTTTGATATTTTTAATGAAATTGGAGCATATACGTATTTACTTACAAGAGCATGCCAGCTACCCATTCTTCCTGACAAAGATTCCTGGGAGTGCCATATCCTCTATTATTGTATCAGCCACAGCTGGTCCAATGAAAGCCATTTGCCTAGACTGTACTACGGTGGCAGGTGAAGCCCAGCCCTCTGGTCTCAGTCAGAGGGTCTTTTGCAGGATACTGGCGTCTGGGCTTGTATGACCATTGCTAAGCAAGATGTGGGGAGGCGTGGAAGCCCTTGTGAAAAGAAGAGAGCAACTCTCACCTTGGCCGGATCCCTCCGAAGCAGCAATCCAACCAGCTTCCTCACTTCCAGGGGTACAGTTTCTGGCAAGGGTGGCAGATCCTTATCTTGATAGCTCCTGCTTTCCAGAGCAGCTCCCCCTTTGCCGTAGAAGGGGTTATGTGCACCAAGGATCTCATATGCCATTGCCCCAACCGCCCATGTATCTGCTTTGCTGTAGTCTATCACAACCCCGGGGCCGGGGGTAGCAGTGACCACCTGTCAGGAAACAGATACGGAAAACAAACCTTCAGACAAGGCCAGCCAAAACTTAAAATGCCTCCAAGCAGGTTTCTTAAAATGCAAATCGCTTGGAGCGGCTGATAATTAATGGGATCAGGAGAGGCATGGAGGAGAGAATTTGAAGCTGGCATATACTTTTTGGTAAAATGCCACTTTTGGCACAGCAGGGGCAGAAGGGATAACATTGCTTCTCAATGCCCGCTTTGATCGCATTAATTATCGGCCTAACCCAGAAGCTAACTGCATTTTTAAAATGTGCACGTGTAGTGCAAAGGCACATCTAATTTGGAGTAGTTCTTAAAAAAATAAAATACAAATAAATTTTCAAAAAGAAAGGTTATACAAGATTCTGCAAAGGATAAGGTTATCAAATGGGATCTGGTGCCTATATACGTAGCCTATATAAAATTATAGATCACTGTCAAACAAATACAGTCATAAAATAAAGCCAAAATAAATACCGTATTTTTCGCTCTATAACACGCACCCGACCATAACACGCACATAGTTTTTAGAGGAGGAAAACAAGAAAAAAAATATTCTAAAGAAACAGTGGATGTATGATTTTTGTGGTTCATGCTGTAGCCACAGACATGTGATCTGACGGTGAGTTTGGGGTAGCCCAATGCAAAAATCCTGAGGATCCATGCTTTGTAACCACGTTTTTGCACCACTGCGGCCCCAGGCAACAGTGGGTGCGTGATTTTTTTGGTGCAAGCTGTAGCCATGGACATGCTATGTGATCTGATGGTGAATTTGGGGTGACCCAGTGCAAAAATCCTGAGGATCCATGTGCATCCGTGCTTTGTAACCACGTTTTAAGTGGGGAGGGAAGGAAAAGCACTCAAGGGACAAGGAACACGCGTGGGGTGGGTGGAGAAGGATGCTGTTAATAGTGCAGAAGAGGGGTTTAAGGGGAGAAGGCTCCTCTCCTCTCCCGCTTTGCTCCTTTAAAGGCTCTGCTTCTCTCCCTCCTCCCTGGCTCGCTGAAAGAAACAGCTCCGGACTCATGTAAGCGGCTCCTCCCGCTTTTCTGTTTCAAAGCAAGCCACGGAGGAGGCAAGGAAGGGGAACCATGGATCCTCTGCTCACGACTGCAGCAGATCCCCCCGCCATCCGTAGGCATTCGCTCCATAACACGCACAGACATTTCCCCTTACTTTCTAGGAGGAAAAAAGTCGGTGTTATGGTGCAAAAAATACGGTAAACCGCAGGTACATGAATGTGTAGAAGGTAGCGACTAAGACATAATGGTTAAAGTTACAAAACACAAACCCTATTATACCAAGAGAAATAGAGAGAGATAGAGAATTACCTCTGGCGCCATGAGGCAGCCGTTGCCCCCGCGATCCACATACCAGCTGGTAAAAGGGAGTTTCAAGCCAATTGTTTTGTCGGCCAAACAGCAGCCAAAATCTGAGATGACCAGCCCTGGACATCCAGCTGCAAATGATGGCAAGGGAACAGAGTTACATTCTGAACAGACACACAGCAGACCAGCTTAGCACTCAGAATGGACAGCAGGAGCAAGTCTCTAGGGCTGTAAACCCCCCCCCCCCCGGAAGGTTCCTTCAAGGGCATATATGACACCACATGTGGAGCAGTTTATGACACGGCTTGTTTGATCAGCAGCACTACAAACACAGTGCTTTGCAAATGCTGGCAGCTGATTGGGGTTTCCAGGCACAGCGCTATGCAAATATGGGCCACCTGACATCACTGTGGCATCAGATTATTGACAGGTGGGCAACCCCATCCATCCACCTGCCAAATGTGGCCCATGTGGGGTGAGGAGGATCTTGATCTGGAATGATTTCTCTGATAGCAGTGTTTGGGAAGGGGTCATAGGACACTAACTGTTATAATCAACTCTAAATTGTTATACAAACCTACATAATATTTGACTGCGATAGTTGCATATGCATGGAATGTTTCTTGGGGGTAGGGATAAAGGATGTATTTTCAGAAACTGAAAAATAATGAAGGTTTTTAATGGAAAAGGTTGAGGTGGGGAGCGTTAACCCCACCAAACCAGTGCTACGCTCCCAACCTAATTCACCACCACCCTTCACCAAGTAAGCACACACTCTGCATCAGGAGATGCACAAGCACGGATTTCTGGTGCCACCTTTAGCTGCATCCTTCGTTCAAGACCAAATCTTTCCCCTGCAGTTTCTGCCTCATCGTCGTGATACAAAGCGTTTCTCAGAGGGAACAGAGCATGTGCTTCTACTGCGGACGTTAATTACTCTGCTCTGCTTGCCCTTACTTGTCTCCTGCCCACTTGAGTCTCAGTCAGGCTGAGAGTAATTAACATATCCAACGCCAGAAACTGACAGTGGGCCAAAAGCGCTCTGGGCTCTAGCAGAGCGTGAATTTGCCCTGGGATTACCTACTGCTTAACGATCCCGAAGCACTGAGTTATTAGCCTATTTGTACTTTGGGACTTCAGAAATTGCTGCTGTGCAGCCAGGCAAACCACAGATGTCCAAAATCAGGGAGTTGGAGAAAACCCATCGACCAATTTGCAACTGCGGAGCTGGAGGGCAGCCAATATGGTCAGGCCATTTTGGGTGTTCCTATTACCACTTTGCCTACATTTAATTTTAAGGCTGGAAGATTCCGTTCCTCTAGCCTAGTGCATTTCTGCCTGAGACAGCTTAAGATCCTCAGTGGACAGAGAATGGGCTCTCCTCAACTCCATTTTCCCCATTTGTTACTGAAGTATTAGCTCAGTTGTAGAGCATCTGCTCTGCAAACATAGATAAAAGTCCTAGGTTCAATCCCCAGCATCTCTGGGGAGAGACCCCAGTTGGAAATGCTGAAGAGCTGCTGGCAGCCAGTGCAGCCAATATAGAGCTAGATGGAGCAAGGGAAAGACTCGTTATAAGCCAGCTTCCTAGGCTCATTAGGAGCAGCCATTGCTGACTGGCAGAGCACTTGCTTCACATGTCAAAGGTCTTTAGTTCAATCTTTGGCATCTCCATTTACAAACCTCTCTGGGACGGAGACCCGAGAGAGCCACCGCCAGTCAACACTGGCTCTACTCAATAGACCCAAAACATGGTCTGACTCAGGCAAAGGCAGCTTCCTGGGTTGCCTATAACCTAAGTGCAAGAAAGATGCATCTTCTAAGCCAGGCGACACAGCAGCACTGAGACTACTTGGAACATCCTGTGTGACATATAATGGGGAGTATCCCTTCCAAGAGGGCACCTGCAATTATTGTTTATGACATTTGTAAGGTGACATTCCAAACAAGTTCTCTGCATGATTTAATCATCACACCAACCCTGTGAGGTAGCCTAGGTGTGTGCCCCAGCAGCGATTCGAAGCTGGGTTTGCCCCATCCGAAGTGCTTTTTGTTGGTGATATGTGATGATGAGCAGCCTGATGCCAGGGTTTTCTACCACTCCTCTAGCATTTTTAAGATCTCTACCTGTTTTCTCCATTCCAAGCACAATGATCCTGCTCATCACTTCTCCCTGACCAGATACACGCACAGGTTTTGCAGCTGCGCTACGTACCGGCGTCAAACTCAACGAGGATGTTGTCAGACTTCAAATCCCTGTGAGCCACTCCGTGTCGAACGAGGTGGTCCACCCCTTCCAGTAGCTGCAGGATCATCATGGTGCCCAGGTGAGCAGCTGGGATCCTGTCGCAGAGATACTGGCGCAGCGTACATGGGTAGCTGGATGGAGCAAGCAAGGAAGTGGCAGCTCATTAGTGGGGTTCCAGAAGCAACACCTAAATCTGGCTGAAAATGGGAACATTGCTTTCTCTTCATCCTTGGTGGTGTAGTGAAGTAAACATCATTTTCATGTGGGAATGAACTTGTTTTTTGGCGTTCTAGATAGCAGAGACATCTCCCATCCAACTCCTTCCTTGCTTTGGTGGTATAGGGCAACATGAGGAGCCCTGCTGGATCAGGTCAAAGACCCATCTAGTCCAGGCATCCATGGGAAGCCTGCAAGCAGGACCTGAGTAATTCTTGGGCCCACTTTCCCCCACAATGTCACCATGGAATGGGAGATGGCCATGGCATGATGCTGCTCATCAACAGCAGCAGAAAGCTTGAAAAAGCATGGGAAGGTGCCTTTGCTATGGGGTATTTGAAATAAATGCACCACATCACCAGAAAATTAAGTCAACTTTCACTAGCTAAAAGGTGTGGGTTGTTTTCTTCTCCAATATTCTCATTCATTCTGTCTCTCTCTCTCTCTCTCTCTCTCTCTCTCTCACACACACACACACACACACACACACACACACACACAAACAAACTGTTGAAATGACTCCTGAAAATTATGGCTCAGAGCAATTTGCACCCTGCACTTTTCAGAGCACACTGTCTCTTTCCTAGGACCTGTTTCCAACTACCCTTGCTTCCTGCTTCTTGACCCATCTCCCTGGTTCAGCTACAGCTCACTGTCTGGCCAGCTTCCTCCAAACTGCACCATGGCCTCTTCCTTGATGGAACTGGACATGATGTGGAGCTAATTCTGCTTTCCTCATTTTCTTTCTTTCTTTCTTTCTTTCTTTCTTTCTAAAAAATCAAGTTTCTAGTTCTTGTGGGTTAAAAATGATGAAGGCATTAACCGCAGAAAGCTCCAGTGTATTGGGGTGATAGTGGAAGTGGAATCTCTTCCTTACCTTTCATCTTCCAGCCTTAACTAATCATTTAGCTATACCAGCCTTCCCCATCCTGTGGCCCAACAGCTGTTGGACTCCAACTCACATTTGCCCCAGCCAGCATGGCCAATGCTCAGGGATGATGAGAGCTCGGAAACCACATTTGCCACTCGATCACTGTTGTTGGGAGCAGAGGATCAACTTTTGTCCCAAACCATAAAGGTTAGAAGCCACATGCACTTTGCAGCCATACAATCCATTGACCACCCTGCTCTCTCCCAACTTACTTTTTCATCACTAGGAAGAGTGTGCGGCTGTGCCCTATTCCAGAGGGATTCAGTGTGGAGGGCAGAACATCCGGATAGTCCACCGTTGCACCAGGAAGCAGTGGGACGTGGGACGTGAATGCTCGAAGCACCTGGACTATATTTGGATGAGGTTTCAGCCTCTTCTTACCGAAGACAAGTTGCCTATTTCAAGACAGTTTGTTACCGCTTACAACCACTTATCATTGCTATTGCAGATTTACCGTAATTTTCGCTCCAAAACACGCACTTTTTTGCTCCTAGAAAGTAAGGGGAAATGCCTGTGTGTGTTACGGAGCGAATGCACTCGACCGGAACCATGGCTCCCGTCAGTCAAGCAAAGCGGGAGCCGCTTGCAAGGCTTCTGTCACTAGCTTTGCTTGCTTTACAGCCAGGAGGAGGGGGAGGAGCCGAGGAGGAGGGAAGGAAGGAGAGCCATCGCAGCAAAGTGGCCAGCAGCCGCTTACACGGGAGGAGGGACAGACGGGAGCCATAGCGAGCCGGAAAAAGCGCCTTGTAGCCAGCAACAGCTGCTGCAGCCTCAGCTAGCAAAGGTCCGCTCTCTAAACGGAGCAATGAGGCTGCAGAGGGACGGCAGGGCACAGGAGGGCTCTGAGCCACGAGCGCAGTGAAAACCAGTAAAAAAGTTTTTTAAAAGGCTGCTGGGAACAGGAGGGCACGGGATGAGGGAGAGGGGGAAATTACGATTCTCCCAGCGTCTCAGCTGATCCGCTGAGCAGGACTTGGGTTGCAGGGGATTCGCCATTAGCTGCGTAAAGCAGCAAAGAGGGAGAGAAGGAGCAAAGCGGGAGAGGAAAGGAGCTGCTTACACTGCTGTAAGTGGCTGCTGTCCGGTTGGCTACTTTAAAGCAACAGTGCTCTTTCCCTCCCCCCTCCCCTCGCCGAAAAGCTCCTTTTCCACACACCCCACCGAGCTCCTTTTCCCCTTAAACCCCTCTCCTGCATCATTAGCAGCATCCTTCTCCACACACCCCATGCGTGTTCCTTCTCCCCATAGACCCCTCGCCTGCATTATTAGCAGCATCCTTCTCTACACACCCCATGCGTGTTCCTTCTCCCCTTAAACCCCTCTCCTGTATCATTAGCAGCATCCTTCTCCACACACCCCATGCGTGTTCCTTCTCCCCTTAAACCCCTCTCCTGCATTATTAGCAGCATCCTTCTCTACACACCCCATGCGTGTTCCTTCTCCCCTTAAACCCCTCTCCTGCTTTATTAGCAGCATCCTTCCCTACACACCCCATGTGTGTTCCTTCTCCCCTTATATCCCTCTCCTGCATCATTAGCAGCATCCTTCTCTACACACCCCATGCGTGTTCCTTCTCCCCTTAAACCCCTCTCCTGCATTATTAGCAGCATCCTTCTCTACACACCCCATGCGTGTTCCTTCTCCCCTTAGACCCCTCGCCTGCATTATTAGCCACATCCTTCTCCACACACCCCGCACGTATTCCTTCTCCCCTTAAACCCCTCTCCTGTATCATTAGCAGCATCCGTCTCCACACACCCCACGCATGTTCCTTCTCCCCTTAAACCCCTCTCCTGTATCATTAGCAGCATCCTTCTCCACACACCCCATGCGTGTTCCTTCTTACCTTAAACCCCTCTCCTGCATCATTAGCAGCATCCTTCTCTACACACCCCATGCGTGTTCCTTCTCCCCTTAAACCCCTCTCCTGCATTATTAGCAGCATCCTTCTCTACACACCCCATGCGTGTTCCTTCTCCCCTTAAACCCCTCTCCTGCTTTATTAGCAGCATCCTTCCCTACACACCCCATGTGTGTTCCTTCTCCCCTTATATCCCTCTCCTGCATCATTAGCAGCATCCTTCTCTACACACCCCACGCGTGTTCCTTCTCCCCTTAAACCCTCTCCTGCATCATTAGCAGCATCCTTCTCTACACACCCCATGCGTGTTCCTTCTCCCCTTAGACCCCTCGCCTGCATTATTAGCCACATCCTTCTCCACACACCCCACACGTATTCCTTCTCCCCTTAAACCCCTCGCCTGCATTATTAGCCGCATCCTTCTCCACCCACCCCACACGTGCTCCTTGTCCCTTGAATGCTTTTCCTTCCCTCCCCACTTAAAACGTGGTTACAAAGCACGGATGCACATGGATCCTCAGGATTTTTGCACTGGGTCACCCCAAGTTCACCATCAGATCACATAGCATATCCATGGCTACAGCCTGCACCAAAAAACACACACGCACCCACTGTTTCATGGGGCTGCAATGGCGCAAAAGCGTGGTTACAAAGCATGGATCCACATGGATCCTCAGGATTTTTGCATTGGGCTAACCCAAACTCACCGTCAGATCACATCTGTGGCCACAGCATGAACCACAAAAATCATACATCCACTGTTTCGTTTAGAATATTTTTTTCTTGTTTTCCTCCTCTAAAAACTACGTGCATGTTATGGTCAGGTGCGTGTTATAGAGCGAAAAATACGGTAATTAGCAAAATGAATTTGAAATCTCTTTGTGGTGTGTTTTCTCACAGCCCAGCAAAATAGGCCATTATGTTTTCTGGGCCAGAGTAGAAGCTGCATTCAACCCAGCTCTTCTATGGCCAGGTATAATTTTTTGTCATTGATTGTTCCGTTCTCTATAAAAATGTATTAATTGTCCTATTATAGCCAAAGCATGGCTGAGCTATTGGGGGCTGTGCCTTGATCTTTGTTTAACATCCTTGTGTCTCTGACTAGTTTCAACCATATACTGGAAAAATGACCCATGGGCTGCCTGACCAGAGGTTTGGAACTTTGCTCCTGGGCGAAGGTGCCATTTATAACTACAAACAATAGGTTTTAACTGTTGCATAACAACTGCTATTATTTCCGCAAGGGTAGCCATGTTATTGTTTTTGTTGCAATGAAGATTAAGAGTCTGTGGCACCTTAACACACTAAAATTATGGTGCATAAGCTTTTGTGGACTTGAATCTGATTTGTTAGATCCATTAACAGTTGCAGGAACACAGAGAGGGAACTGTAAGCAATAAGCTCAGAGGGAAATGAAATGCTGGAAGCACAAGGGTGCCAACTCAGAGCTAGAATGTATTCAAAATAAGCACAGTGACCGCTTTACAATATCAGTGAGAGGTGACAAAGAAATCTACTTGGTAATGTTGAGTTAATTATCATCTGCACTGTGACAGGAAACTATTGTCTCAATTCAGACTCCAAGACTAAAGCTGTGCTTATTTTGCATGCATTCTGAGATCTAAATGAATTGTCACTGTCTGCTGGGTTGTTGTTTTTTGCACCTCATTTCCCTCTGAACTTACAATTCCATCCCCAACCACATGTTCATATACCTGCAGCTAAGAATAACAAGTAGACTCTAGTTCACAAAAGCTTATGCCATAATAAATTTGTTAGTTTTTAAGGTGTCACAAAACTTTGTTATTATTTCTAAGGTACCGTAACAGTTTGTGCTGCCTTTCCAATTTACCAAGGCAACCTAGACAGGTCTCTGGCTGCTAGGAGCTTATGAAATAAAACAGACAATGAGGAAAGCAACAGAAGAAAGGACACAATGAGTCAAGGATAGGGATAGTAGGACTATTACTGCTGTGCATTATTACTGTGCATGTTAATAAAAGAAAAGGTCTGCACCCTGAGCAGCTCACAATCTTAATTAAGCTGCATGTACTTAAAACAGCCTTCCCCAAACTGGTGTCCTTGAGATGTGTTGGATTACAACTCCCATCAGCCTCAGCTCCCTCTTCTACATCATCAAAATTAACAAATTATACCTGGGAGGAGTGATCGCACCAAATTCTCCAGATAAGGCTGAGCCGCTGGCTGGAACAAGCTCCTGTGACATGGAGTTGAGGATGCCTTCGCTTGAAGAACCAGCCTGCAAGAGCCCAAACATGATTTATTTTCCTTGTGTTCAAATGAAGGCTGCCTCATCTAAATACAGTGGTACCTCAGGTTAAAGACGCTTCAGGTTACATACACTTCAGGTTACAGACTCCGCTAACCCAGAAATAGTACCTCGGGTTAAGAACTTTGCTTCAGGATGAGAACAGAAATCATGCTCCGGCGGTGCGGAGGCCCCATTAGCTAAAGTTGTGCTTCAGGTTAAGAACAGTTTCAGGTTAAGAATGGACCTCCGGAATGAATTAAGTACTGAATTCGATTTCTTCGCCACCCATCCCCATTTTGATGCAGTGTATCATAAAAAGAAGGGACGTGGGGAAATCTGGAGATAGGACTACAAAATACGTAAGGTCCCAAACACCCTCCTCTCTCCAAAAAGAAAAAAAATCCCTTAGCAAGATATGGTAAATATCTTGAAGCATAAAACAGCTTTTTAAAAAGAAGGGGGTTCCAATAATGGCAACAATGATATTTATATTTGGCTTTGAGTCACATGTATTATCTCTGCAATCCTCAAAACAGCCCTAGAAATCCAGTAATAACAATAATGAAGAGAGGATAGAAAATAATGGCTGGAAAGGGAGCTGTTAGGAGGCTTCTTTTCAAATTAATTGTAGGAGGGCTTTTAATGAGGCCCAGAACTCACACAAGTTTTAAACTCATCAGGGACACATTGGTGGGATAAGACGTGAACAGAACACAATTGTGCCGATTTTAATTCAATACACCTGCATTTCCAGTTCGCATTACCTGCAAGAATATCTCTCAAACACTGTTACTTTTTAAACTACATTGTGGGCAGGAGAAAGAAATTATAACCCACCTGCCTATCTTTATGGGCCACTCCCCATCTACTTGTGCCCCAGTTGTTGAATTTTACTGAAGTTTGTTTCTGCATCATATTTGATACTGTGTTTCTAATTTGTTTTTATTTTCTGTTAATCTGCCAGCCGATTCCCAATCAGTGGGATGGTCCAGGAGTAATGCCAAACTGTGGTTTCTGGTACAACATGAATGAATCTCAGGTTCACACAATCCCTTGTGCATGGGGAATATCTACTTACTTACTACAAGGGAGGTCACAGGAAAGAGCCTTTCAGTCATTTTGGAATTGAAGAACAATGACTGAAATGGCATCAGGTGGACTGGAGCTAGAATGCTTATGCCCACTGCCCTTGCTCACATATTTTAATTTAATTTTACTATTTATACTCTGCCCATCTGACTGGGTTTCCCCAGCCACTCTGGGTAGCTCCCAACAAAATATTAACAACACTATAAAACCTCAAATATTAAAAACTTCCCTGTACAGGGCTGCTTTCAGATGTCTTCTAAGAGTCATATTTACTGAACCCTGATGTAGAAAGCCTTAAGACAGCAATTCCCCCAGTTCTTGTCAAACAATTGTTTGCTGGGTTATCTAAACTAGTTCGCATGGTTTGGGCAACACGGCAAAGTATGTTTTGCCAAGAATACGGAACGAAGGGAGGGAATCTGAACAAGTATGGTGAAGGGATGGAAGAGGGAGTGCACAGGCAGAGTAAGGACAGGCCACTGTGGTTTGGCATTATGCTCCTCAAAGGTTTTAAATGATTTCTTTAAAAGCCAACACTGCAGGAAAAAGAAGCACTCCATTTCCACCACTACTGCACACTGCATTTTCTGATGCTGCTGCTTGTGATCACTGTGAGAGCTGCATTACTCAGGCAGAACTGTTGTTTTGTTCCCAATCAAGCTGTTCATTGTTTTTCTTCTCCCCAGAAACCTATCGCACTTTTCAGAAGAAATAATTGACACCATGGTAGCAACTGCTGGCTCTTGCAGGACATATTTTAGATTAACATCAATTACTGCTCCACTGGACTAAGGTTTCAATGCACTTTCCTTCAACACCTGAGGAGCAAACCAAACACAGGATCCTCACCGAAATGTTCCACATCATCTTGATTGCCAGCGGGAAGCCAGTTCTCCAACAACCAACTTGGCAGAGCTTTCCCCCTCCAGTCTGGGCATCTGAACCATCGCAATGATCAAAATGATCAGCTTCTGGCTCCGAACTTGCTTTGTGAGGCATGGCAAAAGGGGTTGTTGCTTCATACACAGCTGCGCTGCAGCCTTTGCCAATAGATCGTCCAATGGAATATTCTTCCAATTTGAAGCCTTGCTGGCAGAATAAGCCCAGGGGCTCTTTCTGAGGTTTGTTCCTCTGGATAAATATTGTCTGAATGGGGGAAAACAACAACAACAAAAGAGAAAATGCAAATCATAATATTATACTTATGAAACCGTGCTTTTCAGTCGGCTCCAAGCAGCTCCTGCAGAAGGAGAGGCGAGACAGTGTGGCCACATTTGGAATACCGTGTACAGTTCTAGTTGCCTCACCTTTAAAAAGGTAGGAGTTGGAAACGTTTCAGAAAAGGGCAACCAAAAGGATGGAGTTTCTCCCCTATGAGGAAATATTGCAGCTTTGGGGACTTTTATTACTTAGCGAAAAGGCGAGTAAGAGGAGACATATGATAGAAGTTTATAAAATTATGCACAGTGTGGAGAAAGCGACAGAGAAACACTAGAAGTTGTGGACCCCCCCCCAAAAAAAACCCTTTGAGATTAGTGTCCAACTAAGGATCTGGGACGCGGGTGATGCTGCGGGTTAAACCACAGACTTGCTGATCAGAAGGTCAGAAGGTCGGCGGTTCGAATCCCCGCGACGGGATGAGCTCCCATTGCTCAGTCCCTGCTCCTGCCAACCTAGCAGTTCGAAAGCATGTCAAAGTGCAAGTAGATAAATAGGTACCTCTCCGGCGGGAAGGTAAACAGTGTTTCCGTGCGCTGCTCTGGTTCGCCAGAAGCGGCTTACTCATGCTGGCCACATGACACGGAAGCTGGACGCCGGCTCCCTCGGCCAATAAAGCAAGATGAGCGCCACAACCCCAGAGTCGGTCATGACTGGACCTAATGGTCAGGGGTCCCTTTACCTTTAAGGATCTAGGAGGCATGGGTTTAAATTCCTTTTCAAGCCACAAACCCCATTGAGGGAGACACTGCCTCTCAACCTAACCTACCCTACCACAAGGTGGTTGTTGGGATTAAAAGAAGAGACGGGGAGGGCCATGTATGGCACCTTCAGCTCCTTGGAGAAAAAGAGGGGTGTATAAATGCAATCAATTATTATTGTTATTTACTAAATTGGTTAGTCGCTTACTCTTGCCCAAAGCGACTTCCAATCAAACAACCACCTTAAACTCTATGGAAGGAAGTGTGGGACGGGGTTGGTATGGAAATATAAACGTCCCAAATCTATGCTGAAGGCCGCCCCCGTTGCCATGGTAACGAGGCCTAGCCCGCTTACCTGGATGCCCTTACAGGCCTCGCTCGCCTGCCTCTGCTCTGCCAGCGCCGGCTCCAGAAGCGCCAGCCCGAGGCCGAAGGCCAGCCCGAGGCGGCGGGGCCCGAGGGGGACCCGCGGCGCCATTTGCCGGAAGAGCAGGAGGCCCGGTGACGGAGGCCCGCCGGTCAGGCCCAGCCGGGCCGCGGCCTCGCGCAGGAAGCCCGGGCGGGCCGGCGGCGGCTGCTGCGGGCGGCGGGCGAGAAAGGCGGGCGGCGCAGGAGGGGGAGGCGCTCCCCCGAGCCAGCGCCACAGCAGGCCCCGGCCCAGCCGCGCGCCCCTTCCCAGCGCCTGCCGAAGCGCCATCTCCGCCCCGTTCCCCAAGACGCCCGGCCCGGGGCTGCTCTTGCTGCCGCCGCTGCCCTTGGCCTCGTCCTCGCGGTTCTTGTTGTTGTTGTTGCTGCTGCGGCCAGGACTGTGACGCCGCAGAGGCGGGGCTGCGGCGCGACCGGGAGGGCCTGTTTATTCTTAGGCCGTGGTGGAAGGGGAAGCGGGCAAGCCTGCCCTCGGGCATGTGCAGAGTGCAGCCTGCGTTCCACATCGGTATATTTCGAGTACAGTATCTTTACTATTGCTTTTATTATTTTGAAATCAAAACGTGCGGCTTTAATCTTCCTGCTGTTATGTGGTTTGTTCTCATCCATTAATAATAATAATAATAATAATAATAATAATAATTTTTTAAAAAAATATTTATACCCCGCCCTCCCCAGCCAAGGCCGGGCTCAGGGCGGCTAACAAGCAATAATAAAAACAAATAATAATAATAATAAATAAAAATGTATAATATAATAATAATAATAATAATAATAATAAGTAAATAATAATAATAAGTAAATAATTATTATATTATATATTATTACTATTTAACTATTTTTATTTATTTAGATTAATAATATATATAATTAATAATAAAATGTATAATATACTTAATAATAATTTAAATTAAAAAATTAATTATTATATATTATTACTAGTCAACTTTATTTATTTATTTAAAATAATAACAATATACACACAACTGACCCTATACCTGGAAGTCTTAGGGTGGTGGTGGTTCACAGAACAAAAACAAAATATAAAACCACAAAATATATAATAAAAATAAAAATAAACCCAATACCCCCCCCAAAAGCCACCACATTTTCAAAGGGCATAGGATGTCAATCAAATCAACCAAAGTGAGGATCAAGGGGCAGTTTACAGTATAAAAACACAAAATGTGTAACATAATAACAAACGAAACACAAGCACATTCAATGGGGGGAGGATTGCTCCCCCATTTAATGCGCTTGTATTGGTCCTTGTGCCATTGAGCATGTGCCAAGTGCAGCCTGTGTTACATATTGGTATGTTTTGAATGTTTTAAGAGTGTTCTTGGTTTCTTTGTTTTTTAACCTGTTGACTGTTCCTAACTTAATCTGCCCGTTGTTATTTGATTTATTGCACATTATGTGATACTGTGTATTGGTGCCACCTGCTCGTGCCAAATCATTCCTAGGCTGTGGTGAACAAGAGTACTGTTGAGCTAGTGCAGAATGCACCTACACACAGAAAAAGATTTTGAGTATTTTAACCTGTTGATTTTTCTGGTCTTAATCTGTGGTGGGGAAAAGTCAATAGTACTCTGTGTAGAGTGCACCATACAGATTTTAAGAGAGAGATTTGGTGCGTGAAGCAAGCCAGTGGCTGGCCAGATCTATCCAGGAAGCCCACAATTTGGGTGGGAAGGCCATAAGAAAGAGAGCAAGCAGATTTCTCATAGCAGGGAGTTGCAAACAACAACAACAAAATGGCGAACAAGACCACCGCAATATATCTCAATGAATTCGGGCGGTACATTCAGGAGACAGTAGTCCCTTAGGTATGAGGAGCCTGACCTATTTCGGCACGCAGGGATTCATGATGGGAATGCCTTAAGGGCTGTACGCCTTTAAATTATGTTGTCCTCCTCTGTTACATAACTGTAGCGAAAACGCAGCAATTTTGTTCCGTTTTGATTGGAGCGGAGCCATGGAATTAATGCTGGCTGAAGGTGCTTTTGTTCTCTTGCTACGTTTAGAGCAGCCTGTAACCAACAGTCTTTAATTATTGGAGAATTAAGCTCATGGTGTTGCCCTTGATAGAATTTTGTGGAGTCGAAAACAGCAAACCCGTAAAGGAAAATATTGCTCTTGGGACGGATAGCGCTACACTCCTTTCTTCCCACGTGCGAGAATTAAAAACGGAGCAAATTAAAAACTAGAGTTAAGAAAAGCAGAACGCAAATGAAGAAGAGGTGGTGGGGAACCGGGGAACAAAATTTTGATTTCCGCACTACTAGTGTTGTAAACAAAAATTGCCCTTTTCCCTTATGGGGTATCCAAGAGCCCATATAGAGTCCTTACATAGGTTCCCTATTGGTAGGAGAGAATAACAGAGGCCAACCAGAGAATATTGAGAAGCAAAGCAGCTAGTAAGCTTGAGCTTTATTGATCTGTTGCAACAGGGTGCTCCTCTCACCCGCAGGAGAGAGAGGAACCCAGAAAAATGGCGCGCAAGGCCTTATAAAGACTTTTGAAATTGCCACCCTGTAGATCAAGACCACCCCCAGAAACATCATACCTACATCACAGAAAAGGCACTCTAAACAGAAATTTGAATGTTGTTTTTCTCCTGTAGTTGTTTATCTCCTGCCTGGCAGGTTGCTTAATTGGATTGCCTGGGTAACCAGGCCAGTCTTTTGTAATGATAAATACTTTGTTCCTGGGCCAGGTCACAGGCTCACACCCTATTCATATCTTAAATGTGCCCTTAAGACAGGATTTGTGAGTAAAGAGACAATGGGGAGGTTTCCCACTTTGACCTTGCAGAGAAAACATTTGCTCAGTTTAGGAATCAAAATGGTTCCAGGTCGGTCTTCCTGTGCTGATCTATGGACGTGCTTGGTTGGTACGCTTATGAACATTACCATATATCTTAAAACCATAAAATTCCTATCACACTAAAAAGGCAGGGACAAAAGGATTCCCTAGCTTCTGTTCTTTCAACCCTCCTGGTGCTGTGGGTTTGTGCCCAAATTCCAATTTTAAGAAGGAATATTCCTGACATTAATTCTGCAGCTCACTTCCTTCTGTTGTTCAGCATCGTCCCATCCCGCCTCCTCCCATCAGTGATTGCACATTACGGCAGCGTTCCCCAACCTGGTGCCCTCTGGATGTTTCAGAACTCCGACCCGTGCTGATTTCCCAAATGCTAAAAAGGCTGTACACCTGCAATAATGACTCTTTACAAACCGTATCTGAATAAAGCCAGGCATGGAGTTATTTGTCAAGTTTCACTTTTAATATTGCAACAAAAACAGAAGTGAATACAAGTCATATGTAAAAGGCATATTATGGGAGGCTGGAAAATGCTGGGCCCCAGGGCAGTGCTGAAATACTGGTGGGAAAAGCATTGCCGATGTAACAGCACACATGATTACATTACAGTTCTTTTTGTGTCATGTTTTACGGGTGCAAGGATGTCCCTCCCTGTACGTAAGTAAAACACACAAAATTATCTTGACAAAAGCAAATAAACAGGTCAAGAGCGGCATGCAGGAAACCACTTAAACGAAATTGTATTGATGTGGAAATAATTGGTATAAATGGGTTAAAATGGGAAAATCAATCAAATTATATATATTGGGAGCAAAAGATTTCAGTCACTGAATACACGCGAGTCCTAGACATGCATATGGGTTCAGACGCACACCTTTTAACACTGCAGCTTTGAGAGCTGGTGCTTGGGCACTTCATTTCTCCCTCCCCATCCCTTTTTCCTTGTGTGCCATAGCTTTGAGATCATAAGTCTGTTGACTGTGACTGTCTTCTGATTCTTGTAAAAAAGAGTGGGGTGTCACAGAGAAAAGAAAAGAGCCTTTTTTTGAAAAGAATTCTAGACATAAGGGTTGAGCCCCCAGCTGTAGAAGTCCTCCTCCTCTCCAGCGTTTTGCACATCTTCTGAGGAAGAGCTGCACCCCAGCTATGAAGCATCTGCTTTGCTTGCAGAAGGTCCCATGTTTAATTCCTGGCATCTCCAGGTAGGGCTATCTGAAATCTTGGGACAGAGCTTGAAACAAAACTAAGCTAGATGAACCCATGTGTTCCTGTTTAAATCAACCCTTTATTGAGAACCATGAGGACCGGGATCTTTTTTATATTTTGGAGGAGGACCATAGTTTCTCCTAAAGAAGCTATGGTAGAGCATCTGCTTTGCATGCAGAAGGTCCCAGTTTCAATCCTCAGCATCTCCAAGTAGGGCTGAAAAAGTCTGAAGCCTCGGCAAGCCACAGCCAGTCAGTGTAGAGACAGTTTTGAGCTAAGTAGACCAATGGTCTGATTTGGTCTAAGGCATCTTTCCGTCTTCCACCTGGAGCAGTGCATGCTTGCAATGCAGATACTGAGATGGAGCTTTTTTTAGGGGAGACTTCATGGGGGAAGCCACTTCTGTAAAGCAGGGCATTAAGCTGCAAAAGGATTTCATAGAATTGCAAAGTTGGAAGGGACACCAAGGGTCATCTAGTCCAACCCCATCTTTCACCCAAGGTGTGGCTCGAACCCATGACCCTGCGATTAAGAGTCTCATGCTCTACCATTCCTTGCTTTCATAAATATCGCTCTTAGCTGAGTGACTTCCAAAGTAGCTCCCTCCCTGAATGTGCAGGATGGGCTAAAGGAATCACATTTGAACTGAATATCTGAATCTGCAATAGTTTTGAAATATATAAAAGGACTCTGTCATCATGCCGGGAGCATTAAGGTCACCAAAGCCTCTGTGGGTTGATTCTTGTTTCTTGTGCTCTTCAGACCATCTTCAGGTCTTCTGGTCCAAAGGACAAAGGCAACAGGTCCTCCAAAGTCTTCTGAATGTGCGTCCCATCTGCCTTGGCCAAGAAGATTTCCCAATGTTTTCCGAACTAGATAAAGGTTTAAAAAAAGAAATCCCACAAGATGGTTGTCTTATAGCACAATCTGATGCATTTCTACCCCAAAGTGTATCTTCTCACTGAGTAGTAGTTTTCCAAACTTGGGTCTTCAGCTGCTTCTGGACTACAACTCCCATCATCCCTAGCTAGCAGGACCAGTGGTCAAGGATGATGGGAATTGTAGTCCAAAAACAGCTGGGGATGCAAGTTTGGGAAACAAGTGAGTTAAAGCATAAGAAGAGCACCGAAGCTGGAGAATAAACGTCATGGTGCACCTGTAGCAGCAAAATCGGATGTCTTTATCTGCTCAACTTGCAATAAAAACATTTCTCTCCCATATTGGTCTCTATAACTCTTCAGTGGCTAGACTTTACCCCCCTCCCAGGTGTCCTCTTCCATTGTCTCCCAAGACAGACGGATGCTAGCTTGAAACTGGATCAGCTCAAAGGCCCGTTTAGCCCAGTATCCGGTTCTGCCAGTGGCCAACCAGATGCCCCAATGGCAAGACCACATGGAGTACCTGAGTGCAGTAGCCCTCAACACCTGGTAGACAGAAGCATAGCACCTCTGATACAGGAGGCATTCAGGTAATCGGCCTAGAATAGCTTGGATCCCTTTTTAAAAACCAGTTGTGACATTAGCCACTTCCTAGTTCTTAAGTATGGACTCTGATCTTGGGGACAATTTATATTAGAAGGCCCCTCTTCCCAATTTTAAGACCCCCCCTCTCTTTAATGCAGTGATGGCCAAACTTGTCCCTCCAGCTGTTTGGGACTACAACTCCCATCATCCTTAACTAACAGGACCAGTGGTCAGGGATGATGGGAATAATAATAATAATAATAATAATAATAATAATAATAAATTATTTATACCCCGCCCTTCCCAGTTCAAAAACTGGGCTCAGGGTGGCTAACAACGAATTTAAAACACTTAATTGTAAAAGCAGCATAAAATACAGTATAAAAACATGAATAACAATAAAATTCAAAGTTCAGAAATCAATTTAGGGGAAATCCATCTAATAAGCATTAGATAATCACCAGGGCTAGCTGGCTGAATTAGTCCTACTTGGGCCAGCGAAGAGGCCAAGGGAGAATTAGCTGTGGGGTCTCAGAGTGGGTGATCTTCATAAAAGGGGAGGGGGAAGGAAGAGAAGGGAAATAAAAGATCAGGCTGAATTCAAATTAAAGGCTAGGCGGAATAGCTCTGTCTTACAGGCCAAACAGAAGGAGGTTAAATCCTGAAGGGCCCTAGTCTCATGGGACAGAGCATTCCACCAGGTCGGAGCCATCACTGAAAAGGCCCTGGCCCTGGTGGAGGATAGTCTGACTTCCTTAGGGCCCGGGACCTCTAAACTATTGTTATTCATGGACCTTAAGGTCCTCTGTGGGGCATACCAGGAGAGAATTGTAGTCCACCAACAGCTGGAGGGACATCACTGCTTTAATGCCTCTCTGGCCTAAAGGAAGGAAGCCATTTCCATAGGAGGGATCTCTTGTCCTTTGGTTCTGGTGTGTTCGTGTGACAATGGCAAAGAAGGGTATGAGGTTTAAAGGAGAGGTCTGTTTACCTCTCTGAGCACTTGTCTGCAAGCCCCACAGGGCACCGCGAACGTTTCTTGGCTGTTGCTGTTGGAGCAGAATAAAAGCAGAGTTCAGGAGTCTCGCTCATAGCAGAGGAGGCTGTCTATAAAATATGCTAATACGGTGAAAGATTCAAGTTGAAAAAATAATGAAGTCAGAACAAGACACACTTCCCAGATCATTGGGTGGGTGGGTGGGTGGCTGGTCTCCGGACAGGTGTCCACTGACCGCAAGGTTTTTCCAGCATCCATATCACCACCACAGTGTCGTCAATTGCCAGCCCAAATCTCCCCCTGCCCCACACAGAAATCTGGTTTAATCTAGATTAAAAGAGGGATAAACACTGATATGTTCAAAAACGAGCCTATTGCTCATAACCCAGTTGTAATGCCCCAGCAACCCATTTGCAAATCTGAAGGCACCCAGAGTTGGAGGGGGCATTGAAAGCCATCTAGTCCACCCCCTGCACAATGCTTCGGCATCTCCAACAGGTGGTCCCAGCAAGGGGAGCTCACCACCTCTCTAGAAAATTGGTTCTATTGTCAAACTGCTCTTACAGTCAGATCTAGGCCTAGGACTCAGCTACATTAGTCAACAAACAGCGTTTTGAATGTGTTATAAACCTGCAACACCAGATGGCACCAGAGAGCAAAAAAAATATCTACCGTAAGTGATTTCCCATAGCGGTTTTTTTATTCTGTTATAACAATTTAATTTCTGACTCATTTATATTGTTTTTTCCCCTTTGTGTAGATCCATCCCTAGACCTCTTAGAAAAAAGCTACCAAAACCTATGTATTCCTTCATTCTGCTTCTTATGGGAAAATCTTTTCATTCCAATGTTATTTTCTTGCATTGCACCTTCTTGGTGTCTTTACCTGTCATGCAAAAGCACCTGAGAAGGGTACAGAGCAGGTGAGAGGGGGGTGGGGAGGGTCCTGGAGGCCAAACAGACACACATTTGGCCCTTGGGCTTGAGTTTCTCCAGCCCTGGTCTCTTATCCCACCAGATCTCTCACCACAGGTCTCAACAGAACGCCAGGGGAAGGGAAAGAAGGTCAAGAAATCCATAGCATTTAAGACTCAGTGTATGTAGTGAACTGACTGTCTGGCCCCTTCTGCATTCCTTATTTAAAGCAGCATCAAACCACCTTAAATGGTCATGACTTTCCCCCCTGCCCCCCGCCCAAGAATCTGAGAACTGTAGTTTGTTGCTTGGTGCTGAGAGTAGTTAGGAAGCTATTCCCTTCCCAGAGTAACAATTTCCAGAGTAATTCAACCCCTGACCATTAGGTCCAGTCGTGGCCGACTCTGGGGTTGCGGCGCTCATCTTGCTTTACTGGCCGAGGGAGCTGCCGTACAGCTTCCAGGTCACGTGGCCAGCATGACTAAACCGCTTCTGGCGAACCAGAGCAGCGCACGAAAACACTGTTTACCTTCCCGCCGGAGCGGTGCCTATTTATCTACTTGCACTTTGATGTGCTTTCGAACTGCTAGGTTGGCAGGAGCAGGGACCAAGCAACGGGAGCTCACCCCGTCGCGGGGATTCGAACTGCCGACCTTCTGATTGGCAAATCCTAGGCTCTGTGGTTTAACCCACAGCGCCACCCATGTCTCATTTGAGGGGAATAGGGGTCACCTAATAACTCTCAGCACTCTTAATAAGCAACAGTTTCCAGCATTCTTTGGGGAAAGCCATAGCTGTTTGAAGTGGTGAGACGCTGCTTTAAATGTATAGTGCATATAAAGCCACTGGCTGATAGCAATTATTTATAGCCCACCTTCCAGGCTGCAAATCCTCCCAAGGCTGCTCGTTCACCAAGGAAGCATACCTACCAAATAATAGCTATAGCTCGAAATTTTGTATGCCCTTCTGACACTGCCTTCTGGATTGCTGTACGTTCAGCACACACACCCAGCGGGTAACATGCATTTTCAATGTTGCAACCTGTAGAAAGCACAAGATGGATTAAAATCTCTCGTGATGAAGCCTTAGAATCCATATCTATAGTATATTGTACTCATGGCAGCAATGCCTCATCATGGATTGGCTGAGCTGTTGTGGCATCACAGAACATTCCATTGCTTATGAAATTGGAGAGCTTGCAGGTCAGCTTTTGCGAGGGAAAAGAACATTGTCAGTTTGACAGGAATTAAAAATTCACTAAGGGTCAAGGGCTGGGGAATGGTTCTGGGGAACTAAGGAGCCAGTTCCTGATCATATATATATATATATATATTAAAAAAATATTGATTGGATTAAAAAAAATCAAACCATTTCTGCCAATCTATCTTTGATACCTCTTACAGAAGCCACAGTTAGAACTTGAACTGGTTCATTAAGTATTGTCAAATTCATTCATTTTTTACTCTGAGTGATATCAGTGGTTCTGGTTCATTGATTTTACAGTACACTGGCTACCCCCTGCAGAAGAAAAGTTCTGGTTCAAAACACATGATGATGAATCATCAGTACTGTAGGTTTATTTCCCATTTCAAACCTCACTGCCCCCAAGAACTCACAATGAGACATTCGGCCCAACCTGTTCAGATGTAGCTGGACCATTAGCCATGCTTGCTGGGGTTGATGGGAGTTGGGAGTCCGATAGCATCCAACAGGCAGAATGATGGCTATTCTGGCAAAGCCTCAGTCCTCTTCCACCCGCAATATAAGGGATAATACTGGTGCCCTGCTTTATAGGGCTGTTGTAAAAGGTAAAGGGTAAAGGGACCCCTGACCATTAGGTACAGTCGTAACCGACTCTGGGGTTGTGGCGCTCATCTCGCTTTATTGGCCGAGGGAGCCGGCGTTTGTCCGCAGACAGCTTCCAGGTCATGTGGCCAGCATGACTAAGCCGCTTCTGGCAAACCAGAGCAGCACACAGAAACGCTGTTTACCTTCCCGCTGGAGCGGTACCTATTTATCTACTTGCACTTTGACGTGCTTTTGAACTGCTAGGTTGGCAGGAGCAGGGACCGAGCAACGGGAGCTCACCCGGTCACGGGGATTCAAACCGCCAACCTTCTGATCGGCAAGTCCTAGGCTCTGTGGTTTAACCCACAGCGCCACTCGCGTCCCTAGGGCTGTTGTAAGATTACTGAAATGAGGCATGCAATGTGCTTTTCGGGGGGTGGCCATGTGTTCTACTTTACTGAAGGCATTGCTCTGTCTGAAGGCATCTTCTGTTTGAAAGGCTGCTGCCAAAACAGAGGGCAGGCAAGGGTACGCAAAATTGCAGGTGCGAATTGTAAGCATCGATGCAAATGTAGAAATAACAGCATGGATTTAAGCAAAAAATGCATGACACCCCAGCCAGTTCTGACGGTTCTTGATCTTTCAACCAGACCTGAACCAAATACCCTGCAAATACATTACTACCAGGCCACAGATCCAATCCCCAAAGGGTAGGGCAGGGGAAGGTTCCTTGTCTGAAGCTTTGGAGTGCCACTGCTACCCAGAGTGGACAGTACTGAGCCAGAGGGACTTCAGTAGAAGGATGCATGGCATGGCTGCCACATGGAGGAGGGTCTTCCTTCACTTACCAGAGAAGATCTTCCCATCGGAGGTCAGGAGGGCAGCCCCCACCGGGTAGTTGCTGTAGGGGCAGTAGGCAAACCGCTTGGCTTCTTTGCTTGTGGCCAAAAGGAGTTGAACCTGTTCGGGTCCCAGTGCAGCGGGATTTGGAGTGCCGCCGTGCTGTTGCGCCATTGCAACGTGGAGGCAGTATCTGGCAGGGGCTCCCTCAGCAAAAGCCGCACTCCCAGGGACAGGAGCGTGTGTGCAGGCACGACCCCTGAGATTCACCTTTCCTTTAATTCACATTAGAGGAGAATTGGGGTCTTCCTCTGACAGGTGCCACAGGCAATGCACCAGCGCGCACCTATCTGTTGCTGCAAAAGTGCCCAGCTGGGCTCTTGTCCTCTCTTGCAATGCAAAACAGCTTTCTCTGAGTGAAGTGCTTCGATCTTTGCTCTTTAGCTAGCTACACTGTTTGTGTGCAGTTGGTGGTGTGGGGGGAGAGGACTTGCCTGCCCTTTCTCAGCAAATGTTCTCTCCGGGAATCATGTTTTCCAAATTATCGCTGCTGCCAAAGGCCAACGAGGTTGGGTGGGTCAGGTCAACGTCCCCACATGCTCCTTAGCTCTCTTGACAGGCCCCTTTGTCCTCCTCTGCTCTGGCTCTGTGGTGACTTAAAGGTCCCTGCAACAGAATCAGAATGATGGTGAGATGCAACAGTCGCTGGGGAGTGACAGATGCCCATTAGATCTGGGGCTCATGCTGGAACGATGTGCTAGGCTTCCGGTGCCTCTGTTTAACCAAGTGGCTGTTGTGGGTGTTTGGAAAGGTTTAGCTGTCGCCTTGGTTCAGGGAAGCAGCGGTGCACAGCCTCTGTCTCCTGTTTCACCTCTGTGGGTGCCAAAAGTGAGTTTGTTTGCAGATTCGCTGAGCCTGGCTCCGGGAACTTGTGTGTGGACCGATGAGAAGGCAGGTCACGTGTCAAGCCACAGAACACCATAGCAACAAAGGAGATGGGTGTGGAATGCTGGTAGGAAGAAAACACCAGGGAAGAAGGAGGGAGGGAGGGAGGGAGGGAGACAGTGCGTACACATAATACAGGAACCATTGGAAGCTGCCTTATACATTGTAAGCGTTGGTCTTATCTAGTTCAGCATTGTTTACACTGAGTGGCACCAGCTCTGCAGACAGGGACTCCATCTAACTCAATATTCTCTACACTGACTGGTAGCATCTCTTCACAACTGCAGATGGTTTTTTTTGTTTTGTTTTTTAAAATGCAACTTTAAAAAACTATGTGTATGGACCAGAAGCCCCCTGCCAAGCCCCCCAAACTCCTATCATTGTATATAAATTAACATATGCAAATGTGAATTTCTGCCATGCCCCCCCAGTCCTTTAAGCAACAATCCTCATCTCCAGTATTCATCTGAAGTTTCTCCTATCTCCCTTCCCCACCTTTTTGAGGACAGGGGACCATGCTTTCCCTGCTCTATATAGGAAGCTTGCAAACTAATGGAATCATGAACCAATGAATGGCAAGAATAAGAAACCTGTGTCTTCATTATGCTTTATTGAGGGACCTCCTCCCACACTGGAATCTTCCATAAATGCCTACTGGTCCACTGTCTACATTAGCTGGCAGCAGCTCTCCAGGGCTTTAAGCGGGGGTGCCTGGGACCTTGTGCGTTGAAAGCAGACCCTCTGCCACTGAGCTACATCCCTTCCGCAGTCCTGTGTCCCCTCACCTGTTCGTGGGCTTTCTCAGAGACGAGACAGGCAGAGGTTTAGAGGGAACATGGGGAGGTTCCTTTGATGCCCCTAGGACGCAGTTCACCCGACTCCAAACTCTTGAAGGCGTTTCTTGTCCTTATCAGTCTTGGACTGCAATTCTGACTCCTCACTGGTTCTGTTGCTTATGTAAGATTACACACACAGTTTCCCATTCTGGGGAAGATGGGGGCAAAACAGAAGTTGGTTTTAAGTCCTTCCTTCTCTTTGTCACCTGTTAATATTTCACCACCCTTCCTGGGCTTTTCACTACCACTCTGGACATTTCACCACTCTTCCTGGGCAGTGGCACAACCCTTTCCTTGTCCCTATAGGTTAGGTTAATATTTCACCACCCTTTCTGGGCATTTCACCACCACGCTGGACATTTCACCACTCTTCCTGGGCAGTGGCACAACCCTTTCCTTGTCCCAATAGGTCTAATCTACTCATTTATATTTGTCCATGCTGATCCGCCACACTTCCTCCTTTTTTTTAAAAAAAATAAAAAAATCAGCTCCTTGTCAAGTTTTTTGCATTGGATTGTATACGATGCTAGTCCTACCCAAAGTAGAACCATTGTAAGTTAATGGACGTGACTAGATTAGGTCCATTAATTTCAGTGGGCCTACTCTGTACCTGAGTTTGATACATCCTATAGGCTTTTAAAAAAAAATTAAAGATGTCCCCCATTTTTCTTTTTCATAGGAATTATTGCTGCTGCTGCTGCTGCTGCTGCTGCTGTTACAATTTATTTCCTGCCCTTCACCCCAAGGTCTCTGGGTGGCTTACAGAATTAAAACACAGTATTTTAAAACTGTTTTAAAACAACTCCCCTTTGGGGTGAGATGTTTTTAATCAGCCGATGCAGGGGGGGAAAGGGAGGGATTAAGCCCTTCTCCTCCAACACTGCAGGACTGATTTATTTGCCATTGATCTTCATTTTTTTCAATGTGGCAGATCTTAAACAAGCGTTACATACGGCTGCAGCCTAATTTTAAAGAATCAGAGAAGGAACAGAAAATACAGTACTGTAACTGGAACATGAACAAGCCACCAGATGGCACCTTTGAGCAAGTTAAGGGTTCTGTGTTGGGACCAAGAGGAGGTGAATCATTATCCATCAGCCAAGGTCAAAACGTTGAACCTGGATAGCAGCACGCTGTTGGAGCTCATTCACATGTTCAGTGTAATGTGACCATTACAGATCCAGTGTTAAGGTTTCCCCTCGGCTCCATTCCCTTGATCACACAGATAAATGGCTGAGCATACAAAGAGGCTGCTGGATCAGGCCAAGGATCCTGTTCTCACAGTGGCCAACCAGATGCCAAAGCCCAGAAGCAGGAGCCGAGTGCAGCAGCCTTCTCTCTGCATGTGATTCCTATCAACTGTTCTTCAGAGGCACTTAATGTGGAGGCAGAATGTAGCCACTGATAGGCTTAGCCTCCATGAATTTGTCTAATCCACTCTTGAAGGCATCCAAGGGGAATATGATGAATAAGAACATCAGGCTGATGGTCCATCTGATTCAGCATCCAGTACTTACAGTGGCCAAACGGATACCCATGTGAAGTCCGCAAGCAGTATCCAAAATAATAATAATAATAATAATAATAATAATAATAATAATAATATATTTATACCCCACCCATCTGGCTGAGTTTCCCCAGCCACTCTGGGCAGCTTCCAATCAAGTGTTAAAAACAATACAGCATTAAATATTAAAAACTTCCCTAAACAGGGCTGCCTTCAGATGCCTCTTAAAGATAAGATAGCTGCTTATTTCCTTCACATCTGAAGGGCGGGCATTCCACAGGGCGGACGCCACTACTGAGAAGGCCCTCTGCCTGGTTCCCTGTAACCTCACTTCTCACAATGAAGGAACCGCCAGAAGGCCTTCGGCGCTGGATCTCAGTGTCCAGGCTGAACGATGGGGGTGGAGACGCTCCTTCAGGTCAGGTATACAGGACCGAGGCCTGAGGGCGACAGAACTCTCCCCTCCTATGATTTTCAGCGACTGGTATTCAGAAACCAAGCACCTCTGACTGTGGAGGCAGAACATGTCCACCAGGGTTGAAAAACAATGCTAGAGCATGCAAAGGGGAAAGTGTCAGAGCATTTATATAACACAGAGCTCAGTGAATGAGCATAGCCAGGATTTATGTTGGGGGCGGGGGCAAAACCAAGCTAACTGCAAAGTGATTGGTCAGTGAAGTTTGTTTGTTTATAATTTTTATTAGTTTTCAATTACAGTTCACTAATAGCCTCATTATAACAATGCCAAATTATAATACATTTTCTGATACCAATCATTCAGATAACCGTGCCCCCTGCACGTGCTAGAATTGATGGTTTGATGATTTTATTTATTTCTGCTTTCCAAAACCTTATTAATTTCAATTACACTCTGGTCGAGATAGCAATCCCTTATACAACAACTGCAATATTAACAACTTCCATTCTTATTGACAAATTAAATGGTTTATGAAGCTACCAGTGAAGCACTCAAACTATATCCTTAATCTTCCTGTGCGTAGCAATTATTCTGTCTGTGAGGTTTCTTTCTTTCTTTATTTTTATTTATTTGATTTATGGGGGCATCTCCCCCGCCCCCCATGGCTCAATGCTATGTACAGGCATCTTCATAAACACCCTGGGAAGGTAGGCTACATTCATATTGATTTATATGTTTCTCAAACTTGGGTCCCCAGCTGTTGTTGGACTACAGCTCCTATTATCCCTGACCACTGGGGATGATGGGAGTTGTAGTCCAACAACAGCCGGGGACCCAAGTTTGAGGAACGAGGTTTGCACATGTCTTCATCCAATCAGCAGCAAAGTAAAGGGGAAAGTGTTCCTTCCCATCGATTTAAAGCAACGTGACTCAAAAAGGACCATGCTAGCAAAGATACCCAGGCTGTGTGAATCTCCCAGGAGTTTAAAAAGGTAAAGGGACCCCTGACCATTAGGTCCAGTCGTGACTGACTCTGGGGTTGCGGCGCTCATCTCGCTTTATTGGCCGAGGGAGCCGGCGTACAGCTTCCGGGTCATGTGGCCAGCATGACTAAGCCGCTTCTGATGAACCAGAGCAGCGCACGGAAACGCTGTTTACCTTCCCGCCGGAGTGGTACCTATTTATCTACTTGCACATTGACGTGCTTTCGAACTGCTAGGTTGGCAGGAGCAGGGACCGGGCAATGGGAGCTCATCCCGTCGCAGGGATTCGAACCGCCGACCTTCTGATCGGCAAGTCCTAGGCTCTGTGGTTTAACCCACAGCGCCATCCGCATCCCCTCCTAGGAGTTTAGCCGCATTTAATTTTTGTTGAGCTGGAAGCTATGCATGGCTACTGGCTTCCTCCAGGAAGGCAGAGAGAGGGAGAGAGTAAAGGAGGGTGGAAAAGGCCAAGGCTGCTGGGAGCCTGTTGTGTCGCTCCCATGGTAACTTGAGCTCATTTTTGGCTCAGGTTAAGCCTTTCATGAACATAAGTGAAAGTCAGTAACCGCATAGTAGTACCACAGAGAATGGCCCGAGGCTCAATACCTGCCGTCTTCAGGTACGGCTGGGAAAGAGCTGACGCTAATCAGTGTCAATCATAGGAGGGCGCCGGTCAGTAATCACACAGTCCAAAGCTGAAGTTACATTTTATTACCAAAAACACGACCTCCACAGACTTGGTTGAGTGACAGGCCTAATGAGCAGAACAGCTCATTCCGGTGGTCTTCCTCCATGAAAATCAGTTGCTGAGACTGAAAGTCCCTGCCTCCTCACCAGGGCTTTTCCCACGCAATCAGAGACTTTGCCTGTGTGCGGCCAACCTCTCCTCTGCCCTTTCCATGCCTCTTCTGTTGCGGAGAGGAGGGTAGAGGGGAGCATGTTGCAGCAGAAGGGAGAGAAACCTGTGACCCTTCACCAGCTGGACTCTTGGTCTCCCTTCTCCCTTCTCTCCTGCTGCAGATTCTGCCCCCGAGTCTGGATTTGTCCCTGCCACAGACTCTCCCGGCTCACTAACTCTGTGTTATGTACTGAGTTGAATAGGATCCAAAATGTAGCAGTCTGATTGGTCCTAGAACAATAGGATTCAGAATGCAGCAGTCTGATTGGTCCTAGAACAATAGGCTCCAGAATGCAGCAGTCTGATTGATCTGCAGGAGCCACCCAATCCAGCTGCAGGTGGAAGTGAATCCGTGATCTGATTGGCCTACAGTAGAATCCCGGAATTAGCCAATCATGTGGGGCCCATTGTGTAAATAATGTATATAAAGCAGACATACTGGGGGAACTTCCATTCCTCCTCACCACTATGAGCTGAATAAAGAGCATCAAATCCACTCTCGACTCAGTATATTTCACTCTGTTACCTCTTCAGCTTCCATCACCTCCTCTTCCCCATCTTCTCCCTTTGACCACTCAGTGTTGTCACACCACCACCACCCCTCTAAAGCCTTCTTCCCTTGGTGGTACCCCAGCTGGTTCCTCTCACCATTCCCCTGCTACCAACCAACCAACCAACCAGCCAACCCCTGACAGCAGTAGACCATGCTGAGCTAGACAGTCCAACGACCTGAGTTTGCACCAGGCGGTTTCCTGTTTAAACCAACGCTTTTCCAGAGGCATGAGGACTAGAATCTTGCTTTATTGTTAAGAGGAGCACTATAGGCACAGGAGCAGAGCACCTGCTTTGCATGCTTAATCTCCAGCAGCTCCAGGTAGGGCTGGGAAAGGCTTCCTACCTGAAACCCCGAACTGCTGCTACAAGTCAATGTTGAAAATACAGAGCTTAGCAGAGAAACAGTCTGACCTGGTACAAAGCAGTTTCCTCTGCAAAGGAGGCTGGGCGACGTCTTCCTTGGGAGTAGGACTCGCTTGGCCGCCAAGCTGCAACCCTGGGGGTCTATTTTTATCTCTAATGATACCATTGCCGCGGGCAAGAGCTGCCAGAGCTCTGCTTCCTTCTCCCAAGTTTCGTTTCCCACCTTCCCTCATTTGCAGAAGCAAGACAAAAACACTGCTGTTTAAAGAGAAGGGTCATAGCTCAGTGGTGGAGCATTTGCCCTGCATGCAGAAGGTCCCAGGTTCAATCCCCAACAGCTTCTCCAGGTAGGATGGGGAATGTCCCCTGCCTGCAACCCCAGAGAGCCACTGCCAGTCTCTATAGACAAAACTAAGCTACGTAGATAGACCAATGGTCTGACTTTGTATAAGGCAGCTCCATGTCTCCCTATCTGGAAGGCCACAGGTGTTCAGAGGGCCTCCACCAGGAGTCAGGCATTTTGCTGTGCGCCATTCCAGCAAACATTTGGCAGGCACCCTCACTTAATTTTATTATTTATATTTATTAAATTTGTATACTGCCTGATACCTGCAAGTCTCACTTTTTATTTTCAGGTGCCTCTTGAAGACCTTTTGATTCAAGGAGGCCTATGCAACTATTGAATTTTTAAAAATCAACTAGTCATTTTAATGATCATTTTAAAACTGTTTTCTATTGTGTTTTATATTTTACTGTATATATTGTTGCGCACTGCCATGTTATATTGTATTTATTTGTACGATATAAACACACACACACACACACACACACACACACACACACACACAATAAACAAGACATTCTACGCTTCACTCACATTTTTCTTTCCTATTCTATAGCTGTCGAGATTACTCACTTTCTGAATTGCTTTTTGGTACCTTTCATTGTAGCATCATTGTAGCATAGCTCAGTTGGTTAGAGCATGGGCTGACAACACCAAGGTTGCAGGTTTGATCCCCATATGGGACAGCTGTAGGGCTGCCATATTTCAAGAAGTAAAACTCTGGACACAAAAAAGTTGTTGAGTTTTTTTGGGAAATTTTGTCAATTTTCCAAGATCTCGCCTGGACACTAATTCCGTCATTGGAGTCCCAGAAAATGTCTGGGGAAATCCGGACATATAGCAATCCTAGACAGCTGCATATTCCTGCATTGCAGGGGGTTGGACTAGATGATCCTCTAAAAAATGCTATGATTCGTTTAAAAATAAATAAAAATAATCCATAGAATTGTAAAGTTGGAGAGACCCCAACAGTCTCTCCAGTCAACCTCCCTGCGGGAATCTCAACCGAAGGATCCCTGGCAGATGGCCACCCAACCTCTGCTAGAAACCTCCAAGAATCAAGAGTTCAAGGACACATCGCAGCTGGGCAAAAACACTCAAGGAAGTTGTGAAACAAGGCCAGGGAGAGGCATGGCCAGGGAAAGAGGGAGTGCCTGGTTAAGGGGTGTTGTCTGGGTGAGAATTGTAAAGGCCAGGTAGACCTGAAATAGACTGTCTTCTGGCAGCCTTTCAAACACTTCCAAATAGAGGACAGCCCATACAGCAGGAGACATGTCTGCCCTCGCCTCCCCTTACCTTTAAGACCATTAAGCCCAGAGTTTAAAATTACCTCACTGCCCTGCTGCCTGTCCTAGGAGGGGTTTGTACTGTAATAAATGGAAATCTGCCCTACATGGACGAGAGCCCTTATAGAGTCCTTTGTAGGTTCGCCATCGGTCGGAGAAAATAAGAGGCCAACCAGAGAATATTGAGAAGCAAAGCAGCTCGTAAGCCTGATCCTTATTGAACTGTTGCAACAGGGTGCTCCCCTCACACACAGGAAAGGAGGAGGACCCAGAACAAAGGTGTGCCCGCCCTTATATAGACCTTTTAAATTGCCTGCCCTGGAGTCCAAAACCACCCCGCAGATACATCTTACATACATCACAGAAAGGGGGAGTAGCTCAAGACCACCCCACAGATACATCATACCTACATCACAGAAAGGGCGGTCTACAACAGAAATCTGAGTGCATTGTTTATCTCCTGTCTGGCAGACCTGTTAATGGTCACTTGATTGGATACCCTGGGGAGCCTGGCCAGTCTTTTGTAATGACAAATACTTAGTTTCTGAACCAGGTCACAGGCTCACCCTATTCATACACAGACATACCCTTAAGACAGGATTTGTGAACAAAAAGACAATGGGGAGGCTCCCCCACCCCCTCCTTCCTTGCAGAGGAAACATTTGGCCAGTTTGGGAGTCAAAATGGTTTCAGGGCTGTTTTCCTGTGCTGCTTCAGACATGTGGTTTATATAGTTATGTACGTGTTTGCTTGGTACATTTATGAACATTTATTATATAAGACCTTATTTTTTTTTAATTTCAGTACACAGAGGGCAAAACAGAACCGTGTTGGCTTTGGCCTCTCCGAGGCCTTGTGGTGGATTAAGTGCTGCTTCCTTTGGCCTTGGAGGCCGAGAACAAAAGCTGCCTTCATTACCCAGCCAGGTTGGCCCGCTGCCACAGCACCACTCAGCAAGCAGCATCTTCTTGTGGCGGTGATACGGGATGCTCCCTGTGTACGGGTGGCAGTCTGGGCATGGCAGAGGAGCTGACGCAGAATGGGAAAGGCGAGATGCTGCAGGTGTGCCCAGGTGGCTGAGCGGTCCCCTCCCAAGCGACGAATTTTGGAGCTGTCAAGAAACCCAGCTCTCCCAGTCAAAGCAAAGCAGATCCCCAGCTCTAGACAGCCCCCTTTGCACTGTTCAAGGAGTGTCTAACCCAAGGAGGGCTGGTGAGAGGGGAAAGCCTCTGCGGGCAGAGATAATGAGCCCTGGAGGGTATTATAGACGCACACACTCGAGGTTCCCACCTCTGTACCTGATATTATAATTTCAGGCATCCTCACGGTCATATAAATTCGTAGCCCGCCGGCTATCTCAGCCTCCCAGATCTGTCTCCACATCTTCAGGGTCCTCTTCCCAAAAAGAGGTGGAGTTGCCAAAAGACCCCATCTTTCTTACAGCCAATCTACACACCAAATAAGCAAGGGCTGCCCAGTTGTGTGATCTCTGTTTCTCCCCCTCTCTTTTTCTCCTCCACTGAGCTGAAACAAGCAGAATATGAAGAACCGGGTGCTTCCCTATTAGCTTTTGCCTCGGTTTGCTTATCCGCGGAGAGGATTTATTGATCGAGCAACCAAGAACCAATATTTTACTTAGGACCATAAAGAGCGTCTTCCTAAATTAAATGGAAACTGGAAACATCCGCAGCTCGGAGGGACTTGTAGAGAGATGTCGGGGCTTCTGAGTGTTTAATGGCTGTGTTGCAGTAAGGGAAATTCCAAACAAATCCTTTCCGAGGGTGCCAAGTCGGCTTTGCTTCCAGATTGTGATTCTTGCCACGTAAGTTGCACTCCATGCTCTGGTAACTTCCAGATAGGATTATTGCAACACTCTCTGCGTGGGACTGCCCTGGAAGATGACTTGGAAACTTCAGCTGGTTCAAGAGGCAGCAGCCAGGTTACTGACTCGGGTTCCATGTACAACTCAAATACAGTGGTACCTCGGGTTAAGTACTTAATTCGTTCCGGAAGTCCGTTCTTAACCTGAAACTGTTCTTAACCTGAAGCACCACTTTAGCTAATGGGGCCTCCTGCTGCCGCCGCACCGCCGGAGCACGATTTCTGTTCTCATCCTGAAGCAAAGTTCTTAACCTGAAGCACTATTTCTAGGTTAGTGGAGTCTATAACCTGAAGCGTCTGTAACCTGAGGTACCACTGTAACCCCTGTTCTAAAAGCATTGGTTGCCAGTTCATTTCCGGGCCCAATTCAAGGTGAAAGATTGCCTCCCTCCCTACAGACCCTCTTGAGTGCTAAGATTGGCAGAGGGGCCCTCTTGGTAGTTCCACCCCCCCCAAAAAAATTCTCTGGCAGGTTGCCTAGGAGAGGACATTCTTTGTAGGAGCTATTGATTTCCCTCCCCACAGAGCACCCTTTTACGCCTTGACCTGCTTCCTAGGACTTACCCTATTCCTTAATTGCAATTAGTTTGAACTTGTCTGAATACTGTATTTTTATATTGTGGTAGCATGCCCCAGAGGTTCATGGTGAAGTGTGGGTAAGAAATCTAACAACAACATCAGCAACAGGAAGCGGTCGTGGTGGTTTCACTTTTCCAACTTCTGGTCCTTCCTTTTCAAGGGTGACAAAGGTCAGACTTCATGGAGCAATGAGGGGGCACCAAGACATTTGCAGATGGCAGGAAAAACCCTCAAGGGTACCTGGATTCTGGATGAGCTTGGGAAGGAGTAATGGGGGGGGAGGGGAGTCGGTGGAAGGGGGAAACCACTTTCGTGGACGAAGGCACCATAACATGGCGATTTAAACATTGGAAGCTGCCTCAGACCAGGCCAGATATTTTGTTTCTTCTAGTGTCTGGCATGATCTATTGTTTAAATTTATTTATTTGGTTTCTCAGATTAATTTTTTTACAATCACATATCCAGCCTACAACATAGAAACATGATTCCAGAGAATCTCCTGGACTTCCTTCCTCCCCTTTGTGGGTCCTATTGTTAGTCATTTCCTCCTGCATCTTTTATAATAATCCAAATCTTTTACATCTCCATTGTGTCCAAAACTCACCATTAAACTACAAGTGTTATTCCAATCCTACTAATAATTTTAACTGTTTACAATTTTACAGTTACAACTGTTTATAATTTTAAGATACATTATAAAGTTTTCCCATTCCTTATTAAAATTTTGGTCTTCCTGATTTCTGATTCTTCTAGTCATTTTAGATATTTTGGCATAATCCATCAACTTGATCTGCCACTTCTTCTCTGGTAGGGACTTTATCTTCTTTCCATCTCTGGGCCAATAACATCCACACAGCCGTGGTCACATACATAAATAGTCTTTTCTGCTCCCTTGGGATTTCAGTAATATCCAAAGGCAACACGATGACCAAGTCCAATAATGCGATATCAATATAAACTCTTTATATAATTTATACAGAACATTGACCAGTATGAAACACATGAAATATGCACTCTCTGCAAAACCAAATAAACAGAAATCTTGTAAATCTCTGAAAGTCACAAAATGTGCAAACAGACGTAGTGAACAGTGATTCCGGATATACCGGATACAGTGGTACCTCGGGTTAAGTACGGTACTTAATTCATTCCGGAGGTCCGTACTTAACCTGAAACTGTTCTTAACCTGAAGCACCACTTTAGCTAATGGGGCCTCCTGCTGCGTCGCTGGAGCACGATTTCTTTTCTCACCCTGAAGCAAAGTTCTTAACCTGAAGCACTATTTCTGGGTTAGCGGAGTCTGTAACCTGAAATGTATGTAACCTGAAGTGTATGTAACCCGAGGTACCACTGTATACTGTTTTGTGGAATTCTTCTTCAGCACAGCAGAAGGATACAGAAATGCTTCATAAACTTCAAATTAATTATTGAAACGATGACCTGCAGATGCATGGTAACTTACAGTAACTCAAATTATTATAAACTGTATGCATGAACTATAATGTCCTTGGGATTTTGGCACCTAGAATTCCTAAAAGGAAGACTTTTATATAGAAAAGGTTATTTTAAACATTTTTTCAACTCATTATATATCGTGGTCTACTGTGATGGATAGCATCTCCCCAGGATCTTCTTGGGCAACGACTCCTTCCCATCACCTGATACCTCATGCTTCTAACTGGAGATGCCAGGGACTGAACCTGGGACCTCCTGCATGTTAAGGACATAAGGAGAAGCTGCTGGACCAGGCCAAAGGCCCATCTATTCCAGATCCTGTTCTCTCAGTGGAAAGCCAGGTGTCAGTGCGAAACACGCAAGCAAGACCTCAGGACAGCTGGCCACCTGCATATTCCAGCAAGTGGCCTTGAGAGCCATACTGCACCCAACAGCGAAGACAAAACATAGCCGTTGTGTCTAGCAGCAGACTTGTCCTCCATGGATTTGCCTAATCCTCTTTTAAAGCCATCCAAGTTGGTGTTCACCATGGTGTGTGTTGCCCCTGAACTACAGGCTCATCAATGCACATGGCACTGCTTTTATAAGGAGCAAAAGCAACGGTCCATCTAATCCAGGATTAAACACCAGGAAGAGAACGCCACCTGATATCTTTTCATCAGAGATGCTGAGCTTGGTTCCGCTTGTGTGCAAGGCACAGACGCTCTGCCCCTCAAGTGGGGTCAAGGTTCATTGTTTCCCCAAGGATTTCCACAGAGCATCTGCACCGAGAAGCTGGATCCTCTTCCTTCTGCGCTGTCAGCGATCTCTCCTGGCAGGATCCGCAACGCCTCGTGCCAGGCGGTGAGAGATGGAAGCTCCTTTTAGGAAGAGTCTCTCGTGCCGCCGGCCTGGGGAGCTGGCCAAGAAAGAGGAACACTGTCCAAGCTGGCAAAAGGCAGTATCTGGGTGCCCTTCACCTCATCCCAACGCGAAGGGGCTGGGAGAGGAAGCTGAGAAGAACGTAAGGTGAAGGGAAGTCAACCAGGTGCAGGCGTCCCTGAAGGACCTCTTAGGTGAATGACCCACTGTTCTCATGGGGATGGGGGTTGTCATGGCAACTGAAAGAAGAACCGGGATGCCCAGGCACGAGAGGAAGAGGTGATTCACTGAGTGCCTGTCCTGCGGGCAGCTCCCTTTCAGCGGACGGTTTAGTGGGAACAGGCAGCTAGTGCAAAGGATGAAACTCCTGCTTTTCCTCTTCCCATTGATTGGTGAGTAACTTGCCACAGACGGGATTGTTGCTTGCTTAGTGTGCGCTGCACCCAATCTGCTTCGGAACCAGGGGTGCTGGTGCTGGAATGGTCTCCTCAATATGGGGGATTTGCCAAACCCAGGTGACATTTAATTGTTTCGCCAACTTGCAAACATTCCAGCTGGAAATATTTATCGGCAAGGATGGACCTATCTTTTCATTTCTAGTTTCACATTTTTCCATCCTTAGTTCAGCTTATCCACATTTCTACATCAGCCTTAAAGAGAAAAAAAAAGACCTAGTAAGAATTTATCAGCCTTTTAGTGCAAGTTTCTTGTAATATACAATTTTTTGGTAGGCGTTATATTGTTGGAGAACTGCATTGCAAAATTCAGAGACGTAAAGCTTTCAAAGGATAGCTGTGTTTCAATTTACATATTGGTTTATGACTTAGTTTAAACAGTCATAGCCTCCCCCAAAGAATTCTGGAAGCTACAGTTTGTTAAGCTGCACATTGTTTCCCTAAATCCCGGAGGAAAGCATGCAGCCAATCAGTGCAGCTGGCTGCTGTGGGAATAAGGAGGAAAGAATCAGTCCATTTTGGTCCTTTCGGACCCTCAGATTTTTCCACCTTAAATTCAGTTACACACACAAACACACACACACACACACACACTCCTTGTGAAAATTCTTCAGCTTTCTAGTGTAAATTTCTCCTAAGCAGCACAATTTTGTATGCAGTTTTGACCTGTGTACACATTTTTGCAAGCAATTTCTCATGACCAAATGCATTTTTGTACATTGCTTTCACTAATATATTTATTTTTATGCACACCAGTATTTTTGTTGTTGTTGTAAAACATGTACATTTTGGTAAACATTATTTGACTGGAGAACTTGCATTGCAAAAAAAATAAAATCAGTTATGTTCAACCTTCGACGGATGACTGTGTTTTGGTTCTCATATTATTTTGGAAAGTGTGAATTTGATGGATTCAGCTTTAAATGAGAAGTGCATTAGATTTCTTCCCCTAATCTCTAGCTGACACACAGGTCACCTGGACACCCCCAATACGATGAGACCACTGCAACACCTTGTGCTTCTTTTTAAATTATAGCCATTCTTTCTAAACCTGGATATATCCACCTAAAAATGAGTATCTGCAAATTTTATGCAAAACCACTCCTTCCCCACCCATTGATAATCTGTAAGAAATCGAGATGGCAATTCAGGGGGCCAGTAACAACTGCACATCGCACTCTTGTTCCAGGGACGGCTCCACAGATCAGTTCAAAAGCTGGTGACCCTGAGCATGTCTCCAGGAGTGATGAGGCAACCGGAGGCTCCTTTGGCAGTGATGAGAATGTACAGGTGTGGCCAGGTATGGGAGTACCAGCATCATATGGCTTTTGCATAAAAATAGTGTTTTACTCACATAAAAGTCTTGCCCTCAATTCCAGCATTAAAAGTAATGAAAGGAAGGCCAGCAAACTCTACTTCTAGATTACAAAATACATAGTTGAGTTAAAAAATGGAGTCTCTGCTGAAGCGGAGACCAGACAGATATCTCTCTGCCTTGGAGGCATAGTGGAAAAGAGAGAATGAGTTCTATGGCAGGGAGAAGTAGATAAGATTACGGTAGATGCTTTTGACTTTCCCCCCATCAGAGAACTCAAGGGAAGTGACATCACACAGTGCCTTCTCTAGTAATCAGGAGCTCTGTGAGTCTTAACCCCTTCATATCCTTATTTAGGAAACATGCATTGTTGGATTTGACTGTAAATTCCCACAGCATAGGGGTGTGTGATGAAACTAGCTTAGTGCACAAAGAGAAAATGCACATTCATTGCTCTGCTCGCTTTTGCCTCTGGCCCCATCCGCTCCTGGCATGTGGCCCCTGGAAAGCTGCCCTGAAGAGAATGCGGCTCTCCGGCTGAAAACAGTCTCCCACTGCTGTTCTATGGCTTGCTGTCCCTTTCCTCAGGATGCAAATAATTAAGAAACCCCATGAAAAACAATCAGGGCTTCTGCTGCTCGTTCCTCGACTTCCCCTTCGAGAAAACCTACATGAATAATATATAGCCTTCGTTTCCGCTATTGTCGGGGGAAAGAGGAAAGCTGAGTAGCAGATCCATCGGAGGCTGTCCTTAGAGGGATATCCACCTCCGCTCTGATGTTTCTTGCCAGAGAAGGGAGCGGAGAGCAGAGAGAACTCAACTCTCTACTGCTAATGTCTTAAAGCAAGTAAGATTGGATGCAACCACCAGTTGCAGAAGGAGGAGGAGGAGGAGGGTTGGCCATCAGCTCAAGCTAGTAGCTAGGCTCTGGGTTCTATTGATTTGGCCTTACACCCAGTAGAGGTTTGTCTATTAGGGCAGATGTGGCACTGCCTCACCAACTGCTCTCAGCCACCCCACCCTGCCCTTGCCCAGGGGGGTGTCCCTGGCTTCCAGCTTCCTCCTCCTTAGTTTTAATGTAAAACTCTTCAGGGAGGAGAAGGATGCAGACAAAAATATACTGACGTGCCTCCACCTGTCATTGGCTCTGATTCCACCTACTGTTTGGCTTCCCTGTCTTCCACCCTGTTAACGGAGAAATCTGAGGGCTCCTTTGGACAAAAAGCAAGGACACCAGCCAGGAATATCAGAGCAAAACAGCAGCCAGTAGGCTTGGTCTTTATGGAAGACTGTCGCGACAGGACTCCCACCTGCCACAAGGTGGAACAAGATGGACGCCCCGAACAAAAGAGCCCCCAAACTTTTATTAACTGCTAATCCCCATGTTACACCCCCCCAAACTACATCACTCATACATCATGAAAGGGGAGGTCTGGTGGCAGTAATCTGAGCATCCTGGACCCTGCCCCATGGTTCCCCTTGCCGTCCACCAAACACCCATCAAGTGTAACAAAAAATATATTTACATTTCCCTGTTTCCCAGCCAAGTTAATCACAACCTTTTGTCTTCATCTGGGTTTGTTATTTCTGGAATGGCTACCTGTCTGGCACTCAGGTATCAGGATGCCAGGGATTTTCACTCAGACAGAGGGGCTGCTGAGTAGCTGAGCTCACATGTCTATATGAATTTCTGAAGTTTCCCCAGTGAACCAGTGCATAGATACATTTATGAGTGAATTGTTAAATTTGGTACTGTATTGTGCAGCAAAGGCCCTTTGAATAGACAGGAAGAAACTGTGATGAAGTGTTTTGTGGGGACAAATCACAAAAGTCACAAAAGCGTTTGTGCTGGTTTTGGTAGTGGGCTGCATGTGCATGATATCTGCTGGAGGGGCAACCCCCCCCCCCAACCTATACATAAATTCCTGCAACAACCCTACCAGTCCCAATGGGCAGCAGCTCTCAATGTATACACCAATGTAGACACCATGTAACCTAAGTACGGCCTGCTCTGACTGGCAGCAGGCCTTTGAGGAACCAAACGGAGGGGCTGTCAATCAACCTGCTAGCTAGCCGATCCTTTAAATAATATATTTTTTAAAAAAGGATGAAGGAGACTTTTTGCAAGCAAAGCATCTGCTGTGCTGCAGAGCTGTAGGGCATTTCGAACCAAGGCGATGCAGATTCTCTGCCAAGGAAATTGGGATTTTGCAGCTTGTGTAAATTAAACAAATAACCTCTGGCAAATCAACTTCATTTATAGGCACTGCAATGGTGAGCATGCTTTCCCTGAACAAAGCCCCACTGAGTTCAATGGGATTCACCGCCAGCAAAAGAAAAGAAAAAAGCTAATGCAATTCTAGGCTGTATCCACAGAGGTCTAGTGTCCAGGTCAAGGGAAGTCAGAGCCCTGTTCTATTCTGCCTTGGTCAGACCACACCTGGAGTACTGTGTCCACTTCTGGGCACCACAGTTTAAGGAGGATATTGACAAGCTGGAACATGTACAGAGGAGGGCAACCAAGATGATCGAGGGATCTGGAAACCGAGCCTGATGAGGAATGTTTGATGGAGTTGGGGGGTGTTTTGCCTGGAAAAGAGGAGACTGGGAGGAGATATAATAAAGGTAAAGGGCCCCTGACCATTAGGTCCAGTCGTGACCAACTCTGGGGTTGCGATGCTCATCTCACTTTATTGGCCGAGGGAGCTGGCGTACAGCTTCCGGGACCGAGCAATGGGAGCTCACCCCATCACGGGGATTCGAACTGCCAATCTTCTGATCGGCAAGTCCTAGGCTCTGTGGTTTAACCCACAGTGCCACAATAGCCATCTTCAAATATCTAAAGGGCTGCCACATGGAAGATGGAGCAAGCTTGTTTTCTCCTGCTCTGGAGGGTAGGATCAAAATCAATGGATTCAAGTTACAAGAAAGGAGATCCCGGCGAAACATCAGGAAGAACTTTCTGACAGTAAGAGCTGTTCGACAGTGGAACGGTCTTCCTTGGGAGGTTGTGGAATCTGCTTCCTTGGAGGCTTTTAAGCAGAGGTTAGATGGCCATCTGTCATGTATGATCTAGTTGAGATTCCTGCGTTGCAGGGGGCTGGACTACATGATCCTTAGGGTCCCTTCCAACTCTACAGTTCTGTGATTCTAAGCATGTGTAAGAACATGCAGATTAAAAAGTCACATTACCTGTTATTTTTTTTAAAACCACTTTAACCCCCCCGCCCCGAACTAAAGTGACACTGCATAACAGAGCAATTATCTCCACTCCAGAGAACATAAATTTGGATGTTCTTGCTTCCTGACAAGTCTCCTCTTCCAATTTCCAGTCGTTTTTCTTTTGAAAAACGGTACACTCATATTTCAAAAAGGCAACTCTTAAATGTGCATTTAAAAGAGCTGTTGCTGGTTGCCTCCACAGGAGGACTGCGCTGCTCAGGTGTTGCCTTTTCGCAATCAGCTGGAAGGAAAATTAAAACTGTGGTTCCACGTGACCATGGGTAGGCAAACCAAGGCCCAGGGGCTGGATCCGGTCCAATTGCCTTCTAAATCCTACCTGCGGACAGTCTGGGAATCAGCGTGTTTTTACATGAGTAGAATGTGTCCTTTTATTTAAAATGCATCTCTGGGTTATTTGTGGGTCCTGCCTGATGTTTTTACATGAGTGGAATGTGTGTTTTTATTTAAGATGCATCTCTGGTTTATTTGTGGGGCATAGGAATTCATTCATATATTTTTTCCAAAATATAGTCCGGCCCACCACCAGGTCTGAGGGACAGTGGACTGGTCCCCTGCTGAAAAAGTTTGCTGACCCCTGCACATGACCTTTGAGATCGTTTTACTTTATCTGGTAACGTCTATCTCTTTGGTCAATGAAATATACTCGGAGTCCTGCAGTGATTTCATGCTCTTTATTGCAGCTTGTAAAACAGTGATTGAATTGCCCCCCAAACCTCAGGCTTTTATATACATTATTTACACAATGAGTCCCATCTGATTGGCTGATTCTGCTTCCCTCCTGGAGCCTGATTGCTCTTTTCCTGCAAGCCAATCACTTGTTGCATTCTAGGATCCTACTTGCCTATTGTTCTAGGATCCAAGCTTAGTACATAACAGTCAAGATTCTGAGTGTTGTCTAGGTAAAGGTAAAGGGACCCCTGACCATTAGGTCAGTCATGACCGACTCTGGGGTTGTGGCGCTCATCTCGCTTTATTGGCCGAGGGAGCCAGCAGACAGTTTCCGGATCATGTGGCCAGCATGACAAAGCCGCTTCTGGTGAACCAGAGCAGCACACGGAAATGCCGTTTACGTTCCTGCCGGAGCGGTACCTATTTATCTACTTGCACTTTGAGGGGCTTTCGAACTGCTAGGTTGGCAGGAGCAGGGACCGAGCAACGGGAGCTCACCCCATCACGGGGATTCGAACCGCCGACCTTCTGATCAGCAAGTCCTAGGCTCTGTGGTTTAACCCACAGTGCCACCCGTGTCCCTGAGTGTTGTCTAAGCAGAAGTAAATTCCATGGGAGGGAGGTTTCCTCTGAACTCAAGAAGGGCATGCTGGTTCAGGCCAGTGGCCCATCTAGACTTCACAGTGGCCAGCCAGATGCCTGGGGGAAGCGTGTGAGCAGAGTTTGAGGAATGCTGTACTCTCCCTTCCTGGAATTTCCAGCAACTGGTATCCGATGGCATTACTGCCTCTGACCCTGGAGGCATAGTGTAGTCATGGATAGCCTTCTCTTCCATGACTTTGTCAAACCATCTTTCAAAGCCATCTGTTGAGTGCCCATCGCTGCCTCCTGTCGGAGTGATTCTCATCATTTCCCCCTCTGAATAATGAGAGGAAACTAGCAAAGTTTCCCCTTCCAGGATGCAGAACGTACTGTTATGGTTGAATTCCAGTTTTCAAAACAGCCATCCTTAATTCAGTTTCATTTTTACCCAATATATTGGTACCGTTATCAAGCATATCTAAATGTTTGTTTTGTCTTTTTAACTGGGGTTATATTTGACTCCAGAACCAGATTAGGGAAGCGGTTCCCACCCCCCTTTTAAAAAAGAGTAGGAAGAGCAAAACAGTTAGAATAGCAGATTTTATTTTTTTTTAAAAAAGAAGAAAACAGAATAAAACCTTTTAAATTTTTAGCCCAATAAAATTGAGCATAAAATAAGCAGCAGTAAACTTGGCAGTAAGAGTTTAGTAATAAAATGTTCACAGCAGTAAAAACTTGCTGGAACAATCAGATCTTCTATTGCCTGCAGAAAGCCAATTGATTTTTAAAAGAAAGAACATTATCTTTAAATGGCAAGGCATTCGTGGAAAAGAGAGATTGGGAACTGGTAGCCTTTCAGTATTTTCTTTTCTTTTTAAAGCAGGCACATACCGAGAACAGGAAATGACTAATTAAAGGGCCAGTAGGAGGGAGAAACCTCACCAGCACATTCACAGTCTGCTGCTGAAATTGTATTTTAATGGTGGGGTGCAGTGCAGTGAATCATCACGAATCAAGTCTGAGGAAAGACTGGAGAACGACACAGAAAACACTGGAATAAAATGGATTCGCCAGCAATGCTGCCTGTATTCTCTCTGAAAACTGAGCGAATGAATGAGGCAACGGCTGGTGTGGTGATCAGTGATGGTCAGAGGAGGCGTCTCTAAGGCCAACTATTAACAGCTTCCTGTCCTATATGCTAAGTGTGAGCTCATTCTCCAAGTGTGGTCTTCAACCAGTGTGCCGTGGCACCCTTTGTTGTTGTTTAGTCGTTGAGTCGTGTCCGACTCTTCATGACCCCATGGACCAGAGCATGCCAGGCACTCCTATCTTCCACTGCCTCCAGCAGTTCAGTCAAACCCATGCTGGTAGCTTCGAGAACACTATCCAGCCATCTCGTCCTCTGTCGTCCCCTTCTCCTTGTGCCCTCCAACTTTCCCAACATCAGGGTCTTTTCCAGGGAGTCTTCTCTTCTGATGAGGTGGCCAAAGTATTGGAGTCTCAGTTTCAGGATCTGTCCGTCCAGTGAGCACTAAGGGCTGATTTCCTTAAGAATTAATAGGTTTGATCTTCTTGCAGTCCATGGGACTCTCAAGAGTCTCCTCCAGCACCATAATTCAAAAGCATCAATTCTTCGGCGATCAGCCTTCTTTATGGTCCAGCTTTCACTTCCATACATCACTACTGGGAAAACCATAGCTTTAACTATATGGACCTTTGTTGGCAAGGTGATGTCTCTGCTTTTTAAGATGCTGTCTAGGTTTGTCATCGCTTTTCTCCCAAGAAGCAGGCGTATTTTGATTTTGTTACTGCTGTCACCATCTGCGGTTATCATAGAGCCCAAGAAAGTAAAATCTCTCACTGCCTCCATTCTTCCCCTTCTATTTGCCAGGAGGTGATGGGACCAGTGGCCATGATCTTCGTTTTTTTGATGTTGAGCTTCAAACCATATTTGCCGTGGCACCTTGGGGTGCCTTGAATGATGGTCAGAGTGGGCAATACTGGCCTCTGTCCCTCTTTCCTTCCCTCCCTCCTCCGATGCCCTCTCGCATCTCGGGCTCCCAAAGGCTTGTGCTGCTGTTTGTTGCAGGAGCCCTGGCTGCAAGCTCCCCAGGTGAATGCTGCCTCTGGTCCTGGCCAGGGGTTGCTTCCCAGGATCCTATGGGGCAGTGTGAAGAGGCACCTCTCTTCAGGGGCGGGGAGCTCAGAGACCAGGGCAGCAGCTGCAGCTGCCCAGCGGACTCCCAAGGAGAGGGGAGAAGAGAGGAGGCTGAGGGAACACTCCACAAGGGAGGGTGTTCGAAAAGGGGTGAGGGGCTGCCAGCTCTGCAGGCAAGGGGTGTGAAATATACTCGGAGTCGAGAGTGGATTTCATGCTCTTTATTCAGCTCATAGTGGTGAGGAGGAATGGAAGTTCCCCCACAATATCTGCTTTATATACATTATTTACACAATGGGCCCCACGTGATTGGCTAATTGCAGGATTCTCCTGTAGGCCAATCAGGTTGTGGATTCACTTCCACCTGGAGCTGGATTGGGTGGCTCCTGTGGACCAATCATACTGCTGCATTGTTCTAGGACCAATCAGACTGCTGCATTTTGGATCCTATTGTTCTAGGACCAATCAGATTGCTGCATTTTGGATCCTATTCAACTCAGTACATAACGGGGTGACATAACTGGGCCCCACAAGGGTGCCACAGAAAGAATGTAGTTGGTCAAGGGAGCCGTGGACCCCCAACAAATGAAAACCTCTGGCTTATGGGATGAAAACAGTATCACCATACACAAGTGTGAAATCCCAATGTTTACAGAAGTCCAAAAAAGATTGTAAGGGTGGGAGGAATTAAGGATAGGGCACCTCCCCCACCCCCAGCAGCCCAGTTAGGACCAAGCATGCTCAGTGAGCATGGGGGTAGGGAGCGAGGCGGATAGTAACGCTAGGGAGGGCCTGGCTGAGTGGCTGAAACACTGAGCAGTAGCAGCACTTCACGCTGCAGCAATCTGTTGCAGTTTCAGTTACATCTCTAGGGAGTCTCAACAATGATCGGTCAGGGCAGGTCATGTGGTTCTATCTGACCCTTATAAAAACTTCTAGGTTAGACTAGGGGTCCCTCCAAACTGGTGGCTGTTGTGTGTTTTCTGCAACATGTTACGGACAAAATAATAATGCACTAGTAGCAGATTTATACTGGGCTGCCCACACATCATTTTGCTTTACACTAGCTGACCAGTGACATTTGCCCAGTTTTTTGCCCAGTCAGGAGAGGTCATCTTGCAAAAGTGCAACAAATACAGGACAAGACAAAGAAAAAGCTTAAAATGGAACAATTATGGTATTAAAAAGATCAGAGCAGGAAGTTATTGGGTGTGTGCTAATTGGAAACGAAGCAGAATGGGTCCCACTCAGAGTTAACCCACTGAAGTCACCAGGCCTAAGTGGGTCATGTCCATTATTTTCACCGGGTCTATTCCAGTGCTTTTTTTCTATAAAAAAAAATTAAATGTTTAGGGGTACAGTGGTACCTCAGGTTAAGTACTTAATTCGTTCCGGAGGTCCGTTCTTAACCTGAAACTGTTCTTAACCTGAAGCGCCACTTTAGCTAATGGGGCCTCCTCCTGCTGCTGCTGCCGCGCCGCCAGAGCACGATTTCTGTTCTCATCCTGAAGCAAAGTTCTTAACCTGAGGTACTATTTCTGGGTTAGCAGAGTCTGTAACCTGAAATGTATGTAACCTGAAGAGTATGTAACCCGAAGTACCACTGTACTTTCATTTTGACTCAAGAAAACCCCCATTTTATAGTTCAAATCAGGAAAAATAAATGCAGTAAATGGACAAAAGTACAAATATTCACAAATGTTTAGGGGTATGTGTATCCCTGCGTACCCCCCCAAGAAAAAAAGCATTGGTCTACTCTGAGTAGGACTGGCTTTGGGCGCAACAACCCTACATCTGCTTTTGCGAGGCCCAAGCTGTGTTGAAATGATCACACATAAAGGTCCACAAACTGTAATAAATGTACAGTTAAAAAAGTACATTTGGAGGAGCCTTCAGTTGGAGCTGGGTCCCGTGTATAGATTTTTGCCCCCTCAGAGATTCTGAAAATTGTATGACAGTTCTTCTCCTCCGCTCTGCAGACGGCGTGAGCGACTCCCAACGCATCATTGGGGGCTACATAGTTTCACCCCACTCTTCCAAGTACCTGGTCTCTCTGAAGAGGAATACAGGCTACCATTTCTGTGGTGGAGCCCTCATCAGTCGGAACTGGGTCCTGACCGCCGCCCACTGCAAAACAGGGTAAGGAGCCAAGGCACACTGCAGAACATCTGAACGCTCTCCAGGTCCATCCATCGGGCATCCTCCATCAAAATAGGTTGGTGGGCAGCACTGATTTGGAAACGTTGCACAAACTCAAAAGCACATCAAAGGTTTAAAATCCAAAGCAGAAAGAGATGTTTCTTCTTGGTTTTGAGTCCCTCTTGCCTCCTTCCTAGGAGGGGAGGGAACTCTGTTGAAAACAGAAAAATAAAGTGAAGGCGGTGAAGGTCCTGTGTGAGTGTCTGGAGGCGGTTGGAGGATGGGTGGCAGCTAACAGATTGAGGTTGAATCCTGACAAGACAGAAGTACTGTTTTGGGGGGACAGGAGGCGGGCGGGTGTGGAGGACTCCCTGGTCCTGAATGGGGTAACTGTGCCCCTGAAGGGCCAGGTGCGCAGCCTGAGAGTCATTTTGGACTTGCAGCTGTCCATGGAGGCGCAGGTCAATTCTGCGTCCAGGGCAGCTATCTCCCAGCTCCACCTGGTACACAGGCTGAGACCCTACCTGCCCACGGACTGTCTCACCAGAGTGGTACATGCTCTGGTTATCTCTTGCTTGGACTACTTCAATGTGCTCTATGTGGGGCTACCTTTGAAGGTGACCCGGAAACTACAACTAATCCAGAATGCGGCAACTAGACTGGTGACTGGGAGCGGCCGCTGAGACCACATAACACTGGTCTTGAAAGACCTACATTGGCTCCCAGTATGTTTCTGAGCACAATTCAAAGTGTTGGTGCTGACCTTTAAAGCCCTAAATTGCCTCGGCCCAGTATATCTGAAGGAGTGTCTCCACCCCCATTGTTCTACCCAGACACTGAGGTCCAGGGGACCCGGCAGAGGGCCTTCTCAGTAGTGGCACCTGCCCTGTGGAATGCCCTCCCACCAGATGTCAAAGAGAACAACAACTACCAGACTTTTAGAAGACATCTGAAGGCAGCCCTGTTTAGGGAAGCTTTCAATGTTTGATGGATTACTGTATTTTAATATTTTGTTGGAAGCCGCCCAGAGTGGCTGGGGAAGCCCAGCCAGATGGGCAGGGTATAAGTAATAAATTATTATTATTATTATTATTAGTAGTAGTAGTAGTATAAAGATCTGCCTTGCTTTCATTGCATCCTGCCTCCATCCATTCATCTCTGACCAATCATGGACTTAGGGGACTCAGTCCCTTGGGGAGTTGGGCAGCAAAAGCCAACCACCCCAATTTTTTCTGTATCAGTGGCTGAAGGAAATTTTTGTAGAGTAGTAATTTAATGGGAAAGGAGCATGAAGGAGCAGGTGGATAGAGGAGGAAACCCGAGAAAAGGGGCAGTGGACAGCTTTTAGCCAAATTTCTCCCCCTGTTGCCAGTTTTACAGCAAAGCTCTTCCTACAAATTAACTACTGTCTTATATGGTTCTGGAGAGGTTACTACACTGCCCATATGTGGTAAGCCCAAAGGCATATCAAGATCTGACAATCCTGCATAACAGACCCCTGCCTAACCCAAATCTGACAGGTTTGTGATAAATCCACCCTCATCCTGTTTTCTTGCTCCTCTTTCAGAATCCACCAGATGCTGATCGTAGCCGGGGAATATTCGCTTTCCACGTTTGAAGGCACGGAGCAGATCTTCCGACCTGCCCGCATGGTGGTCCATCCAGAATACAGCGCCACTTCCAAAAATGCAGACATCATGCTTATCAAGGTAACAAAGTTTCCTGGGTGTCAGAATGGGGTCAGGATCGAAAGGAAGGGAGAGTTTCAGCTGGAGTTGTGGGCGGTATGCCCAGGTGGGCCAGGATCCACAGCCTGCTGGCCAGATCTTTGAAAATGGTGACTTTTTAAAATTGCAATTATATGGGGGACTGAAAAACAAAGATAACGGAGAGACACCAGTCATGGGCATAGCCACGATTTTTGGGAAGGGCAGGCAAAGTTGTTCAGCTTTTTTTTAAGGAAATCCAAGCTGTTGAGCTGGGAAGGGAAGAGGGATGAAATGAAACAACGGGCAGCCTTTCATGTGAACAGCTCCAAATCCTTACCTAGTTTGGAGTGAGGCATCGCTTAGTTTTAGCTTGTGCAAGCATGGTAGATCACAAAAGGTGCATGTGCACATGTAAACAAATCCCTATGTATCTCAGCTTCCCCGGCTTGGAACAACACACACACACACAAACAACATATGGCTGCTGTTTTGTGCAAATCTGGTAGACTGAGAAACTTGTTGTTTTTTTAAAAAAAGGTTTGTGCTTACAGGTAAACAGATACCAGTGTGTATGCCTATAATGACCTCAGGCAAGGCCCGCCTATCCAGGAAGTGGTGTGAAGTAGCTGCCTCATGGATGCCTCCTGCCACGGCCCCATCTCTGCCAGAGAAAGGGTGCTAGTATAGGTGCTGGTTTCCTGTAAGGTCTTGCGAGATCTCATCAAAGTCTTGCAAAGAGAGCAATGTCAAGGAGAGCAAAAGATCTCATGAGATTTGGGTGAGATCTTGCAAGCTCTTTCAGGGAATCGGTACCAATGCCCAAGGCCTTGCAGAGCCAGGCAGAGATAGATAATGTGCCAGGTAGATAATGTGCCCCCCCCCCCGTTTTTTTACCCTGGGGATAACTGAAGTCTTATAAATAAGTAAGTATATAAATAATTTTCACAAAAGTTATGCTGACAAATAATTTTATTTCAAGGCTTGAACCGTATCTGCATATAAAGACAAAATGGAAAATATAAATATACAATAGTGCTTTGTAAAAATACATAGGGAAAAGGATTATTTTAAGTATTTACATTTAAAAATGCTTTCCTCGCGCTGCCAGCCATGGCCCCAGGGAATCCGCCCACCACTGCCACCGCCTTTGCGCCTCCGCGTTTGCCCCAGTGCATCCCCAGCGATTGTGAATATGCTGACTGAGGCCCCCTTGGAATCAGAGGCCTGGGCCAAGTGGCCCATATAGGCCCCCCTCTGTCTGGGCCTGCCAATGCCAGCGGTGCTTCTCCACAAGCAGTGGTACAGCTGCAGTGCCACTGGCAGGTGGCACAGAGGTGGCGAGTGGTGGTGTGGCAGAGCAGGGCGGCACTTCCTGTTTGCCTCAAGTGCCAAAATGGGACGTACCACCCCTGACCTCAGGATCCCAGGAGTTACAGCTGTTAGTTCTGAAGGAAAGAAGGCCAGGACCCACAGCCCAGGTGGGTCTCACTTAGAGAGGCGATGTGCAATTCCTTAGCTGGAGAAGGCTCAGGCGACGGTCAGATGCCTCGTCAAGCCCAGAAGGCGTCCTGGCCAGGCCTGCGTCAATATGCCAATGAATCAAAATCCTAGCATTTATTCATTTCTATGGGTTTTTTTTGGGGGGGTCCCCTCCTAAATCTATAATACCCTCGTTATCACAGCTGTTCCTCTTCTTCTGTTTCCACATTGTTTTCGCCAGCTTGCTTGCTGGTAACGACACACGCGACGTAACAGGCTGTATGTAACAGTATAACTTCTGTTTCAAAAAACAATTCACCACATCAGTGCTGGGCAAAGAGTCAATGAGCAAGCGTTACATTTACAGCCTGCAGTGCATTGAAAGAAAATATTATGAAAATGATGTATAGGCGGTAGTTAACGCCAACTAAACTTGCTAAAATGTATCAAATGACAAATAAGGAATGTTGGAAATGTAAAGAAAAAGAAGGGAATTTTTACCATATGTGGTGGACATGAAAACCTTCTGAGATTTGATATATAATAATGCACACACACACACACACACACACACTTTTTAAAAGAACCAGAAGTGTTTTTACTGGGTATAGTAGGGGAAGAAATTCCTAAAAGAGATCAAAAATTATTTATGTGTGCAACCACTGCAGCAAGAATTTTAATAGCCCCAAAATGGAAACAACAGGAGTTACCAACAATTGAAGAGTGGCAGACGAAGATGATGGAATATGGCGAAGCTGACCGGTTAAAATCCGAAACCAGCGAGATCAAGCTTTCCAAAAAGATTGGGGAAAATTTATACAATATTTGAAGGACAATTGTAAACAGTTAACAGCATTGGCAGGAGTGATTTGAAAAGGCTTATAAGGTTGAAAATTCTACCTTTTTACAGATAAATTAAATAGGACAATAGGAAAGGGGGGAAATTAGAAATGTGGTGATATAGCAAATAAATAAAGTAACCATGAGGTGGGAAGGGGGGAAGTCAATGAGCTCAAATGAGCTTGAGTTTATGTGAAAAAACGAAGATTGTATTTATATGTTATAAAACTCAATAAATATCATTTAAAATTTAAAATTAAAAAAGTCAATGAGCAAGCAGGCAGTGGCACCTGCCAATCCTCCTTTGTCTGATGCTGCACCAATGTCTGGGCTTGAACAAATGGCAACTGAGTGAGATGGTTGCAGTGATGAAGGAGCTCAATGGAGCTGCTTCTCAGGTGTGGGTTCTTTGCATACACCTGAGCACGCCAACCATTGGCACCACCGGCCCAAACTGGAGGGTCTGCATCTGGGTGAGATTGAATTGATGGGATAAGTAACCTGCCCCCACCCCCATCCCTTGATGTCTCGAAACAGCTGAACCGGCCGGTGGCCTACAGCCCCTTTGTCTCCATCGTGCCCCTTCCCCAGCAAGGAGCCACGGTCCGGGACGGACGTTTCTGCCAAGTCTCCGGTTGGGGTTACACCACTCCCATCGGGGGCAGGACGTCGGACACTCTGCGCAGCGTCCACCTCCCCATCATCTCCACGTGGAAGTGCAACAGCTCCTCTTCGTACGCCGGGTACATCACCAGGAACATGATCTGCGCCGGGTTCAACACCGGGGGGAAAGATGCCTGTCAGGTAAACGCCGGTGTCCGTTTAGGAGAGGAAGTTCAGAAGACTAAATGCCTCTTTGGAAAACTGATCAGCTTAGCGTAGGGAGGGTGGGTTGGGGTCTCAGCCAGAGGCAGTAACACTTCCTGAATAGCAGTTGCTGGAAACAACAGGAGGGGAGAGGGCTTTTGTGTTCGAATCCTGCTTACGGGTTTCCTGCAGGCATCTGGGTGGCTTCTGTGAGAACAGGAGGCTAGACTAGCTTGTCCATTGGCCTGGTCTTGCAGGTTCTCCTTACGTTCTCAAGCCTGAGAGCCAAATGTGGCCCTCTAGCTCTCTTTATCTGGCCCTTGAGACTCTCCCTAGCCACATCCCCTCTCTGCCAATAGGCTGGAGATTCCATGCCACCCCTGGGTTTTTGGATATGAAAGAGGGTTCTCCCCACCCTGTACTGTACTTTCCTGTTGTCTTCCAGAATGGTGGCTGCGTTGATAGAATGACCCCCACTCTGTGCCTTTCAGAAATAAACCTTTCCCTGCTGCCCACCTTCTGCGTTTCTCCTTCAGCTGTGATTCATCTTTATTTGAGAAGGGCTTAATTCCAAGGGCAGATAATCCAGTGCTTCCTGCTTTACCAGTCCCAGTTTTCCTGGTTGCCCATAAATTGCTGTTCTCGTCTTTGACAGGTTGGGGGATCCCTTCTTGAAATGTTCTTCGAGAGAGCTGATGATGTTGCTGTTCTTTGGGGTTCACCCCCTCCCTCTTTGCTAGCAATTAAATTTCGGAGGCGACGACTGCACGCTTCCATGCTCAGTCATGCACCTAGACACATATTGTTGCACACCACCCCAAATATATACAGCCTAAACCTACAATGGAGGAGCTTACAGCGTTAGCACCCCAAATCCAAGAGGGTCTTCCCATAGCCACAGGCTTTGATTCCAGCAGAAATCAGGCATGCCTTTGTCACTCAACTGCCCAGCCTGCAGCCTGCTTCTAGCTTCTAGTACACACACAAAGGTAAACGTAAAGAACGTGGGTGGTGCTGTGGTCTAAACCACTGAGCCTCTTGGGCTTGCCGATCAGAAGATTGGTGGTTTGAATCCCCGCGATGTGGTGAGCTCCTGTTGCTCTGCCCCAGCTCCTGCCAACCCAGCAGTTCGAAAGCACGCCAGTGCAAGTAGATAATTAGGTACTGCTGCAGCAGGAAAGTAAACGTGGTTGCACCAGAAGCGGTTTAGTCAGGCTGGCCACATGACTCAGAAAGCTGTCTGTGGACAAATGCTGGCTCTCTCGGCCTGAATGTGAGATAAGCGCCGCAACCCCATAGTCGTCTTTGACTGGACTTAACCATCCAGGGATCCTTTACGTTTACCTTTTTTACACACACACACCACACTGGCTTTTACCTTTCTACCTTTCACAACATTAACACACCAATAAGGTCTTGCTTCTCCCAGAGCTGCAGCCTTGGGTTCAAGCAGAAACTAAGCATGTCTCTGCCTCTCTGTTTTCTGCCTGCTTCTAGCTGTCTCATGCACACCTCAGGCCAGACCAGCTAACGGCTAGTTGAGAGAGGGGGCCCATCTGTTTGTGTATGAATCCTGCACAGAGCCACTTCCTTTGTTACCTTAATGGCCCATACTTAGGAGCCACTCCCAAGAAACTTGTCTGGCTATTCCAGCAACTGGCTCCTAAATGTGCCACTCTTCCTTTTGAGTGTTATGCTTCCAACAGGGACCAGGTGGGGATGGGTCGAGACTTTAAAAGAGCTTTGTGAAATTACTTTTTAAAAATGTAGTTTGCTTTTTAATATAAAGAACCGATGGATATTAGCAGCTGCTTTGACAAAGCTTTAATGCTAATTCTCTTCACTGTGTTTCCACCCCCCCTTTCTTTCTCCCACCAGGGCGATTCTGGGGGGCCCTTAGTGTGTGAAGGGCGCGTTTTTGGGATCGTTTCCTGGGGCCACAGCTGCGCCAGCCCCAGATACCCAGGTGTCTACACGGCAGTCTCCAACTTCCAGAAATGGATTTACAAGACCATCTTCAAGAAATAAACCTGCCATTCAGTCCCTGATGATCAAATAACCAATTCGTAGAATATATATGTATATATCTTGAAAAAACACAAATAACTTGTTTTGTTGAGTTACATATTTAAGTAACTTCAGACCCTGGGATTAATCATCTTCTCTCTGCCACACAAACCCTTTAAATGTCCAGTGTGCATTACTTCAGTTGTGAAACACACCATTAATTTAGGTCCTGAATATCTGAAGGAGGACCTCCTTCTCTACAGACCCTCTCAGGAGTTGAGTGTGGGAATGTTGTGGATAGTAGGAGAGGATATCTTGATTTAAATATTATCCTTCCTCACTCACACTAGTGAGCTGGTAACAGAGTACAATGGTACCTCAGGTTAAGTACTTAATCGTTCCGGAGGTCCGCTCTTAACCTGAAACTGTTCTTAACCTGAAGCACCACTTTAGCTAATGGGGCCTCTTGCTGCCGGAGCACGATTTCTGTTCTTATCCTGAAGCAGAGACTTCCGGAGGCGGCGCCAACAAGCAATGGCGATCTCCTCGTAACTCTAGAGGAGAGGCTCCGCGAAAACCGGGTCGATCCACTACGGCGCAGCGGAGACCCCTTTGAAACCCGCAGGCGGAGGAAGCCTGCGGTCGTGGGACTCGGCGGGTGCCTGGAGCGCGCCCCTAAACAGCGTAGGAACCCCGGGAGGGGCTCTGAAGCAGGACGGGGGTGGCGCGGCACTGTGAGTTGTCTGCTACTTTCGCGGAGTGAAGCCGTGCAGCTGTTGCTGGAGAGCGCTGACCTTTCTTCCTTGACAATTCGGCTGTCAAAATTACAACCCGTGAGTAGGTTTCACGTTATAAGGATTAAAAAAAAAAAAAATTTCTTGAACTAATTTGGCTGAAGCGGGAAGGTGTAAAAAGGAAGTCCACCTCCCGGTCTGTACAAAGATTAAAGCAAAGACTGCGTGAGTTCGATACCAATGACTGCCAAAAGAGACTGAAATACAGACGTCTAAGCTAAAAATTTTCCCTCCCATAATTGGACTAGGGGGGGAAGAAGAGACAGTATTTCTTGTTATTTCCTGTTATTTCTGAGAAATTTAAAGAGTAAATAAGGAAATAAAGACCACCTCTCAATCCCTGGGGACAGACTGCCAGATTTGGAAAGATTGGACACTTTGTTAGCACTCTAAATGGACAATGTATCTTCTTGCCTTTTAACTTTACAAAATTGAAACTTTGGGAAAAAGTTGCCTCTTTGGCTGTTTGAGAGTTTTTATTCTTGATACTTTATTACTTGTGTCCCCCTGGAGGCCAAAGGGGAAAAAGTCTCTAATTGACCGAGGAATTTTCCACCCAACAGCAGCCTGGGAAAGTACAATAACAAAACAACTTTGACTGTGAGAGTGACCTTGACTCTTAGATAAAGTGCCATGGAAGGAAGAGACACGAGGTCTGGGAAAGGCAGGCAGCAGAGCAACATTGCACAACAGCAACAGCGTAGGCAATCCATCGCTGGGCCACAAGGAGAGGAAGAAGGATTGGCCAGTTTATTTAAAATTGTGAATGAAGGTTTTGAAAAATTGGGTCAACAAAATGCCGAGGCTCTAGAAGCCATTAGACAAAATTCTGCAAGTATTGACAAATTGACTCGACAGACTAATGAAAACACAGATGTGATTAAAAAAATATTGGAACAATCTGCTGAAACCCAAAAAACAGCTTTGGAAGCTAGAGAAAAGGCGGTAGCTGCTGAAGAAAAATTACCACCTTTAATTAAACAAGTTGAAGAGCATCATATAAGATTGGGAACGCACCAGGAATTGCTATCTGTCCTTGAGTTAAAGGAGAAACAGACCAATTTAAGGATCAGAGCAGTACCTGAGATTGAGAAAGAGAGCCTGGTAGACTTCTTGACACAAGAATTTGCCAACTTTTGGCAATTGAATGATAAGGAAGATTTTAAGATAACGTCTGCTTTTAGGCTTGGAAGAAGAGCAAGGAAAAATAGAGTGAGAGACTGCCTGATTACCTTGCGATCAAAGGAGGAACGAGATAAAATTTTGAGCCTACATTATCGAAATACACTGATAATACAAGACTCAAGGATAGAAATATTCAAAGACATTCCTAAGCTCCTTTTGGAGCTTAGGTCTAACTATCGGGACCTGGTGACGTTGCTGAGAGGAAATAGAATTTTTTTCAGGTGGGAGTTCCCTCAAGGCCTGAAGCAAAGTTCTTAACCTGAAGCACTATTTCTGGGTTAGCGGAGTCTGTAACCTGAAGCGTATGTAACCTGAGGTACCACTGTACATTCCCTTGTATATTGCAGGAAGCTAGTTGGTCAATTCGTCTGAATCTCTTGAGTTAAGCAATCCAGTCTGGCTTGTCCATATTGGGTTTGTTCCTGGCAAATCCCCTTTGTTCCCTCTTAAAAAGATTAAAGACACAACAGTCTTCTTTAAAAGTGATGATAAGAAGTTTACTTACATTCAGTTCACAGTAGGTTCCCTGAAGGCAACCTTTAGCTTGTAGTTACAGAAGAGAGTTCATCCCATATGGGGACTGAGCCCATGCAGAAGAGTATCAAGCGCATTAAGAAGTTGAAGAGAGTAAGGGGTCAAGAGGAAGATGGCTGCATGCCCAGCCCTTTTATGGGGTCTGCCAGGGTCATGCCCATCTACCTGGTCACACGCAGGGAGAGGATGCTCCAGACAGGTGGGATAGGAAGTCCTCCTGGCTGGGGTAACACCCCCTGTGTGTCCTCACTGGGCAAACAGGAAGTGTTGTACTTGACTGCTTATGTTACATCCCACACAGAGATCAGCAGAGGGGGCGTTCTTGGAAGTCCCAGCACCCTCCAAAGCTTAGGGAGTGGCAGCCCAGGAGAGGACCTTTGCGGTGGCAGCCCCTAGCCTGTGGAACTCCCACCCCATGGAGGGGCTTCTCCCACCTTCAATATAAAGTCCCCATCATATGCAAAAGATGCATCCTTTTACACCTTAGACGTATAATTTCAGGAACCAGCCTATTCCTGTGATTGTCATTGTTTTAAGCTGCTTTAATAGTAGTGTGATGGTCTGGGAATCGGATTCAGAGGCTGAACCTGAGGAATCTCAGCCTGCACAGGAGTCCCCACCTCCAGGACCGACTGAGCCGGGGCTGGGGCTTGAACCTGAAGGGCCCTCACCTGTGCCGGATCCTCAGGAGCAGACACCAGCTGAATCTGCTCTGGCTCCAGAGGTGATCAAGGACCCATTGCCTGCAGGTGCTCCACTCTCAGCCTCGTCAGGGGAAGGTGAAGTTGCCTCTGGGTCCAGTAACCCTCCAGCCTCTCCTGAGCTGCAGAGGCTCAGGGCAGAGGGGCGGAGGGAACTAAGTTCTCGCAGGAGGAGTACTCGCCTCCAGGCCAGGAGAGGCAAGTCACCTGTGGACCGGGGCCGCCCTATGCCTCAGAGGAGATAAAAGCCAACCAGCCCAGTCCCAGGTTGCAGGAGCAACATTGTTGGTAACCTGTTCCTGCCGGCACTTTGTCCTGCTCTTCTGCCAGAGTTCCTGAACACACCCGATTCCTTGCCTTGGACCCCGCTTCAGCCTTGACGGACAGCCTCCATACCACACCCTTGACCTCGGACTGGACTTGGACCACGCCGCACGGTAATCCCTAGGGACTAGCACAAGTAGGTTTTAAATTGTTGCAACCTGTTCTCTGGTGAATGGCAAGTAAGAACTCAAAACGGTCACCAACATCTTCCTTCCTTTTCTCCATGCCAATGGGAATTGCAGACCCAAACACCCAAAGGGCCTCAGGTATATTATTATTATTATTATTATTATGACATTCCTATCCTGCCTTTCCTCCAAGGAGCTCCAGTCAGTGTACACAATTCCCCCTCTTCCTATTTTATCTTCACAACAACCTTGTGAGGTGGTTAGACAGAGAGGCAGGGAGTTGCCCGCAAGGCAACCCAATGCATTTCATGGCTGTGTGGGGATTTGATCTCTGGTCTGCCAGGTCCCAGTCCCCCCCCACACACACTCAACCACTACACCATACTGCCAAAGGTTGGTCTATAAAGAAACCTAGAGCACAGTTGTGGTTTATTCCAGCTGACCTTCAAGAGTTCTGTGCAGATTGGGACCTTATCGTGTAAATTTCCCAAAATTCATGTTTGGCTTGGGGAGCCTGGGTTCCCCTTTGAAGAGAGGAACTTGGCAAGCCGTAAATCAGCCAGCCCAATTACTTGAAACAGGAGGAGAAGCGGACGCGGCGGCTGTGCAAGAACCAAGCGAGTTACTGGGGATTAATGGGACCAATTGCGAACATCATTAGAAGCGAGGAGAGAGGGAAGGAGCAGGCGAAGTGGCGTGAAATAAAGCCATTGATTAGTTCAAATGATGGGGGGTGGGGAGGCATGGTGGAGAGAGAGAGAAATGAATGATCCATCGTGTTGCCAATGTCGCAGCTTCCCTTGTAAGATGCGAGGTGTATTAGCTTGTTGAAGAAGAAGAAGAAGAGTTTGGATTTGATATCCTGCTTTATCACTACCCGAAGGAGTCTCAAAGCGACTAACATTCTCCTTTCCCTTCCTCCCCCACAACAAACACTCTGTGAGGTGAGTGGGGCTGAGAGACTTCAGAGAAGTGTGACTAGCCCAAGGTCACCCAGCAGCTGCATGTGGAGGAGTGGGGAAGTGAACCCGGTTCACCAGATTACGAGACTACCACTCTTAACCACTACACCACAACTGGCTTGACTCCAGGTTGTGATGATGTGCAAGGAAAATGGAGCATCTCTCTGACACCCCGCAATGGTGCTGCAGAGGGTTATTTTTTCACCACCTCAGTATAGGCCAGAGATGTGGAACCCCAGGCCTGAGGCTCCCCCTCCATGGTTTCATAGCAGCCAACTCCTAGGGGCCGAGTCCCTTCACCTCCCCATAAAATATTTGAGGGGGCTGCCTCACCCCAAAGTTGATGGGCATTGTCATTCAAATGCTGTGGATGCACCATGTCATATGGTCAAT